CGCGAAAACGAATTTCACGCCTATGTACACCAATCATTTGGCTACACAATGTCAAAAAGCAACCCAAAAAAGTATTTGAAAGTGCGCGAAAGCGAATATTCCAGTCAATGTACACGATTTTGGCGCTATGTACCGGGCCAAATCCCTTATGTACTTTTGCACTTCTACAATAGGTGACATTGTGAATACAGAGTCTAACTGGCTAACAAATTCCATTTATGATAGATTTATATGCTTGAGAATTGCTTACATCAATTTGAGCGAGTACACGTTTCAAAAACTTTCCTCACTTATGCGCATTTCCATATTTCTTTCCGAAAATAATCATTTTCTGTGTTAGTTGCCATTTTTGGGATTCAAATGGCGAGACACAGTGACAAATGGAAAAGGGTTTCTGAAATTTTGTCTTATCAACGGTTTCGATTTTATCGACAAAAATTAAGGCCCTCAGGGGCGCACATTCACCGTGCAGCATACTCTAGCGACAACAAGATAAAAATGCAGGTACACAGATGCCGTTATATATCTTTATCAGCACAAGCCAGTCACATTGCGAATTTTGGTAATAAAAACAAGACTGATTATAATAGAAAAATTTCTTTCAAGTTGTCCGTTATATCCATGGCTCCGAGAACGGACACGGCGTTGCCCCGTTGAATTTCGATTGATAGACGCTGCCGTAAAAATTCATTTTATCGAGGTTCACCAGTGTGCTGCTGCAGTCGCTTGCCGATTTCCTTCACTAGAGCGGATGCCGACTTTCCCCAAGGCCCGAGTGTTTCGAAGGCTAACGGCGCGAAAATGTATCTGCCGTCAAGGTACGCGTATAAATTGGTGTTCCTGTCTTCGGCGTGCAGCAGCGGATCGTGCGGATACCGAAGTGGACTTGATATGCGACGGGGCGACAGTGTCGACGCAAGTGTCGTCCCACGCTAAGCACATGCCACGTTTCAGGCAAACGTCGTGCATCAGTCCGGGCGACGATCGGACGTGGGGGAAGTACCGCGGGGGTCTAGCTTCGCTGGGATATCGAACGAAACCAGTGATCGGCACACAATGCTATTCCGTCCTCCATGGTGGGCGTGTCTGCCGGCGGAGAAGGAGCATGACAGTCCGTGGTGGCCGTACACGTCAACTTGCTTGCGGCATTTGGCACATGAGTGTGTTTCACAGATAACTTACAACTTTTAAAGTATTTGCGTAATCCTGAATCTACATGTAAATACCAAATGCTAGTTGTATGTGTTTGTAGCAACAGCGATTTGTGATTCGAACTAGTAAGTATTAAATTAGATTTTATACGAAGTAATGTTACTTCATAATGTATTATTATTATATTTATTATCAACTTGTACAGGCCAATGCCATTTACATTCAAACTTAAAAAACCCAATAATTAGAACAAGTGATATAACTCTTCTAACTCTCGAGAACATCCGACCGTCCCCAGGACGGAAGCCGCGTTCCCGCGCTGAGTTTCCACACTTATACGTTGCCACAAATACTGAACAGCGCGCGCTTCTCCTGTTTGTTCTTTGATACGCCGGCCGACTTCATTGATGAATTGGCGGGTACTTTCACCACAACTTCCCATAGTTTCGAGAGCCACCGGCTGGAAAAAGAACCGATCAGTGAGTTCGAAATAGAGGTTTCGCTTCCGCACTTCCGCGTCTTCAGCAGCCGATCCCGCTGCCTCTGAACAGCCAGCTATATACGAAGTAGCGAATGTGTCACAAACTGTCACATCCCATATCAGAGGGAGGCCATTTCTCCATGGGAAGAGTGATAAGCCGTCTGGCCGCTTCCCGTCCAATCTGCTCCGTCCGGGAGGCTCCAAGATTGTCGGCACCTTTGCTGATCCCTGGCTACGCTGAATCACGCTATTCAAACACACGTGCCGCCTGAACCTTCCCTGAATTTTGGAGCACGATAATCCATGTAAACCGAAGGTATCAACCATTTCACCACACCGACATTTATGCTCTTTACAAATAGTAGCCCCATCCGCAAAGCAACAGCGATCCACAGACCGGCCTCGTCAAGCAGCGTACCAAGGCTTGCAACCGGCAACGCAATTAATATTTTTTAGTATTTAATTAACATTTTTAGTGACTGGCCTTTGGAAGCGTTTTTGGTCAGGAAATGAGTAATCAGATTCAAAGAGGAAATACAGGTCGGTACTTGAAACGGTTGACAGCGTATTAGAATTTTTGTATAAACGGTGTTCCGCAATGGCGCTATTTACTTAAAATGCTTCGAAAATTTAAAAGCATTATCCACAATAGAAGCCGCCTCTGTAGTACATACCGGTATAAGCCTCTCTCCAGGTACCTTGGAAAATTTAGAAGCCCAGGACTTTTAATTCAAAAAATACGATAATTTATAACTTTCATGGAACAAATCATTAATCTTTTTGCGAAACATTCTTTTAAAGGGTTGCACCGTCCCATCGCAACATATATGTCGGCTTTGATATACTTAATTGTCGGTTATTTCGCTCAGTTTATCAATAATTTTGGGCTGGAATACAATGACCTACAAGACATATGGTTACCCACGCAAATATTGTCATTTTTATTTACTTCGCTTAACACAAACACAAACTTTAAAATAAACAAAAATGGATCAGAATTTATTATCCATATAATAAACAAGAAAGCATTTTAAGGTTTTTTAACCAACACTATCCGTTTCCGTGTATTTTTTTGACAGATCAAGACAGATCATTATAAAATGCCGGTAAAAGATGAAGAAATTATGCATCGTGCAGCGAGCATAAAAATACGGGACTCGGCTAGTTTTTGAATATTGAGGAACTAACCAACGACGACTGGGAAGCCGAAAACGAGCACTTACGGTATTTTATGGACATTGGTTATGAGAACATTGGAAGGAGAAGAAAAGTTTGATAAAATCTTAACTTTGTAAAATATTTGCAATTTATTTCATAGTGCGCTGTACCACAGGTGAATAAAATATGCATTCATCACTTGTATCCGTCTTTGATAATGAAATATGAGTTATTATGATGATAGATGTTTTCTCACTAATAGTTTTATTAGTTACCTGAAGATCACTGTCAAATTTACCTGAAGATCACTGTCAAATTTTCTTCGATATGACAGTATCACTTTCCAAGATTTTGCAGATTTTGCTGTATTCGTGCGTATCTCGTGTAAATCTCGTGGTTCGAACGCACGCCCAGATTGGACCTATCCACCACATTGCAGTACGAGTACATATGCACTATGCAGGAGCAAAATTAGAGGTATGGCACAACAGTAAGCAAGATGCTGTGGGAATACCGCCTTTAACCGGTTTTGAAAAATTATGGAAATTGTACGGGAGCTGGTGATAGAGCATGAGCGTTTCTTAATCATGACGGCTATTTATGCATTTCGCTTATTTAAGTATTTTCGCGCAATAACATAGTGTTTACTAAGTCGACCGTCTGCTGCAAAATATCCTTGATCGCTGCAGACATCAAGTCATTAAACTACTGCAACTGGAGCATATCGTAAGCAATTCAGTAGCAACATTTCTTTGTACGCAGAGAGGTACAGAGGGTGATTTCGCAATATGCTTCCACTTCATTCATAAATTTATTACACTCTCCGCCGCATAGACTTTATTTTAATATTTGGTCTATCTGAAAGCCCTTCTTTTCTGCCATCAACTCCACACGATAACGCTAGGAACGAATTATTTTGTGGCTCAAGGTAATTGAAATTCTAGACAAAGATGGGTGCGCGACTGTTAACAAACCGCGAATCGACGTTGCATACTTGTGATACAAAATTCTTTTAAAAATCCCGTTCGTTGCAAAATCCATGGATGCAAAGTTCCTTGAGTTGCTCGGCCACATGCCCTTCGGAATGTATCGGATGCCCCGAGAAGCTAGCCTCTGGCAGGTTTTTTCGGCAGTATGTGCGGGAGCGGAGTCCCGATGCAGTACTACTTTCCTTTCTTCACCTGGAAAAAGACGGGGAAAGTCTTCTCACATTAATGGCTCGGACACGTTTTGAATGTAGAGATCGGCGATTATTTTAGCAGGGGGAGAAATGAACCGGATCACTGTTGGGCCACGATAAAAAATTTTGGCGATATACGTAACACCTTGTGGTTTTTTAACTTTCCAAAATTTCATCCAATTTTCGGAATTTTCGGATCTTTTAAACTCGTAGCAGATCTTACTTCGCTAGCCCGTATAATAGAGACAGACTGATGCTGCATCGATTAAAATGATGTAGGGCAAATTTCGCTGGTTCAGAAATTTGACAAATCGGGGAACACGAGAAGCACGCTGTTCTGCCTGCTTATTTGGCAGTGCATGTACTTTGCCTTTTTTACGTACTTTCGCTTCAAGATTACGATGAATAATCTTCAGCATCGTGTACTGGGATGTCCTAAATTTCCTTGCCAACTGTCTCTGAGACGGTGGATTCGGTATTAAGAAAGCCCTCTAGACGTCGGCGATGAGGGACTTTGTGGGAACTTTGGGTGGGCACTGATTTCCTAGGCGTTTTACAGGCGAACCATTCCCTTCGCTCTCGGGCCCCATATAGTTTCAAAAACCTATTCATCCTAGTAAGAGAAATATTGATCCCTTTGCTCATCAAACGCTCGGCGATTTTTCTGTGGCTTTTACAAATTGTTAATAACGCCAGCACACGGCACCTTGTTCTTCAATCGGTTTTTCATGACATGTTGATCGCTCGAACTCCACAAATCATTCTGAACAATTAAGCACACGTTGTCCCACAAGACTGTTTAGCAAACAAATAAAAAGAATAGAAAAGGAAATTCTGGGGAATTTTTTCCCGTGCTGGAAGCATATTGCGAAATCACCCTCTGTACACAGACCAATACCTACAACAATTATTAGTAGCCCCATATTTTTATACAACAGATCAGTACTGAGTAGCCACATATCTTATGATGGGGTCGACTGTGCACACTTATCCGTCGGCTTATAATTAATGGTCAGATAAAGCCGCAATGTTTGTGTTTTCTTCTTCCTGATAGGTTACCCGAGCAGTAAGCAAACCGCGCAATAACGCTTATTTCTCCTTCTGGCAACCGTCATAGTTGCTATTTATAATAAAATACGTCGATCTGTCGTCGCTGCATATCGGTAAGCTTTACGGATAATAAGGAGCTGTTTGTGTCTAATATTTTCGCATCCACGACGACCCTTTTCCAGCATTTTAGTACAATTAAGTTTTGAAAAAATATGTGCGTAATCAAGACGGAAATGGAAGAAGTCGAGGGTTTATTGCAGGCAATATTGCCTGCAATGAGTCGAATGTGTGCAATCTCTAGGGTAGGAGGATATCCATCAAATTATAATTCCAGTGTCATTACCAGTGCCAGCATGTTATTATATACGCAGCTGTCTAACGCTCATGATTAGTGAATATATTCCTGCCTATGTATTCCAGTCTTCTTTTTGTCTGTGTTTTATGTAAGTGTTTAATCACTTCCATGGAGTGAACTCCGTTTTCCAAAACTTGTTTAATGTGGACTAAAAGCTGTGTTTTTTTTACTTTTGACTATGTAATTACTGTCTGAAGCCTCGAGGGGGCTAGCGCTCCGTGCAAGGACAATAAACCTCCATTATTATTACTTTGGTTTTGGTAAGAGTTCGAAAGAGACTGAATAATTTTGATGGCGGGCAGTATATAGTAATTTACAGTTATTATAATTATGGTGCGAGCAGTTTACTGAGCTTACCCAAAGCTTCACTTTAATTGCATAGCTTTCACTTTAATTGCATAGCTTTGCAGTGGCATAGCTTTCACTTTAATTACAGATCTGAACGCCAATTATGGATCATAGGATAATCGGCTTATACGTTAACATCTTAGAGCACGCCACACAAATAAACTAGGGATGCTTGTTAACTGTGCATCAATCCACGAGCGCAAGCTCCAGTTTTTCCAGTACTACTTGATAAGGTATTGAATTTGTAGAATTAAAAAAAGTGTACAGTACTACTTCGAAGAGTTTTAATAGTAGCTATATGAGTCATACAGTGCTTTTTTAAATTATCTTAACCACGAAAAATATAAAATATTCAAACAAACTAATATGTTTCGTTCCATTAACTAATTTTTTTAGAATTCTTTGGGGCCTTGAGTCGAATCCAGTCCGACCAGATCTTTAAAAGATGAAGAAAACTTTGTGCAGCGCGCACCGTGAATGGGTCGATTAGGACAGCTGTCAAGAAGCAAGCCATTTAAGTCCCGGCATGTTTGCAATCATGATGCAACCACCATTGCGGAATGCATTAACTGTGAACCGGAAGTCGAGGACAGACACGAACTTTCTTTACAAACCTGTTAGTCGTCTCGCTCTTATTGATAATTATTTTTTCGAAGGTTATCGATGATAAGTATTCTTCATGATTCAGTGACTGCAAAATTTTGGTATGTTGTTATCATCACTAAATCTGACAGATCATGTGCGTACTCATAGATCTGTCAATACTTCTTACGTTGTTGTAGGGTTAAGCGCGTGGAGAGGAAGAGCGTAACATGGAGACGGTTTTATCGCGAGCAGCTTGCTGCATTTATCGGATTTGAAAAATTATGGCACATACGTACCTATATGTGACAGGTATTACTTGAACATATTAGCTTTTCTTGATCACGACGGCTGTTTACGCATTATGCTGCATGCATATGAGGATTTCATAAAGAAACAATCGTTTCATTTTGTACGAACAGATAATTAATTATCATTCTTAATTAATTATCATTCTTAATTAATTATCATTAATTATTATTGCTTTGACCTTAATTATCATTCTTACTGATGCTTTATGCGACACACCAACACATAGCAGCTGCGATGATGTAGCAGCAGCTAGATGTAAGGTGCCAATAGCTATCGGCAGTGCGGAGTAAACAATCATCCCTTCACTGTGAACGGCGCAAACAAGGTGGCATTTTTCATGCTTTTAGTTTTACTGATAAGTTATCGCTGCGGCAAGGAAACCGAAAAGAGTAATTATGCTGCTTTATCATTCTGAAAATCGCCATATTCACAGTGGAATTCATTGTACGGAATACGTACTAGTATTTCCGCATGCCTGACGACCAATTTTATCCAGCAGTAGTAATAATAATACACTAGCACAGCGCGCGGCGCTTACGCGCCGCGCTGCAGTGCAAAGGCGGTTCTTGTCGGCTGGGCTGTTTTTGCTAAACGAATCGAAGTGAAACAGTTCTATATGCTAAGTACGTCTTATTGAAAAGGGAATACAGTTACTGTAGCTAGAAACAGGTTAAACCGAAATTCTTCTGTTACAAATCGATTAAAAGCGTGGACAAAAAATGCGTAACCTTCGGTGACCAAAGGCTCAATAGGGCGGGCACCGCACGCGTGGCTTTCGGTGACCAAAGGCTCGAAAAGGCGGGTACCGCACGCGTGGCCTTCGGTGACCAATGGCTCAAAAAGCCGGGTAGCGCACGCGTGGCCTTCGGTGACCAAAGGCTCAAAAAGCCGGGTACCGCACGCGTGGCCTTCGGTGACCAAAGGCTCAAAAAGGCGGGTACCGCACGCGTGGCCCTCGGTGACCAAAGGCTCAAAAAGGCGGGTACCGCACGCGTGCCCTTCGGTGACGAAAGGCTTCAAAGGGCGGGTACCGCACGCCTGCCCTTCGGTGGCCAAAGACTTCAAAGGGCGGGTACCGCACGCGTGCCCTTCGGTGGCCACAGGCTTAAAGGGTGGGTGCCGCAAAGTTTGTTAATGTAATTAAAGTTATCAGGTTTGTTAAAGCATTAAGGTCTTGAAGCTTAGTAAGGAATAAAGCTAAATGTGAGATTCGGTTTATCAGGCGAATGTTCTGCAGGTAAAGGCGCTAAATTTCGGAAGCTGAGTTAAAATAAAGGCGTAACAGCACTGGTTTAAGGGGCTGCAAAAGCTTAAAAGTCGCTAGGCGGGTTCCGGCCAATCAGAAACGTAAGGCTGGTTCTGGCTTCTGGCCAATCAGAACGTTTTGGAGGCGGGAGCGTTCCGGAATCAGACCTCTGCTTTATTATATAGGATGTAGTTATACTGTATAAGTATTCATGGCAGGTGACAGCAGTGAAAGACCGCAGAAAGCCGTAAAAGACCAACTGACAGCCGGACCGGACGTGGGCAGGTACGTGTCCTCAATCGTGCATTCACCGATCACCGGAGTGGCACAGATCGGCTAGCATAGCTCCGGCAGATGGTCACTACGAGTACGATAGACGGCGATTATAAATAACGATTATGGCGAGCACATCGGAGGAAATTTATCGGACAACGCCCGCGGCGGCAAAAGTCCGGCCACGAAGACGGTGTAATACCCTAAAGGATGGATAACTGAATGGGTTCAATTTGTCTATTTAACATTCATCAGAACCAGTATGACATCCTGCTGTCAACAGTTTTGATACATTAAACAGTCGCAAGTGCGCGGTGGTCTGTTAAAAAAAGTGCTAAATTAGCCAGTGCCCATTGAGGTCCCAAATGGAGCTACTCCGGACTTCAGACTCTCAAATCACGGCATCATGACATCCGAAAGTAGTCATTAACTGTCATTGATGTCATCAGTACTGTATTGCATTTGGGTGCAACGTTTGTAGAGTTCAGTTCTTTTACTTGCGCGTGATGTGTGTACCGTTTACTATATACAGTATTTACAGAGCACGCAATGCAATCAGCACCAACTTTAATCAGCCAGTGCCCATGGCTGATACTTTTTAATGTTTATTCCTAAAAATATCGCAGATCCTGTAGGATTAAGCAACGTTAATCAAAAGGTCGCGGAGATAGAAATGAGTCAACAAAGTTCATTTCGTTGTAACATGCCATTATTGCTTCAAGAACGGCAAAGCTGACGTAGGTAGCGCGACAAAAACGGGACCGTGTATGTACCTTTCCGTGTGCCGTAGCATCCAAGATGCCACATAGAAAACTTATAAAGCCTCGCTTTTATCACAACAGCGACATTTGTTGCCGGCAGAAGGGATTCCAATATCACACTTTCTCATTCCGTTTTAGCGACTGAGTTTCAGTTATCTGGCACTTCACTATTCTTTGACCAAATTATCTCCTTCGTTCTGACCTTTACGACTTTGCAGCCATAATAACTACATATTTTCTGACTTTTTGCTCGTGAGCCTTAAATTTCAGCCGATCCAGCGCAGAGATGAGGAAACATATTCTATGTTTGGTTGCTGTGGGAGCGATGCAGCTGATCCTTTGCCAAACCAGTAAAACGGAAGATTTTCCTAAATTTCGTGCAACAGAAACGCCAGCGATCCAGCCGCAGGACGACAAACCACAAGGACTACCAGTCTATTGTAAAATGCAGATCGAGATCCCTAAGCACCAGTGGACGTCGTTTGAAATCGCAACCTTTGTCGTCAGTCTCCTGGTGTTGGCGGCAGAAGTTTACCTTATCTACAAGGCGAATTGTCCCCCCTGTGGCTCCGGAGCAGGCGACACGGAAGCACTGGTGAGACAGTTAGTCGCTGATATGAATGACCTGCGTTTTGACCTTCGGAATGGAAATTGGGAGCAACGCGCAGATCAAGTAATTCCACGGGGACAACAAAGCATCCGATACGATAACAGAAAAGTGAGTAAAACATGTAAAAGCAACGGCGTTAAAACTTACTTTCATGCTAACAGAAAAGCTAGTGGAAAAGATTCGAAACGGTATCGCCACCGCCACAGGCCAGACACCTTCAAACGAGTTTTTTAGACACCGAATTTCTATATGCAGATATAGCGTGGGAATGCGATTTGTGTAATGGGTACAATTCCCGATCAGGATAGCGCTGAGAAAGTGTTACTGTTATAAATCTGTTTTTCCAGTAGTAAATTTGTACGTGTTCGATGCTTATTAAAGGTTATTAAGAATTAAGGTAAGAAAAAACATTAATTACTTCTACCATATCAGAGCAGTTTAACCATCAACAAATACATGGAGAACTGTGATCCGCATGTATTCCATCACTTTCAGAGCGTTCCGCCACCAAGGATCGGTAGCCAACTGGACAATTTGCGCACCGGTTATTCTCGCTATCACCTTCCTTCCCAGCACATCACGGATAACCAGGTGGAACCGGGCCCCAGAGAATATTACCGTTAAACATATTATGATCCCATCCGACCCTTTTTTGCTGATGTATGCTAATGTGTTGATTTACTAACTGAAGATAAGCAAAATTTATCTGTTGTCTCTTACATTTAACTTTCCAGATGACCGAGACTCATAGTATCTAACTTCACACCTGTTTTAAAATGCAATTTACTGTCCCAACTGCTTACTATTTTGCGCAGAAGAGCACATAATGCGCCTTCTTTAACGGGCATTTTCTTTGTTGCTATCGGTAAACCCTAATACTCGTAGTATTCTCGAATCCTTACGTAGTTTTCCAAGATGCGTATAAATTTAAGAATTGACAAAATTTACATTATTCCAAAAAACAAAACTTTTGCGCTCTTCTTTCCTGACTTCTTTAACAGACTAGTGCTGGTCATCTGCGGGACATTTTGACGCAGGCTGTGTAGTGTGTTATACTAGCACTGGTTAATACCAATGGCTGCACTAATATCTGATTACAGATCCACAAAAAACTACGTAATAGCTGTAAATGTTGGTGGCCTCAGTGCCTGCGCGATTAATTAGGGTAAACCGCGTGTATAACAAGCGTTTTTGGCGGCTATAATGAGCGTAAGTGTCCGGAATTTGCTTGCATGTATTTACTCGTAAAAACAAAATTTTGAGCTTTAATTTTCCAAACCGCACGCTTGCATGCCGGTATCCCGTAGAAAAACTTTGAGGGCTAACTTGTGAGGATCGCTATCTTATGCAACAAAACGAGTACTGTGATCGATAATTGGCGGCAGAGTTGTTTCAAGTTTAAACCACGCCAGCAATACAAATACAACTCCTTAATCGGCAAGCAGTTTATGCATAATTTAACTTTCATTGCACAAAATGTACGTATGCGTGTTGAACAAACCATTCTTCAGCTTGCGGGTCCACTCGGAACCAGCATTCAATCCGCGCGGGCGGATAACTATAAGTATTACGCATTTCTACCCATAAGTTCATCTGGCAGTATTGCTCTTTGTCCCACGATTCCGAGTAGCTGCCTGTAACGTTTCCTGCAGCTAGACCGCGCAGTACGCTTTGGCGATCTACTATCGAGTTCAGGTAGTGGTCTGCAGGGACATAGACGAAATGCCGGTTAATTTTCCAGATAAAATGCGGTCCAGTGCCAGTAATACTGCAGTTAAAACGGGCCGTACAGGTCATGGTGTACCTCCAAAAAACGTTGGTCAAATTCTTCATAGGGATGATAAATAAATCGCGTGCTCCTAGCTTTGGTTGGAGCAAGTATTGTTGCATTACACACAGCTCAGAAGGGTCACCATTTTGGCAGTATTGAACACATTCCACGGTCCCGGCGCTATCGGCAGTTATATTATGAATAAATAAATAATTCCAACTTCCAGTCTTGGCGTGGCTGTAATAAAAGGAGCCTTCCTCCTGTCGAGGAGCCGCAATATCGGTCCCAATCAGTATGTTTTTATGGCGCCAGAAGACTTTTGCCGCAATAGGATGTATACTGTTCCCAGCAACCACCTGTGCTTGCGGTGAGCAGGCAAAGTTTGCGGTAGAACCAATTGCGGCTTTGACAGTGTTGCGGCGGCGAAGAGGGCCAGACTTAGTTAGCAGTGCGGTCTCGACGGGAAGGATAATGACATCGTCTCGTATGTTCTGCTCGGCTTCGTAAACGGCCATTTCCATTCGTTCAACTGCAGTCAAGAAGCAGTCAATTTGCAAATATCTACTTAAGGCGTACTCGGTCGCGGAATTGCACAAACACAAAGTCAATACTGCAAGGTGTATTAAAAAAACAGAAGTTTTGCCTTAAACAGTGGATCAATGAAAGCGGATTAGCTTTGTTAGAGTATGCTTTGTGCATGTACCCGATGGAGGTAGAATCAGATAATTCGTTAATTAGACGCCTACTCTGGCTTAGGCATATTAAGCAAATAAAAGCCAAGTCGGACAAAATAGGAACATTGAAAACATTAATGAATCTAAAAACAGCAAAATAAAATATAAACTGAAAACTATATATAGGGGGAAAAGCAGATGTGCTCCACCGTTTCCCTGTACTGCTGCCGTCCCCGCCTGGATAGTGATGTTACGGCAATACATATGATTAAATCGGTACAAAAACCATGTTTAGCCATAACGTCACACTCCAAGCGGGTGACGGCAGCAGTACAGGGAAACGGGGAAACACGTTTACTTTTCCCCCTATATCACAATATAAAAATGAAATCATCAAATAATAATTTATGACGGATAAATAAAATGTTAGAGCGATCAAGTAATAGGTAATTTACATGCAATAGGTAATTTACATGCCAAAATGGTAACACGGGAAAAATAGTTAGCGCTGCATATTGTAAGTATATGTGTACATGTGATGTGAGCGCCGCGTTAACTTAAGTTATATTTTAACAAAGTTAGGCGAGAAGCGCCGAGGTGACTGTAGTGTATAGTAAAGGATTCTCGTGAATGCCAATGTAAAGATGTTGTGTTGAACGAATGTTGTACCTGGCAACTGGCGTAGTTAATGTACATACGCAGTTGCGTTGTTGATGTTTTAGTCTGCTAAGGCGCAGCGCCTGAGCTGCTAATAAACTGAAAGTATTAGCGCTCAGTAAATACGTCACAGTGACACACTGCTGTCTGATCTTACTTGGAGATAGTTCACGAGGACTGGTATCCCGCGACACACTACATCCAATAACAAAACGGGGATGCGTAGCCGCGATAAGAGCAATCATTACAATGTGCCTTTGCAGCCAGTATACCATCTCTGGAGATCGATAGCCGAATTCTGGAGTGTTGTGTCTTACTGCTGAGAGATTCCGCGGTTTCAGAGTAACTGGATTCCATACGTGCATGTACAGTATTCTGTGCGGTCGCTACCAAAAGATTAAAAGGACAGAATAGATGCATCTGTGGATGGCAACAAACGCAATATGAATTACGTAATTATTATGATTCTGCTTCGTTGTTTAGGACCGCAACCCAAGTATCTTGAGGAAATGGATCATTTGCTTCATTATACGAACTATGAAATGGCGCAACTGCGCAAAGCGAGATCAAAACTTTTTCATAAGCATTTTACGAACGCCCAAAAGCCTAATTCGTACTAATAAAATTTAATGTTAGTTTGTTACTAGATTAGAATAATTAGTTTAATGCCGGCACCACGTAGTCATGGATACAACCTGATTTTCGAGACTGAACACACAACGCTAAACAAGTCATCATCAAGATGTTTCCATGGATTTCTATTACTGTAATTAGCGTGTGCGTTACCGTTAAACTGCAAATATTAATTAATTTTCCTAAAAGATGATCCCTTCTGCCCGTTGCAGAAAGAATCGGAATCATTCTCAGTTTTAACATTTGTTGCAATCTGTCTGTATACACCGTACGTATCTGTATATACGTAGGCGCATTCTTTTATTAGGCAGCAGCCCTATAATCAAAATTTCTTATTCATTTTCATTAGTGTGAATCCGGACGTGTCGCGTTGTACGATACTCGTCTACGTTGTGCCGGGGTTCAAAATATTACAGTACATGCCCGGACAGTATTGCATAACATGCCGGTCGTCTTTAATCATCTACAATCTATCGGTCACTTTTGTTACGCTATTGTGACAATCACTAGATTATCAAAATGTGTGCTCAGAAGAAACATAGCGGAGATAACAATTTCAAGATACAGGTAATTTTGCTTTGCAGAATAAAATTACACTGCTTCCTGTGCATATGTATATTAAGCATTGGAACAAAGCCGCGTTGTCGAAGCGCTTGCACTTTTCAGGAGTTTACTTAACAGGCAAAATCGGCGAAACATGGATATTCTACCAACTTTCTTAGTTTTCTTTCATTTTGTCTACTCCGTTCAGGGACAAGGTACTCGTACGATATGAACTGTTGCATGTACCAAGCCGTCGTTGATGCTCCCTAATAATTTTTATGTATTTGTTCTGTTTTTTTACTGAACGTTACCCATACAGATGGCTGTAAAGTTCCTGCAGTAATCAACGCCAGCGCTGGACGCATTGAATCCCCGTATTACAGTTACTTTCCTAATTTCAGCTACCCGGCTAACGCCAAATGCCGATGGACAATAAAAGTCCCTGATCGAAAGGCAAGTGCAGTGGAATGATGGTTACCGTGATTTTTTACAAAACAATCCTAACTTATGCAAGCATGTTAAGCATATTTTTTGCACTTATTTACCGTAGTTAAACTTATCTACTCGTAGGACTTCTGGCCTTAAAATCAGCAGTACTCATTTTTCCACATAAACGAGAATATAGTGCACAAATAAGATAAATCGTTTAACAAACAATTTTTTTTAAATGGTTCGTTCAGAAAATCAAGCTGAGTTTTCGGGACCGTTTCGAGCTACAAACATCGCCGTCGTGCATAAGCTACGATTACGTGACCATTTTTCCCGTGGATGAAATTGCGGAGAGCAACTTCGGGGTTTGCATGTACGTACAAGGCGTCACAATGTAAGCTTATTTGTACAAAGCCGCTCGTCAAATCGTACACCACCACAGTTATCAGGGACGTTTTGTGGCCACCCGCGCAACCCTTTTCCACCCGTTGTTATCGGAAGTGACGAAGTGATTGTGGAGTTTTGTAAGTAGATTTGTAGAAGCCTAAGCGTCCTTCTGCATTAAAACATTTTCGACGTTTTTTTGTTGTCCTTGTTAGGTACAAATTCGTTCAGCCAGTAGTAAGTAACACTAAGCTGCATAAACAGCAGAAAATTGCCTAAACCTGCTCGCACAAAAGCCAAGGTTTCCGGTTGGACTTTGAGGGCACCACATTGCCGCCATCTCCGCCCGTAACCACAACAACCGAGAAGCCTCGCTACATTTGCCCAAAATTGAAACTCAACGTCACCAGTGAGACCCGGGAACTGTTAATCGAATCACCACGATTTCCTGGACCCTATCCGGCTCCAACGTATTGTACTTGGGAGATTGACATGAATACGCTACCTGGCAAATCGCTCTATGTACAAGACTGCGGATTGCTGACAAAATAAGGTATAGCAGCTCGAGTCATTTGGAAAGTTTTTACATTTGCAGATCCACGCTGAGGCGTTCGATATTGTAATGGACCCGAATAATTATTATGAGGCCGATGAAATGGGAATCAGCGAATATACTACAAATGACGACTACAGAGATTTTAGTTCCATAGGAAGCACGGTCCAACGGGCCTACGAGTTGGAGGAATAGTGGTATGTATTCAGGCGTCGCTGCATATTCACAAAACTAGACCGGTGTTAACAACGTTCCGACATACCTAGTCGCATTTTCGCTTTACAGACGATTAGGTTTATTACAAAAGCTCAACCAACTACCGCTCAAGGTTTCAGACTCCGATTAAAAGGTTAGCAGCGATCCACGTTTTGCTGCCGGGAGTGGGGGGGGGGCTTATTTTACGCTGACATCTTTTATAGTTTCTGATTGCGATGTCAGGGATGGCTGTTGCATCGGCACTCCAGAGCAAGATGTCTGTTTCAAAGAAGAAATTATGTGCAACGGTAAAAAATCATTTGCTTCGTGCTTCTTTGTTCTGGTGCGGGATTCTAGTTACCCGATCACATGACGTTATCACTTTAAAATATTGCGTTTTTATTATCACACGTGACAAGTGGATCACGTGCAGCAGTTTGGGGAAGCAAGTTGTTACTTTAAAAAACCAGTGCATAATAAGTTAATAATTAACAATGCCATGATCGTCATCAGAATCGGACTGTTGGCAACGTCGACTGTCACGACGCTTTAGACGAACAGTGTCCATCTGGTTGTGGAACTCCTGCTTCTTCGCCGTGGCTAAGCAATAAAGATACCAGGATTTTGGGAGGCATCGATGTATGTGCGCGCGCATGCTAACTACAGCCCAGTGTTCGTACTTGTTTTATTTTAGGCACGACCACACAGTTGGCCGTGGCAAGTGGCCTTCGTTGCATTCCACACGCACTTGCTGTGCGCTGGGTCCGTTGTAAGTTTCCCATTAAATTACTGTAGTATAAAGGCTTGCAAATGCGGCTGGACAATGCGCGTATATTCCACAAACTGCCAGACAATATTAATTTTGAAAGCTATGTACATATAATGCGTACCAACCAAACATGTATGGTAAGCTTAAAAGACCAATTTTTTGGGAAATGACCCTCAAAAATGTATTTATATTTGCAACTTTTGCAACCTGCTGTGACATCCTCCAACAATACTGGCCGTAATAAAACTATCATTAAACGCTTGAAAAGTTAACCGCAAATAGAATTACTTTCAAGTTTTTAATAACAGGCTGGATGCTTTAGTGAGCGCTGTGGTCGGCGAACATGACCTTTCGCAGTCACGCGAGCCAAATGTCGCCATGTACTATGTGGACCGATTGGAACGATTTCCTACGGGTGACTCAGACTTTCGACCGGACGATTTCTGCCTTGTTAAAACTAAATCGGTACCAGGCAAGCGGCATCTCTTTCCCCTCCCTTCAGTACCGTTTATCTCTTTCTCCGGCTGCATCGCTGCAGTGTGTGAACGCACACGTGAGGCTTTTGATTCAGCCTTTTCACAGGCGGCACAGGCGATCTCATCTGTACACTGGATCAGTAACATCAGTTGCGTAATCTGCTGCAGCCGAGAAACCGGTTTAGATCTGAAATGGCTGAATGCAATGTGTCACGTGTGCGCTCACACACGGCAGCGATTCAGCCGGAGAAAGAGATAAACGGTACTAAAGGGAGAGGAAAGAGATGCCGCTCGCCTTTTACTGATGTTCATATTATTTTTGTTTTTGTTTTTTTTCATATTATTTTTGTTTTGATAAAAAACAGCAATACACCACAATAAAAATAATAATTTGCTGCAAGCAACTATAAAAATTTGAGTTGTAACGTTATATATATGGAACATTTCGTACCAAAGAAAAAAACTGGAACATTTTTTTGCTCCTTGTAGTCACTATAGACATCTGTAGACAACCTGTAGACACCGTGTATACTTACATCCTGTATACATCCTAAGAAACCAGATGACTACGGTCTACCGATAGGTCTACAGGGTGTTTGCAGCCTGTATACAGAAGTCTACTGTGTCTACAAGAAGAGAAAAAACGAGCCACTTTTTTTCTTTGGTACAAAAGGTGCCACAGGTGAACGTTATGATTGTATATGGACGAATTTCCGTTTGTGGAAAAGATTTTTCAACGACCACGTGATGCCAGTTTGTCTGCCTTCTGTAATCGACCCACCGATCAACACCACGTGCTATCTTACTGGATGGGGTTTATCGGAACAACCACAAACGAATATATATGGAACGGCATTACTAAAGCAAGCGGATTTGAAGATAGCCGCTCCCAACAAGTGTATGGGCGTGGATAACGTGGAAATCCCTGGCATGCGCCGCAGCGTAATTTGTGCAGAAAACGGCCACAAAGAAAGGTCATTCTACGCACCCTTAACGGAGACTTTCATAGTGGTGCTGATGATAAAGCGCAAACGTTGCAGTTGCTTCATGGACGACGGAGCGCCGCTGGTATGCCGTAACAACTATCGATCGCAGCTTGTCGGGTTATCCAGTGCACGGCTGTTAGTACAAAGAATGCATTCTTAAAACTTCCCTCTGAAACCGTTTTATCTTCACAGGCCCAGCTCCTGCAGCATCGCTGATCCGTATCCACAGCAGTTTGCTAAAGTTTCGTTTGCTCTTGAATGGATTGGTTCAATAATGTTCGGATAGTTAACATAGGGGGAAAACCATTTTAGTCGAACCAATTCACGGCACTGTTGCCGTCACCCGGCTGGAGTGTGACGTTACGGAAATACATATGGTTAAATCCGGCGCGGTAGATACAGTATATAACGGGCAAAACTAAGCGTCTTCCACCGTTCCCCTGTACTGCTGCCGTCACCCGCCTGGAGTGTGACGTTACGGCAGTGGTTAAATCTGGCGCAGTACGTAAGCGCCATGTTCAGCCACAACGTCAAGCCCCAGGCGGGTGACGGCAGCAGTACAGGGGAACGGTGGAAAATGCCTACTTTTGCCCCCCTATATACCCCAAAGGCCCAAACGTAGTACAGATATAAAATGTGGTTAGAAATTATTTTTTGTCAAATTGGTCTAATTGGTTAATTGGTTTGGTCAAATTGGCTCGTACGTATCTCTGTGACGTTATGGTGTTGTGGTGCTAGTTTGTACAATTGATTGTGTGTACGCCCACACAGTCCATCTTACACGAATCTTACATGTACAGTCCATCTTACATGTATTGTCATTGCCGTTGTTCGACTCTAGTAGTGCGAGAGTAATGAATCAAAATCCCTCTCTTAATTTCATTCATTCAGGTTCATTCATTCCTCTCGTACTCCTAGAGCAGGGCAATGGTACTGTATACGTATGTTTTACAGAAGAACGACAAATTTGCTCCCGATGATTATTAGTATGTACAACTCACTTCTCACTCAAAATTCATAGTTTCTGTGGTTTATTAATGAACCATTTAAGCCGGGTTACAACGTGCTTTTAAATATTTTGGATTGTACAAACTATGGGAATTTTTCCCCTTTCAAATTAAAGCCATGACCAAGTTGAATTTATTCGTACATGCGCACAGTCAAGCTACAGAATTATTGTATTTCTGGCCTTGAGCATGCATATAGACGTACGCGTCATGCAGTGCGTATACACTTCTCATGCTTACATCGATATAAGCTGGGAATATGCCGACATGATTCATAAAGCCATAATTACTGTTCGTATTTCCATCGAAGGAAAGTGAAAACGTACACCAAACCGCCGGCAAAACAATCATCAGCGGATTCTCATCGCCGACACTTGCGCTTGCTAAGCAGCGGCATCTTTAATGAGCAACGGGCAAATGACCGCACATCCCATCAATCAATAAGCAAAAACCAAAATAATTCTACCCCAACACTTATTAACAGCTGCTGCTATGACTCGATTAGGACACAGACAGACCAGACATGCCCACGACTTATTAGTCATAGAAAAACAAGAACATCATCTCACAGTCGGCAGAATGGGAGCCGTTTTCATAAAAACAACTTGCAACATTTTGGTTAAGGCTAATAGAGCAAGTTGCAACCGTTTCGCCCCATTGTGCAAAAAATCCAGTCGTGATCTTAGTTATTATCCGCGCTTTGCTTTTTTGCTGTCGGAGCTTTAGCAGTTAATTACAGCTTATCACAATGGCCTCGTAAGTACCTCATCGGTTTGCTCTGTTAGTATGTGTTACAGTTTTAATTTCCAAGGTTGCCAGAATTTATTTTAAAATTTTTCAGGGATTTTCTGCAGGTAGAAATTACTAAAAACATTTTGTGCGACCAATCTGGAAATAAAAAATAAATTAAATTTGTTATTATTGTAAATATTTTAAATTCTTTTTAGATGGTCGTTATTGTGATTCTGGAATTGGAATAAAAAAAAGTGCTCGTTTATTGAAATACCTAAACCGTGCCGAAGTATTAGAAAACCGTGTTCCTTTTACTGCGCTAAAATATTTATTAAATCTTGGTAAACGGAGATATCGCAGAGAATTTGGAGCATTTTTATCGTATTTTTACTATAGAGATCGTTTGCATTGTAGCGGAATGCGCTACTCGCCGAAATGGACCCAGAAGCCTACCATGAACGAGGCTGCTGACGGGAAGAATTTGCTGATTGAATGCCGTTTGACCTCTGACTCGGAGCCGCAGATCGCCTGGCTGGTCAATGACGCCCAGGTTCAAGACGGCGGTCGGTACAAACTGGTCTTCAAGAAGGAGAGCGGCAACGCGTATTACGCCAGCCTCAACGTCTCCGACACGCAGAAAAAGAGCAACACCACCAAGTATGAAGTGAAGACCAGGAATGATGCCGGCGAAAGCAGCGCCACCGTTAACTCGTTCTTGGGCTAATAAAAAAACCACAGACTACTCTCTGACTAATTTTCTCTCGCAGTCATTTGTACGTGTAAATGTTTTTCTATGCGGTAACACGCGCTGCTTATGTGACTTTCACGTAATGCATTTCGTAAAGATAAATTTGGCATGCTGTAACGATCAGCGGTATTAAGGTAGCCGGAGACAATACCGGCATCGGCTGTTGTCTGGTGCAGTACGGTTGATTTTTCTGCTGACAAGTAATTAAACGAACGGCTAAGACTGTTGTTGGAGACTTGGCGGTGGTGATGGGTAATTCAGGCTTGAAGTATAATCGGCAGTGAATGTGGTGCATTCATGCGCCAAGACGCCGTGGTAATGCGATGCAGCGCCAGCCACAATACCCGCTTAGCGGTGCCAAACACTTTAAGCTGCAGAAGAGTGGCCGCACGCATATATATAACAGTCAAATTTCCATGGTTGATAATGCGGATCATCAAAATATTCTGTTTAATATTTTTCTGGCGGAGATAGAAATCGAGTTACAATGGTGTGGGAATTTATTGTGGTTGTGGCGGTGAATCTGTGCGGGTTGTATGCGCTGCCGTTACAAGTTGTTATTCCGGACTCCAACAACGATACAATCCGTAAGACAATTCGATTAACTATAATACGAGTATTATTACTGCTTTCTATAAAATCCATTTTGTTCTAAGAAAAGGTTTCCTTCGAAAAATTCAGCAACTTTGTATTATGTACGTACATCTAAGTACTTTTATTTTTGCAAAAGAAAATTCAAAATTATGTAACATAACTGCAATTACACAAGCCGCAGATGCCACTCCAAGTTGAACTTTATTTCGTTGTAACCACCTCGTTAATTTTGTAATATTTGGTCGTTGCCCATCGTTATTTCCGTACCGGTATCAGTTAATGTGTAAAAATAAGATTTGGTACATCCATTTTATTAGAAAGTAATTCATTCTAAACCTTCTGTTGTATTCCTAGATTTTAAAAATATTTGCCTTTACATGTTATGTTTTATATGACACAAAATATCAGCTTTTTGGGAAAAACACAGGAAATTCTATCGATTGCACACTACTCCAGCGTGGAGCTCCACCCGATGCTCAATGGATTCCCCACTGTGACCCCGACACCAACCAACTCACTCCACATCAAGTAGCGGTCGACGGACTGGAATTTTGTGTGGATAGTGCCACGGGCGTGAACATCTTCGGACCAGTAAACCACTCGATCAGTTGCGAATGCGTAATCCGCGCGTACAAGATACTCCTCACCGACCGTAAACCGGCATATCTCCCGCAGTGCAGCACCAAGAACGGCGATTATCTGGCCAAACAGTGCGCCGATAACGGTGACTGCTGGTGTGTGGATAAACATGGCACGCAGTTGGGACCGCGCTGGAGCTCGACACCGGTGAATGCCCAGCAGCGCTGGGAGGATCCCGTGCATGCCACGGTTAGACGGGATAAACCCCGATTGAGCTGCGGTATGGTCAGGAAGTTCTGGGAATCATGGAAACTGTGAGACGACGGACAACGAAATTTTTTACGGATTTTCCGTTACAAACTGGACAGCTCTGTGGTAACTGTGGTGTACTCACAAAATGTTTGGGCGCATATGCGAGTAGTATTTTGGGTTTAGAGTTTTATATGTTTTTTTTTATTTTTGAATGCTTTGGGAATTTCTGATTAAAGAACTCTAGACGTACACGTAGCTTTTGGCCACTATTTGACCTTTCAGTATGCAAAACGGCTCCTACTGGCTACGGCTACAGTATAATGTGGTCTCCGATGTCGTTCGCCTGTAAACACGCAAATTTATCCACATTTAATGCGTCGATGCTTTTTATATTCGACACACTTCCGCTAAATGGTTAATAAACAGGTTAGGGGTAATGGTAGAAGATCTTTAGTGTCCGGGTATTAAAATAGCACGGTGTTGATTAAAGCATTCTTCCCAACTTTATTTGATTTATTTCATTCCACCTGTGCTACGAATTCGCTGACCCTGAATAACTTTGTCAAAACTTATGATATTTTCTGTGGTGGTACTGTACTTATGCTGTATTTGCACTGTATGTATATATCTACTGTATATATTTATGGTGTAGTTTATATTTATACTGTATTTATTTTTTAATTTGAATTAACACAGGAGGTTTGTGCGGCTGTGCGCTTGTTTATTGTAAAGTTATGTACAGTAGGGCTGCTACATGATATTAATTCAGTTTTTATGTTTCATATTTCGCTGTTAGTGGTGTCGTATCCGAATACACTGCTACGATAGCATTTCTGATGCGAAAACAGCGAAAATCGATAGAAAACACCAGATGTTCAAGGCTAACACTCCCGGATGTGAGATATAAGATATTGTAGACATGTTAACCGTTTATTAACTCGATAACTACGTCATTTCTGATAGCAGTGTTAATCAGCAAACAAAATGTCAGGATTTCATACTGACATTACTTGCAAGTAGTTATGCACGGGAATTCCGAACAATTACTCTGACCTGATTATCAGTTTTACTGCTTGTTATTGGCGTCGCCCTTTTGTTTCAGTTAGTCGGCTTAGCGAATCAGTTGTCTTGTCACTCCTATAAAAGGACAACCGTTTACGATTAATACAGAGACTGGTTCCGAACCTGTAACATCATATACCAAATGCTTTTAGTGAAAATGTCCGCTATATTTGTATATATTTTACCACACATTGCTGGTTTCTTGATTATTGGGATCGCAGCCGATAACAACGGACCTCCCGGTGTCTACCTTAGCCCACAGTGTATCGAGCAGCAGCAACGCTGCTGGCAGCTCCACAATGCTTTGTGGCCGGAAACGACGGATTTGCAGGCGCTAAGCCTGGCAATGGGAACGAATTCAGGTGTTGAATTCAATCTGACAGCGGGAGTTGATCAGTACTGCAGGTAATAATCCAAAATAACCCGAAGTGTATGTGCTTGATCACAGTTCAGTTTTTTAGGTACAAGCGCAACCGTCTTTTTAGTTTCATGCGATTATGCTTGTTACAAACTTTTTCCTTATTTTGATATTTTCCACAGTAACACTAACTTTTAGAACTCTTAGAATTAATGGCATATGTTGACAAGGCATTTCTACAGTAAACTATTGCGGAGAAAAAAAGAGGTCGTAGGTTTAAAAAAAATGATGTTGCAGAAAAAGTATTCCAGTTATGACACCACCACCTGCAGGCACCGCGTAACCTTACTCTTGTTTTTTTTCGCAGATACAATCAACCGATAATGCGCTGCAATCTCGAAATAGCTTCTGTCTGCTTTCCTGAACGATATCCCCTTTTTGTAGTCAATGTTCGGCTCGTAAATGAAATCTGCCAGTCAGAAAATCGTTACTTGTACTTTCACAGCCAGGTGACTTGTTTGTACCGGAAGTTCGATTACTTAGCCATAGCCACCAATTTCTCCATGGAAATGCACGCACTCAATTTTACTTCGGATTTCCTTACGGCCGGCGCCCAAGCTGCGTTGGACTGGGAATGCCAGTACGAATCAGTTTGCGGAAAATATTCGCGTATCGCAGCATAGTTAACGTATTTCGATTGGTAGGATCTTGCTGAGAATGCGTGGATACTTGACATCGGATGTGATTTATGAGCAATGCGGGCACGAAGCGTCGTGGGTCATTCCGGAATATTTTCAGATCATTGACAATGTCCTTCAGTGTGAGTTCTAAAACGTCAACGAAGTGGTGTTTTCTGTATAAATGTTGATACAATCATATCTGACGTGGTGTGCAAATATGGGTCCTATTTGCAGGTGTGGATGGTTTCTCGCAGCTACACATTTCCCCGCCCACTGCTGTACAGCAGTTGTTCCGGCTAATTGGAGGTGCTTCAGCAAAACTGTGAACTGCATCCATCCTTTGAATTCGTCAATCAAAACGTTTCGTTTTGGACGTGGAATCTTCCTCGTAATTTTACGATACGAGTTCGAAATATAGAGCCTGTATAATACTGTATAGGCACATACTACGAGTATATGTTAAAGTGGTTAAGTTTCAACGGCAGTACCTTATGCCACCCTGTACCGGGTGGCTGAACAAAATGGCCGTCTTCGTTTCTGGCTTGTTTCTCGCGAACCGTTAACCACATCGCTAACAGTTTAAACTCGTTCGATAGAGAATTTTATTGACTACTGAAAAACAACAAAATTTGTTTTAAAAAATTGAGATACGCTCGTTGACAAGGGGGCCAACCAAATCGTATAAAAAAAATAAAAAAAAATAAAAAAAAATCGTATAATCGTGTAAAAAATTATCGTATCCCATCTCGCAGAATTCAGAATTTTGCGGCATTTCCTTCCCGTAAGAGCTGTTAACAATTTCCCAACTGTTTTATTTAGAGAATGACATCGTTTTTCATTCAAAAAAATTTGTTGACATAGTACTTGCGCCAAATGAGCTATACAGTTAGAACGTTTCGATATTTTTCGAAAAAGTTGCAAGTTTGTTACCTGATTTTTTTACATATTTTTGCTATAATTTTTTGTTGCGCGACTTGGCGCATCCAAAAATGGCGGTTTAGTTGATAAAGGTAGCTAAGACACTGGCCTATCAAAAACGGGTTTAATCTAGAAAATTACTCCAAGTGTTCATAAGGAATTCGTTTTCATAATTGCTACTTGCCCATTTCACGAGAATTTCATGTGCGTGGCCTGAGCTCTCTCGTTTCCTGGCCGAACACGGTCACAAGATTGTCATAGCTCTTAGCAGTAAAAAACCAAAGAACAACCTATCTTCCAAAAATTGTAATGTAACACACAGTAATGTACTTCTATAAATAACAGGAATTTTTGTTCTAAAATAAAGAAACTCGAATTTTCGTTTCCAGGACAACCTCAAACTCCACCTAGTTTTCCAAAACAATTTACTATAAAATCAGACCTTGACGTAAGGTTTACTTAACATAAATTTTGTACGTCCTAAAGATTGTTTTTTCGAATAAAATTAACACATTGGCAATCAGACAATAGACTGAGCCAGGGCACCTTGGTAAATTAGACGGCCATTTTGTTCGTTAACTTCTTCACAACTATACATATTTCAATGTTGCTTCGACCCTTATCAAATAGAATATACGAGTAGGTTCCTGTCGCTACAAAACCCGGCTTTGACGGTTGAAATTCTAGAAATTCAGCAGAATCGTACCCTCCAAAAGCCCCGGCTTCCTCTCCGTCAGAAGATTTACGAATGCACAACAACTGAAAAAATTTTGAAATGTAAAGGCGTTGATGCTCCGGGAAATTGTGCTTACGGCCTTTTCGAGCGTAAAAAAGGTGACTTTTTGGATAGCTGTGGATACAAGATACTTTCAGTCCAGCTAAATGTGTAATCGTTACACGGTTGCAGTGCCACTTGGCTGCCTTACTTTTCCATTACTTTCGTCGTTCCGCGTTATTATTCGTTAACATACCATTTCAGAAAATTTTAGTAAAGGATGGCCACTGCCCACTGTAATGAGAAATCCAGCTACTGTACTATCACAAAATAAAAAAAATCCAGTAAAGGTTTTTTCGAACGATATTTAGAAACACCTCGGGATCATCACACAAGCTTGTTGTTACTGCCTTTATTAAGATAATCTGGAAGTTTTCGATTTTTTACACCTTTGTAGTGTTCGTCAATGTCGTCACTGCGACGGTTGTTGTATTAGGCTCCGACGTGGTTGTATTCGGAATCGTACTTGTTACAACCGGGTTCGTGGTCAGCAACGTCGTTGTTTCTGTCGACGTCGTGGCCTGTATCGATGTCGTTGCCTGTGTCGACGTCGTTGTTTGAGTCGACGTCGTTGACTGCGTCGAGGTAGTCGTTGGAAACTGGAACACTTTCCAGGATTCTCCTTGTATGAAATGCAGCATCTCCCAGAAGGAAGAATTTACAGCTTGATTCAGCGTGCTGCTTTCACTGCCTTCGCAATGATGATCGAAGTAGTGCCATGCCGGGATCTCGTTGTACGGCACCGGTCCACTATAGTCTTTGGAATGGTTGGACATTTGTGCATCCACGTACAGATATTTTTGATAGAGTGGATTCTTGTTATAAATTTCAAAAGGAACACTGCCGCTATTGTGCAGCCAATCGGTTTGGTAATCATAACGGTAGCGCATTAGTATGTCCCGAATGTACGGATGTTTTTTCCGGCATGCGATGAATCCGCTGTTCATTACGCTGTTCTCGCGGGACAGTAGGCATTCGTATTTCCCCTCCCTCCATTCTTTCACCAAAGCTAGGGAAGAACCGGAAGTGCAATGCGCTGAATTTAAGTACCATAATAAAGCAAATTCTTTGGATTTAGGAAGAATGAAAGTTTTCACCAGTTGCTTCAAAACTTTCGGCCGTCATAATTTATATGGTTCTCGCCGATTTTTGTAATTCTCAATAATATATTCTTACGTTGTTTTGAATAGTGGAGAACATAAGCAGCTAAAATAAAAATACGGTAAGTCGGGAAAAACGAGCTTTGTGCATTTCAGAAAAGCCCTAAGTGGTACAAAAGGCGCAGATCAAATTAGGTACATTAACATTTTAAAATATACGCATTGCATTTAAAGACCATCTAGTACACTGTAAAGTTAAAAGAATGTGCTTCTTCTTAACGCTTTCTTTGTTCAGGACCGCTGCCATGGAATTGGATGTGTTTGTTCGTTTCATGTTTATTTACCTTAAGGCGCATAAAAAGGGCGCGAATTCTGCCCTTTTTAGCTTTTCAATGCATGCTAAATTTTTCAGTTTTTAGGTGGTGCGAAAGCTGAGTGCACGTACCGTTGATTTTGGGAAGATAAAAAACATCCAAATCGGTAACCATTCCACCATATTCGTACACCGCGTTGTATTTCACTACATCAGCTTCGTGAAAGATATTATCAAGGCGTCGCCCATTGAGAGTAAACCGTTGACGAGTGTAGATAATTTCTATCATAGAATAATTTGTGATCATGTAGCAATTAGTGAACGGCCAGTAGTCTGGATAATTGGTATGGATGTAGATCTTAGCAGGTTTCACAAAAAGAATGACGGAAGCGATGCTCAGACACTGTGTCCAGCAGAGGCCATGAAAATCTGCACTGGGTGGATCCTTGTACAACCGAACAATATGCACCGGGAACTCGTTGCCTTGTTCGGAGACGATGGCGGTTTTCAGCACATCAGGAACAGGATTGTCTGTATTGGTTTCCGCTGTGGAGCTTTGGAGTGTTGTACTGACTTCGGATGTGGGATATTCAAGTGATGTATTGACTTTGGGTTCAAGATATTGGAGTGATGTGTTGATTTTCGGCGTAAGATATTCAGCAGCAAAAAATGTGAATTTGCTGTTACCGAGAGACATCAGGTGAAACATTGCGACATATACCGCACCCAAAGCAATTGGTATGACTATGACAATCTGCCACACCCCGCTCATCGTCTGTTACGTATACCTACTACATTAAACCGAAAACAGTAGCATGGAGGTCCTTGGAGGTTTATTCCATCAGGTGAATATTCCTATAGCAACTCGCTGAAGTGCGCTGACATCGGAGAAACAGATAAAATAACATTAAAGTACATATTACTGATTGTTATTTCAGCAGAAAACACTGTGTACCGGCTAAACGGTACTGGCGCGGTGTAAACGATGCTAACCATACGACTCCCCAAAGATGCGCATGTAATGCGGCATTAGCCACTCTCTACGACGGCATAACCTGGGGGTTATATCGACTTTGTTAGCGATACTGTTCATAATGCTAAATCTATAAAAACAACTGATCTGCAGCCACAGCAGCTTTGCTGTAGATTCGGAAGATGCATGAAGAAAACACGATGAAAACAACATCGTATACGTAGCTACGTAGTTAGATGAGCGGCATCTTGAGCTCATTGCTGGCACTCTGTAATGATGTTACGACGTTAAGAGTACTGCATAATAACTTTCATTACGCTTGCTGACTGCCGCGCATCAAAATGGCCTGTGCTGATAGTGATGTTGTTCATCTATCATTCTCACGCTGCATCACTTGATTAAACATTAGTTTAGGTGGATACTACTGGGCTTGGTGTGGGCTGTTCGCAATTAAAAGATTAATGTGTAATAACAACTATTATTGTACGTAATTCGTGAGCACGCTTTATGCAGGTACTTACTTACTTTAAAATGACGCCGTGATTGACTTGATACCGCGACTGGCCTTTGCCATGCGAATTCGTTTTTATCAAGTAGCGACAAAATTTAATTTTTCACGAAACCTTTTGCTTCTAAAGAGTTCTGAATAGCTAACTCACAGACAGTGTGTTCCCGATACAGTTTTTATTCGTACATGTTCACCAGCATAAATTTAGCTTTTTCAACAGTAAAATGTAGCCGCAAAAGCGTATCTTTATCTCCAACAAAGGCAGAGTATGCAGTCGGCGATCCCATTTTCAATTTTTAGTTAAGGGTCGGTTGATTATGTGGCTGGTGGACTGTCCGGTTTGAATTGTTAGTCCCGGATAACTTTTTGGGACGGCTTGAGGTCTTCTTCTTTAACGGAGGCGGTCTCAGGGGAACGTTTTCGGTATCGCTGGTCCGATTATTCACTGGATTGCCAAACTTATCACACGATCCAGGATAGTCATAGCAGCGCTTAAACGCCATCTCCATCTGTGCATAACAAAAAGTTGTCAACGACAAGAAGACAAATAATAACATAATGATCGGTAACGATTGCATTATTGCACTGTGGGAGAAAAAAATTTGTTAGATATACGGCTTGTTTTTCCAAAGAGATAATAAAACAGAGTTTGCATTGGCAAATTAATGCTTATATAAAGCTGAACCAACGACAGATGCTTAATATCTTTTCTGTTTTGCTGCGGGCACTAAAACAATTTCCCATAATTTTTTATTTATTCTGCTTCTGGTTTGCATGAGTTACTCATACTGTCATACAGACTCCAAAATGTACAGTTCATGGTAGCCACGCAATATTTCAATATACTGTAGTTTATTATTATGCAGCGTCCTACCGGCTCCGCAAACATTCCGCCTAAAGGGTTCCTTCACTATCTAATATCTACTGTTACACACTAACGCTATGCGAAACGGCTTCCATCTGAATTTACCGTACGTCGAATACATCGAATTAAGAGATCATTAAATTATTCTCAGAAAATAACTGACTATGTACTGGTTAGAAAAAGGTTTGGGGCTAAATGCATCATCACTTAAACTATGTGATTAAGCGTTATAACTTTCTTCTTCTGTTAATATCATTTATCAGGACGATTCGGTGCAATTCGCTTGAAATTTAGGAACGACGAAAGTTTAAACTATTTGTAAAATGTCGGCTGCAAGAGGCCATCCAAAGATTTCGCGGATTATTGCGCCGACAAGATATCTGCATACCATGGCTGGCATAGGTTTAATGCTATAGCGTAACGTTGTTATGTCGTACAGATTCAATACAAATACTCATATGATAGAATAATTATAATTCTGTTCATAAATGGTTTTGAAAACATGAGCGGCGATATAGGCTGATACTTTATAGCCGTACAACCCGAACAAACAGTATGCCCAAAAAGTAAACTAATTTTCTTGACACTTACATGCCTTGTGAACATTACAATGCTGGTTAAAGCATTTCACGTGGATAATTCAGTGGCGAGATTCCGTAGACCAGAATATTCCCTAAGAAAGATTTTCTGCCCATCGAACAACGTAATTATTCAAGCAAGAAATCTTAAAAAAAGAAAAGCTTTTTAACAATTTATCTGTTTCGTGTAAACGTAAACTTCACATCTGTTTTATGGTCAACGACTGGCATTACATGCACACAACTGCATAGTCATAGTCGTATGCTATGTGTATACTGTCTGATATTATAGTGATACTTTAGAAGGCGACCTCTCAGCTTAGCACGAAATTGCATTCGCACGTGAAATTCGAAAGGAGACTGCTTCGTATCAACGTATACTCTATATGTATACTTCGTATCAACGTGGTTTTTTGCTGGTCATGAGCACGATTACTAGTGTACTGGTTCCGTAAAGATGTTTCGTAAGTAGCCTGCACTCCGTGATTAGAAACACAAAGCGTTGTTCTCCTTTCCGGAACCATGAACAATCCTTATTGCCACACGTGAGATAAGGCTGCTGCTAATAAGGACAAATCGGCGCTTACCGACTCCAATCGGCGCTTACCTGAATGAAATTGCAATACCTCGATTGTATTGCAATTTCATTCATCCTAAAGCACAATTATTATTTTAGCGGCCTTTAATAACAGAAGTCTTTGCAGTCGTCAAAGCCTCTTTTTTTTTAAAAATCAAAATGCCCAACACCAGTACCAAATAGGCGATGCAGTCTATGCATGTATGTTTTTTGTGTATGTTTTGGAGAACATTGTGCATAACATGCTTCAGTCTACTCTGTACGTACAAGAATGAACGAAACTAGCCCATAACAGTTAACTGCACTGCTGCCATGTTGTGTTGCGTTGCGTATCTTAGCCTCTGTTGAACTGGACGGCGTGTTCTGTTGACACTGAATCGGTTTGTGGTTGTTACTTGTAATTATTCCGCACCGTATTTATTCCGCACCGTTATGTCGTCATCACAGGTTTGCCTGTTCATGCAGGGTACTTCCGCTGGATAATTGTACTGACTAGAATAGGTCCGTTGTACGCCGTAGCAGACGGAATTATATTTACTTAATAATCCTAGAATTTCTCGTCGTTCTGTGCGTAGCCCGGTAATGCATCCGATATTAACCGAATTTGCCGATGTAATGAATTTATATTGAATTCCCACTATAATTGAACTTCGCTCTGCGTAACGATGCCATAGTGCAACTTAAACCCAACTGTAATAGCAAAACCTCGATAAGTAACCGATAACCTCTCGAGTAATTAAACACGACGTGACGCACTCATAACAAAGGCGCCTTTCTTGTGATCAGTGCCCGTACTATAAATTGTACGCAATGAAAGGTGCCAGTGCCGTACTCCAGTGTTCAGGCTGCATTATGGTCATTGACGGATCCGAAGAAACGTTCACTTTCACGCACACCCAAAACAGATTTTCCGTGGCTCCAGATTTTTTTTTTGCTCCTGCTGTGGGTAGCCACCGAAAAAAACTATTTGCGCTCGAAAATCTGCCAAAGTACCACTCTAACGTAAAATATGGCATCAGTCACCAAAAAGTTATAAGCCGTGTGTTGCGCTGTTATACATGCAGTGCAAACTTTGTGGTACGATAGAGTAGTTAAAGTTCATCAAATCTAGTGTATTTGACTGATTGCACCGAAAAACGCGACCCGGTAGTTTATCTCAAACCGGAAAGGTAACATCCTAACACATAAAAAAATTTTTCAAGGCACTTAATATTTTGATGGGGTTGTAACAAATACGGTATTTAAACTAGTAGCCGTTATCGGCTTCCTGCTTACAGTAATAACAGTAACGGTAGTACTACCGTCAAACGCAATTACATAGTGATATCTGCTATTGTACAGAAAACGCTATTGTCCCGTCCACATTCCACAAACGAAGTAAACATTTACCTAAGATATCAGGCTTACCAATTCGAGTTATGGCAAGTAATCAGGATCGACAGTAGCCAAACAAGAACAATGCCGTCGGTACAGGCTTTGTGTATCTGAAACAATAACACAGAATTGTTTGATGATAAATGCCCAATATTAACCGACGTTTATCTTATCACAATGTGATTAAGAAGTTTCTTTCATTTTTCAATATTTTCTTGTTTTCCTTATAAAACAACCGGTTAAGCGTGGAGGTAGTTTCATTCAAAAACTTGCAGATTTGACACTGCACCGTTGCTGCTTTACCTCGGATTTAATATATCGATCATAAAATGAGGATAGTTTACTTTGCCGCTTTTGTCTTGGTCGCAACTGGAGTCTGTGGAGATAAGAAGAACAGCTGTAGTGACCTAGAGCGACAATGTATGGACGCAGCAATGTTTTACAGCAATTCCAGCGATTACCAAACACTGACAAACGCATTCCAAACCGGCAATGTCAGTTTTAATGTTGCGGCCGTTGCTAATCGCACATGCAGGTAGGCCGTAAAAAGCTGTTTTCATACGCAGTATTATTACACATTCATGTATTAATACTGAATTTTTTTTTAAATATTTATAGTACAAAATATTTTTCTTACTGTACGTGTCGATAATATATGATATTATATCAACGCCAGATAATTACAGGCACAACGAGAACGTTTTGCGGTACTGCTTGTGGTCCGCACAAGCTTGTGATCAGCCGCTATCACAAGCCGGTTTGGAAGCATCACTTCCGGTTTATGAAATCTGTGATTCCCCTTTGTTGGGTTCATATGTTACCAGTCTTATAACTTGCAACAAGAAGCTAGGCTTTCTGAACCTTTTTACCGAGATTGTCGTAAATGTTACGAACCAAATGACTGGGAATGACTGGAGCACCGTCCAAAATCTGATGAACTACCAGTGCCGGTAAGGCGTTATTAGTGCTTCGTTGCATCCATTTCCTTGTGTGCGTATTCGTACTGTAACGTATAACTTCTGCTTACAGACTCTACCAGGAAATGCGCATTTTGCTGGATACTCACTGGCGTACAATTATTAACGTTTGTGGGGCATCCGATTATAATTCTCTTGAAGCATTTTATCACGACCTGAACTCAGCTTATAAATGTAAGTACAAATTTTAATGGAAACACCTTACGGCTTACAGTAATGCGCCCGGAAAAATCTTGGACTGGCTGCATAATTCCGACACTTCAGAATTAAAAATTAATAGCAGTAATATCGCAAATGCTATAGAACAGTACTTCACGTTAAAATTCGGTATAATTATGCATTTTTTCTTCCGGGTGAATATAGGCATAAACGGCATATCCCATTATAACACTACAACAGCAACAAATTCCACCGTCGGGCCAACCGAGCAGCCGTGGTGGCAGACCACGCCCAGTTGGTGGAATTACAACACAACCTACGCCCCGTGGTGGCAGACCACGCAGAGCTGGTGGAGCAACTATACAACCGCCATTCCGTGGTGGCAAACCACCCAGAGCTGGTGGAGCAACTACACAACCGCCATGCCATGGTGGCAGACCACACAAAATTGGTGGCAGACCAATACGACGATGCAGCCGCCCGTGGTGGAAATTCCCTCCTACTTATTGACTCCCTTCAACGTCACCTGCCGTCGGGGAAATGTCAATGTTTCCGAACCGGATTTGGATTTGGTGGATTCCCTGGTGATGGTGTTCGACGGTGACAACACGCTCTACTGCCGCCTTATCCTCAACGATCTTCATTCCTGGATCTTAGCCAGATCGGGAAAAACCCGCGAGAAACGCGCGTCCGACTACGAACCGGTCAAAGTTGACTGCTCGCGCGGCAACCTGACTATTTCCAGCGTCGATCCGGGTACATCGGAATCTACCGATTTGGTCTTCCGCACCGGCGGATCGAAGGCATGCATCACTATGTATCGAGAATTTTTGACTTACATTGGTGGATTTTATAGAAGTGGGCGGCATGCTGAATAGCGTAAAAAAACCACTTGAGTTTTTACGCCGTTTTGGAGGCATGAAAATAATATAACTTTCACTACATCACGGGAATATTAAAAGAATTACTGTTCATTGGATTCGGACTGTATAGGCATAGGTCAATGTAATTTAGACATTAAGCGCTTTTCCCGTTATCAAAAATCGGAATAACAGTCAATATTGAAACAGTAGGAAGCGCGTTGATTTTATCTGCTACAGAATAATGTAAATGGCTAATGGCTAGACTGCCGTCAAGCTTGAAATTTTTTAACCGAAAGCCCTTCTCGAAATATAGAACCATGGCACAATGGGACACTTTAAAGGCTTGTGAACTGAGCGTAGTACAAACTCTGATTTTACGTAATTTTTCGCTGGCTTTAGAAAAAGAGTGAACACAGTTTTAGTGCTAAATCAAAAACTTAGTGACGGTACAGTCGGTACTTAAATCTGTCTTCATAAAGATACCGTAGCAGCCACCACATATGTACTGAAAAGGGTTTTTGCAAACTGGTACCTAACGGTAATTAATAATTTAATACCGATTTTTAATTTCCGTTCCAGAAATGGGTGCGCGTCGCTGCGTACGCGTGCGTATGCGGAGTGTTTGCCCGTATTAGTACTTACTGTAGCATTAAGGCTTGCAGTCATGATTGCCTACCTGGACGGCTCACAGAGGGTCAATAAACTAAAAGGATATTCTGTGTTACCCTTTATTATTCTTGATCAGTAATCGTTATTTAACCGTATTGTTGAACCGCTGTTCAGCTGGACCGAAAATGAATTTTTCTAACGAAAACTTTAACAACATGTACAGGTCAAAGATTACGCAGATAGAAATCGATATTTGGTTTATTACAACAATAGCGATTGGTCTTGTTGGTGGTATATTGATCTGCTTTTTATTAGCGGCTATGAGTACAACCAAGACCCTCCGTACTGGCTCCGGAAAGCTGATTGCGCATATGGAATGCATCGAGCTGCTTATGTGTGTTGTGGAAAACATGGTCAGCAATATTCCTTTGTACATGGCACAGCGAAATCACGTCATCGCATTTAACTGCCCCGTAGCGCAACTTAGTCTCTTGACCTTTACCTTTGTATCGAACTGGACGGCAGTTATGTTGGCGGTGAATCGGTTTGTGGCTGTAATCATGCCGCATCACTATATCGCCATTACGCGAAAACGGTTTTCCGTGTTCATGGTGCTGCCTCCGTGGATAATTGTACTGATCAGTATAAGTCCTTCATACGCCGGAGCAGGTGGACCCATCGTTATGTCGTCCATGGGATCGTGCGGATTCGCTCGCCCGTTAAGTACAGCAATGACTGTCGCTGGTGCTGCCTGTGGCTATGTTCCTTGGGGAATAATTGGTGTGATGTATTTGTCAGTGTTTATTCAGCAAAAGTGGATAGCTCGTGGATCCAATACCGGCTCGCAACAAAACGCGCTGATTCAGAAAAGACTAGCCACTGCCCGCATATTGTTTTTCTCCTTTGCATGGTACTGCATATGTTTATTGCCGGCCCCCATAATCGACACATGGCATCCGCAGCTAAGAAGAAACGTCAGGGTGGTGATGGGGATTCGGGTGATGTGGGTTCTGGGATACGCCGTGAATCCAGTAAGTCTGTAGACGCTTAGTTACGTCTACGTCGGGGTGCGTATTACCTTAAAGAGTCTGCTAGCTGGCATTTCTTTTTAGCTATTCTTCTTTGCAAATGAGCCGAGAATATCGTTTGGCTGGAACCCATGTGCTGAAAGCAGTTTACATGTCTGTGGTGCAGCGACCCACAAATTTTGAAGGATAAGGAACTTGTTGTTGCGCCCGAGAAAACTCAAGCTGGTAACTGACGACGCAGAAACGCATTAAAGATGTTGCTTCTGCAAAACTGATGAATGGGGAAATCTAGTCAGGCACAGCAGGAAATTTACTGCGAACAGAACGCTGCACTTCCGTTTCTTTGATATTAAACCAGGAATTGTGGATAAACACAACATTTTGGAGCATATCTCGTTTTACATCCGTTGGCGGGAACGAGTCACGGAGCCTTATTGTTAATACCTACTGGCACTCCAGGAAGTTACTATAGTAACACAGTTATGGGGATAGAGCTCTGTACGATTGTTGTTGTTGGTTGTTTTTTCAATCCCTCTCTTATTAAAGCCATAGAAGTAATGATGTTCCAGTGCATCTACACGCAGAAGTGAGATGAATGGTATACGTGCACTGTTTCTCGCATTTATTTCGAAGTGTTCACTGCTTTATTCAGTATATACGAGAGCAATTCCTGTTAAGACAAATGGGTAACTAATAAAACTTTTCTGGTATGTAAAAATTTTCCCATCGAAGCGAGCACATGACCGCTGTTTTACAAGGGCAGATTCGCAACTTATCCTTGTTATTCAATGGCAACGCCGAAAATCGATTTCAAGAATTTTCTCAGCGAATTTTGCACGATTAACGCGGACCTACATTCACCGGAAAGTATAAAGTATTTTGTTCCTTGTCGAAAGGAGTAGACATCTAACAACTCTAATACCAAGCAGGAATACAGTACTGTTCTTGTAATATGGTTTCATGGTGTAAAGAATAATCGTAACGCAGTTTATTCGCTTCAATTTTAAGAACAGACCTAAAACAAAATTCCACGCTGTTAACAAATAAAACCTTCTAGTGAAATGGGACTACAACCGAGTGCATATGTACACAAAAGTTTCACCAGTCGCTTATACAAGCAATTTTTATTGCATTCGTATCGAACGCTACTTGCCTGATTTAATATTAGGTAAAATCAAGATATTCACACTATTGGACTGCGTATGCCGCAAAACAATTCCCATGTTGTTGTGTTAAGATTACCTTAGTATTAATATGTTCAGCTTCTAACGGCAACCGACATTCCTTTTCAGCCAATAGTTTTAGTACAATAGCAGTACGGTCGCTATCAAAATTAAGTTTGTCAGAAGCCATGACTTTCATTTACCGGTTTCACCTGTGTCCGGCATTGTTCATAGCCTATATTCTATGGGTTTTTCTTTCGCACTCTTCCTACGCAACTAGTCTCCTTGACAGAATGGTATGTACGAGTACATCTGTTCACACCCATTTTGTTGAAATTGATAGGGGCTAAGGAAAACGAAACGTATCCTCGCATTGCGCTATCATGTTCGGTGGAAAACTACCCTACCTTTAAGCGCGATGCCCACATGGGCCAGAAGATGACTCACTGATTTGCCTTAAACGTAGGTGCCGCAGTTTCACCATGGGCCGAGAGTGGGGTAATAAATCTGGCAGACATCGAAAACAGCAAGTTTTTAGGAGTTTTAATTACTTAAATGTACAGATGTCAAATCAGCTATACTTTGCGGAAACGGGAGAAGTATTACTTCTTCTGCAGAATGAGAGCCCTAGCTGGGACCGCGAACGGCCCAGATGATCTCCAGTACGGCATTTCTAAATGAGTGTCACTGCTAAGGTTCTGTTGGGTGGATTATAATTCCTCAACTGTTTCTCCATACGACCCGGAGAAGTACTTACAGACTCTTTTATCGGAGGCTGCAGCCTGCTGTTACGCTCGGCCTGCACGTGCGTTACGGTGCGTGCTTAGTACTGCATACCGTGACAACCGGTCTTGCTTTCGTCCTTTTTCATGTTAAAAGAAACAGCGGGATGGCAGGTGCGAGACCATCGGCACTGCACTTCAGTAAAAGCCAACAGTTTTAAAAACGGGTTCTAGATGGCCTGGTCCGACAGTGGACGTAACTACGTAATTATGTAGAAGGCAAATAAGTCCAAATCTAATCCTACGTAATTATGTAGAAGGCAAATAAGTCCAAATCCAATGGTCCGAATTAAATTGGAATTTCTTGAAAATGAGATTATTAATAGTGGCACTGCGCTTCAGATTATTATTCTGTCGGCTGCTATTCGTATAATTACAGAAGCCTGTATGTATTATGAAACGTAGCGCAACTTATAAAAGCATGTAGTCCCTTTGCAATGGATATACGTCACAAGGGGCGCTACCACTTTTTGATAACATTATTCACCTTCCATGCTCACATTCGTGTCTTTGACACGCCTTTCGGCGTTGCCGTTTTTGGTGTACAGTGTCCTTGTGCGCTTGTGGCTTTTATGAATAATTAACTTGCATTTGTTACAATCGGCACTTTTTGATTGATCAACAACTCGTGGGAAATGAAAAATAAATAACATTCAAGGTGATTTCCGCGAAGGACCTTATGGAAACGCGCATGACTTCTCTCGTGCTCAACAGGAAACGAATGCCTAATGAATCTCCTATATCCAGGGCAACTTCTGTCATGTCGCTGTATATCCCGCAGCGTGCTGATATGCCGGTTACAGCGCTTTCCCAAGGGTAAAGTGATTTTGTGAAATGTGGAACGGGCTGTGACGTGTGTTGTCTGCACCGTTGCATTTAGCAAAAACAATGCAATTAGCGTATTACCTAACTAAGATGATATATGCGTGGGCTAATAAACCTCATCCCACTGACTTGGCAGCGGCAGCGTCATCGCAGGAAATTTGATAAGCTTGTTGTACAGTAGGTACTTACGTAAATGGCTTAATAAGGGCGGCACATTCTGCTGGGCTATTTTGATCGCACCATAACATTTCTGCATGCGCAATAACAGGAGCGTGACCGTCAGCAGAGCAGAGTATTATTACTGCTGATCAAGAAATCATTTAGACAAAATCTTGTTCGAACGCTGATAATGCCATTGCTTAAGTTTAGCTGCCGTGTAATTAACACTGAGTCTATTTTATAATTATCATGGGAATATAGCACCCAGTCGGCATTTTTAGACTTGTTTTCCTGGATGCAATAATACTGCGGCAATAAGTGACGCATGATCAGGCATAAGCAGTACACAAGAAAGGTCATCTCCTTTTTATGATGCTCTAATCCGGATTTTCTTGAGGTTATTCTAGATTCTCTTTAATGCTTTTCTCTACACAGTATATTTCCCTGTATAGCCACAATAACTGATCTTCAATATTTGTTTGATTCCTTCCGTTGTAAACTGCCATTCGCTATGGAACGTCGTAACGCATCCATCGTGAACATCACATTCCCATTGCAGTCACTATTTCCCGAATGGCATCTGTACCTATGGTTTTCTGTCAGCATGCTCATCGGGCTCATTGGCGGTTTCTTAATTCTTATGCTTTTAACTGTTATGTACAAGCAGAAGAAACTGACCCGCGGTTCTGGATTACTCATCGCTCATGCTCAGTGTATCGACTTCATCATGTGCACCATGGAAAATCCTCTACAGAACAGCGGTCTTCTGCTGCAGGCGCTCCACACTTCGACCGGGGTCAACTGTCCTTTTGCTCGTTTCTCACTCATCAGCATGCAGGCCGTGGGAAATTGGTCGGCGGTTTTTCTAGCCCTGAACCGTTTCGTAGCCGTGGTGATTCCCCATCATTATCAGAAGGTGGCCACCCAACCTGTTCTTATTGGGAAGATCGTCCTCAGTTGGAGCATCGGATTGGCCATCACCGTGCCGCATTATGTGCTGAAACTGGGCGTGGAATTCGGTCTATCACCCACCGGAGCGTGTGTCATCCTCAAGATGGATGCTTTCTTGTTCCGCGTTATCTCGGCGCTGGTGTTTTATCTTCCCATTGGGATCGTCGGGGCGCTGTATGTGGTAATCTTTTTGAAAGGACTGTATTTAAAAAGGAGAATACTGGTGCACCCTGAAGCACGCCGTGCACCGATGCCGGTGGTGATGAAGAAGCGGCTGCAGGTGGCGCGAATGCTGATGTGGACGTTTATTTGGTACTGCATCTGTTATTTCCCGGCCACATTCCTACCCGGCTTTTTCTACCACGTCTATAAAGATGATAAACGGATAGAATTCTGGGCTAAAACGCTGCTGTATCTTGGATACGCTATGAACCCCGTAAGTATTACACAATTCACAAATACCGCGCAGCGCCATTTCGCAGTCAGGTTGTTACATGTACTAGAGTAATACTGTAATACTTACTTCAATTTCTATGTTGTTTGCAGGTGTTTTTCTTTGCTATGAGTTCGGAGTATCGGAAGGGAGCGGCAGGTTTGCTGCGGGGTGTTTTGCGGTCACGGCGTCACATTCACAGCCTGCACAAAAGCCTAGAGTCGGGGCACCACAGCGAGAAACCGGGAACGGCTCCGTACATCAGTGGATGAGCCGATGAGCGATGTATTGTCGCTGTTTTTATGTCCGATAGGTTTCCGATAGATAACTTGGCGGTATTTATGCAGTTTGTGTACAATTTGATACTGCTGCAATAACTGCATATACCGGTTTATCTAAATAGACCCAACAAAAATACTGGTATCACTGAGGCACTACAAAGGACAATAAATTCTTGTATTATATGGTACAGTTGTGTACAGTTGGTTTTTTCGTCTTAAATGTTTTTGACTTTAAATCAGTAATAGTTAAGCAACCACACTCTGTAGCTAATTAAAATGCAGTGCCTTAGCTTTTATTCCCGAAGTGAAGTGATAGTGTAGTACAATTTCTGAACCACTAAAGCGTATCGGTATAGTATTATTAAATGTTAACATGTTTCACAAGTTACACGGAAGGGAAATAAAGTGTTGCGTGCGATTGAATGAAAGGCTGAATTATTATAGCCAGAATAAGTCATAGAGTAATCTTTGGTGGGCATCTTCTGTGTCTCAATAATTGAATACTGATACCATGTGCTATGACTTGTATGACCAAAATTACTGTACGTACCTGTGGTTTACCGCAGTCACACCGTTCGGTGCTATGACAATGAGATTCGGCAACGCAGTTACGCTTCGACACATTTCTCATAATCAGTTACAATAGTGTTTTGTGCTGCAGACAAGTAAAAGAAAACATCTGACATTGCTGATCGCCTCTATCTGGGCCGGAAAAATGCGCTTTTGTTACAGTTCTCAAACAACTAAATGTAATCGTACATTACAGTTAATAATGTTGTCTACTTGGACTTATACATATATTGCATAATAAGCAAAAGCCCAGTACTGTTGCATTATACAAGTAAGCTGATTGTCCGTTGGTACTCGTTAGTAGGGGTTTCCTTAAACTTATTACGACTTTACACTTCACACTCGTTATATGTTTTTTAAAGCAGACCCAGCGGACTACCATATTCTACCCGTGTAGTGTTAATCTGTCACCAGATACTTTTTCCGATGAAATCCAATGCTAAAAATTATGCTTCTAAAAATAAATACCATAAGCCGCCCAAACAATTTTACGTTTCTAATAAACGTAAATACAGCAGCTGAACTCGTTTCGCAAGTCGGTAGTGAATTTTAAACTGGTGCAGCATGAAAGCCTTCACCCCTCTCAACCTTCGCCTTATTCTTTCTCTTTTGTCATGCGTAGTAGTGCAGTCCCTTGCGCAGGTTTTTGAGTTGCCGCTCGGTAGATTTGTTTTCCTAAATCGGATCCCCGCGCAGCCATCCAATCCTGCGGCGTCAGCCAATCCCAGCAGTCAAGTTGACGTGCCGGCTCTCTCACGAAAACTGGCAGTCCGGCCGATACAGCCTTCCAAATGGCCTGTGCTGGACCCACCTCAAAGGCTATGATGAATTGCCCGTTTGCAGGAATTGGCCAACGTTGCGCCGATTCCGCATCAGTGTGCAGTGCTAACCGGAAATGCATCTGTGACCCTACATTGGGCTCTCTGGATTCGACTGGCACAAAATGTGTGCGTTATACTACCACAACCACCACCAGTAGGTACTCGTACTGTCGAACTGTTTATCCTACCTTAACCTGAATTTTGAGAATTTGGATCTTTATTTCAGCACTGGCACCATGTCCAACGTGTGTCACATGCCCAGTTCTCACATGTCCAACCACGAGTGCCACGAGTACCAGTACGTATGAATCTGTTGTTGATGGCCCAAGTAAAAAAATTTCTGTTTAGTACCACTGTAAAAAAATGGCTCCGGTTACAGTAAGTGTCATAAACACTCCAATCAGCCTGGCAATGCAGAAGTACCTCAGCGATAATCAATGTTGAGAATTTAAGAGAATAAGGCATGATGTGCATTAAGCTTTGTCATGCACCCGTATCGAAGAATTGTTACATTTTTAAGGAACCGTGAACTATGCTAGATAACCAAAACAACAAATTCATTTCTCTGGCACAGGGCACATGCTGCCACGTATCACAGTCTGCGCATTTTGCGTATTTATGCATTATTGTTCTCCAGATTCTGCCACGTCGACAACCTCAGCCAGTACTACCACCGCTACACCTACTACAATGGCTCCGTCTACGCAATGCTTTACAGCCGGTACTGTGGTAGATACCGTATCCGGAGCACAATTTTCTCGTAAGGGTTGACGAACAAAATCCTGTATGCTCTGTTGCTCTCAGTCCAGAATTGCGGTATTTATAGAAGATAAGGTGCATGTTACTGTACTCGTATCCTTCTTCGGAATGGAAAGTGCGGTGTGGGCATGTGGAAGTTCTCGGCTAGGGAAAAGTGTCGGCTTATGCGTACGCGCTTTCCGGTTTCCAGCCCCTGCGCGAAGAATCCCCCTTTATTTGGCGTCAGAAAATAACTCAGAAAACAAGTTGTCAGATATGTGCAGTGTATACACATGACCTTTTGCATAGCAACATAGAAGTTGCCTGTCATTGTTGTGCTTTGCTGACATTCAGTCAGCGACCTGCGAGTTCGATAATAAATATACATTTATTATCACGTCACGACAAACTGGCGTGAAGGACACAAGACCTCACGCGGTCTAATTCCCTACACACCTCATAATGTCTCTCACGACATCGACATCGCCTGCTTCGCCATCAGGCCCCACGACGTCCACCCCGCTGTACCCGCTGCGCATCCCACAGTATGCGTACGTATGCCACCTGTATCCCGTAAGCGACTTTTCTGTATCCCCACCGTTAACTTTACAGACCCCGCTGTAACCGCTCCGTATCCGACAGTATGCGTACGTGTGCCACCTGTATCCCGTAAGCGACCTTTCTGTATCCCCACCGTTCACTTTACAGACCACGCTGTACCCGCTCCGTATCCCACAGTATGCGTACGTATGCCACCTGTATCCCGTAAGCGACCTGCCTGTATCCCCGCCGTTCACCTTAGAGACCCCGCTGTACCCGCTGCGTATCTGACAGTATGCGTACGTATGCCACTTGTATCCCGTAAGCGACCTTTCTGTATCCCCACCGTTCACTTTACAGACCACGCTGTACCCGCTCCGTATCCCACAGTATGCGTACGTATGCCGCCTGTATCCCGCAACCGACCTTTCTGTATCCCCACCGTTCACTTTAGAGACCACGCTGAACCCGCTCCGTATCCCACAGTATGCGTACGTATGCCACTTGTATCCCGTAAGCGACCTTTCTGTATCCCCACCGTTTGTTTGAGAGGCCCGCTGTACCCATTCATTGTCAGAGTGTGCATACGGGTTTCAGGTGTTTCCTGGTATCTTTACTGCATCCTAATTACAATTGTCCGCTACTTTCCTCAACGGAATTTTGAGCGACACCACACGGCAACACCTCCAGTCCCAAACGTGCAACACGTTGGAGAAAGCACTGGAGATTTGTGAAGAATATGAGCTGCGCAAGTCCAACAGGAAAGGTCAGACAGCGCCGGATGTGGCGCGCGTCGACAATGCCCGGAGTGGCGGTGGCGGCACCAGCAGAGGACGCGGTCGTGGACGCGGCGGCATGCAGAACCGTAGCAGCCGTCCTGACCGAAAGCCAGCTCCCGCGAGAGATGCGTGCGATGGATGTGGCTCCATGCAGCACGAGAGGTCACAGTGCTGGGCGAAAGATCTTGCCTGCAAAAGCTGCGGTAAAAAAGGGCACATCGCGAAGGTGTGTCGGAGCGGAAAGCAACCTGCAGTTCAGCAACGAAGAGATGGGCGGCAGACATTCCTGGTGGAGGAGGAATTCGACGTCCTGTCGGTAGACACGACGGGTGGACGATCCATCCACGTACCACTCAAGCTGAACGGCGTGCCCGTGTCACCCGTACTGGACACCGGATCCAGTGTGACCATCTTTACGGCCGACACGTGGCGATCAATCGGATCCCCGAAGCTGTCACCGTATACGAACACTTTACGGAGCTTCACGGGGCACACGCTGAAGGTCATTGGTACTGCGACCGTGGAAGTCACCCACGCACGCACTCGCAAGGCACTGCCGATTGTGGTTGTGGCGACAGGGGGAAACGTGCTGGGTAGGGACTGGATCCGCTCCTTGGACCTCAGCCGACTGAGTCTGCGGGACCTGCAGTCGACCATGGTGTCCACAGTTTCCGGCACACTGGAGGTGGAACAGCTGCTGAAGAAGCACAGTGCTGTTTTCCGTGACGAACTGGGCCATTGCAAACATTACAAGGCTCACCTGCACTTGAAGCCAGGCGCGACGCCTGTATTCCGGAAAGCTCGACCAGTCCCATTTGCCTTCCGCGAAGCACTGGAGCGCGACCTGGATCGCCTGGTGGAGAGGGGCATCCTTACACCAGTGGAACGGGCCGACTGGGCAGCTCCAGTGGTGACGGCGCAGAAACGGGCTGGAGACATCCGCACCTGTGCCGACCTTAGCACGGGACTCAACGACGCTCTCGACGTCCAGCAGTACCCGCTGCCGACGCCCGATGAGCTGTTCGCGAAACTGAACGGAGGGAAGCAATTCAGTACGTTGGACCTGGCGGAAGCGTACGCCCAGGTGGAGCTAGATGAAGAAAGCAAGAGCCTGGTGGTAATAAACACGCACAAGGGGTTGTTCCTGTACAACCGACTCCCCTTCGGTGTCGCCTGCGGTCCTTCCGTGTTCCAGCAGATCATGGAGAGCGTCCTCCAGGGATGCGAGGGAGTCGCCATTTACCTCGACGACATCATTGTCACCGGGGCGACGGAAGAGGAGCACCTCCGAAACCTGGAGAAAGTCCTCCAACGCCTGGAAGAGCACGGTTTCACGCTGAAGCGCAGCAAATGCTTCTTCCTTCAGGACTCCGTGGAGTACCTGGGGTTCGTGGTGGACCACCGTGGTCGCCACATTTCCCAGGACCGCGTCAAGGCACTCCGCGACATGGCCCGTCCGACCAACATCAGCGAACTCCGAGCGTTCCTGGGTCTGGTCAACCATTACGGGAAGTTCGTTCGCGACCTGTCCGGGAAGTGTGCGCCGTTCCACAACCTCCTCAAGGCCGGAGTCCCTGGTCCTGGTCCAAGGACTGCGAAACGCAGTTCCTGTCCTTAAAGGAGCAGATTGTCCGCGCGACGTTCCTGGTTCATTACGACCCGCGGATGCCGCTGGTCCTCGCCGCGGACGCGTCGCAATACGGCGTTGGCGCCGTGATCTGTCACCGTTTCCCGGACGGAACGGAACGGCCAATCGCACACGCCTCGAAGACGCTCACAGCCGCCGAGAAGAACTATGGCCAGATAGAAAAAGAGGCCCTGGCACTGGTGTTTGGGTGCCGGAAGTTCCATCAATATATCGCTGGGCGCGAGTTCACTTTGTGCACTGACCACAAACCGCTGCTCAGTGTGTTTGGTCAACGGAAAGGAGTGCCGGTGGTGACTGCAAACCGCCTCCAACGGTGGGCGCTGATGCTGATGGGATATTCGTTCAGCATCGAATACCGCCGCACCGAGGAGTTTGGCCAAGCTGACGGACTGAGCCGCCTACCACTGCATTCGACGCAGCTGGATGGCCTGCCCGGCCTGGGGATGGACAGTGTGGTCAACGCTGTCCACGTCGACAACGTGTCGCGTTTTCCGGTGTCGGTGGAAGCGATTGCCGAAGAAACGGCCAGAGATCCGGAACTGTCCACCGTGTATGGATACGTCATGAACGGCTGGCCGTCGACGGTTGATGCCCTAGCGCGTCCCTACAAGCGACTTGAGCATGAGCTCGTCACCATCAACGGCTGCGTATGCTGGGGATCCCGGACCGTCGTGCCATCGAAACACCGGCAGCAGATCCTGGAATACCTTCATGGCGCCCACATGGGGCGGGGAAGATGAAGGGTGAAGCGCGAGGATACTGCTGGTGGCCTAACATGGACAAGGACATCGAACGAATGTCCAGTGAATGCCAAATCTGCACTGAACGCGCGAAGGAAACGGCCAAAGTCCGCTGGCGCAGTGGGAAGTGCCGCATGCACCTTGGAAGCGGCTCCATATGGACTTCGCCGGTCCATTTCACGGCACAATGCTGCTGGTGATTGTGGACGCCATGTCGAAGTGGCCGGAGGTGGTCCAGATGAAACACGCCACGTCCGACGGCGTTCTGGAGGCCCTCCTGAACCTGTTCAGCCGTTACGGAGCCTGCACCGAAATCGTCACCGATAACGGTACGCAGTTCACATCGCAAGAGTTTGCCGATTTCTGCACGGTTCACGGCATCCGACATCTTCGGACACCACCTGGCCACCCACAGTCGAACGGCCAGGCGGAGCGCTACGTTCAAACTTTTAAGGACGGAATCAGCAAGCTGATGGCCGACCGGAAGCCATTGCCTACAGCTCTGCGGGAATTCCTGTTCCGGTACCGCAACGCGCCACAGGCCACAACTGGCAAGTCGCCAGCGGAACTGTTTCTGAGCCGCAAACTGCGTGGTCAGCTGGACTTGCTGGTGCCGGTGCTGATGACAACGATAGAGCGTAACCGGAAGCGTTACCAGCAAAATTTCGACCAACGGACACAGGAGAAGCATTTCCAAGTTGGCGATTACGTAATGGTACGTGATTACCGTCCGAATCGCGCAGTTGACTGGCAGCGTGGACAGCTGGTCAGACGTGAAGGTACCCGCATCTGGGTTGTCCTGGTCAACGGAATTGACCTGCGAAGGCACGAAAATCAGATGCGACCGAGGCATTGGCTGCACCCAGACGAGCGTGCACTACCGAATCCGCCAGCTGCACTTGTCGCACCTGCCGCACCGAAGACACCGGATGTACCGAAAGTACCAGTCGCATCGCCAGTGCAGACGGCTGCACTGCCTAACGATGCCTTTCCGGAAGCGGTCACAAAGCAGGATGCTGGTGGACAGATCGCTACTGGTAAAGCACCTGAACTTACATTACCGAATGTTGATAGCGCCAAACCAGTGAAGCCAGCGAATGTGAAGAATGCTAAGAAAACGCCACGCGTTCCTGAAGCGATAACTGATACCAGTTCTCAACTGAAGCCACCGGAACCAGAAGTGCGACGAAGCGGAAGAGACAGAAAAGAACCGGATCGACTAATCGCGGATCCGAAATTCGGGCGCTAGCTTTGTTTTGGCTTTAGTTGAGTGGGTCTCCCCACTGGGGGAGGTGTCAGATACATATGTGCAGTGTATACACATGACCTTTTGCATAGCAACATAGAAGTTGCCTGTCATTGTTGTGCTTTGCTGACATTCAGTCAGCGACCTGCGAGTTCGATAATAAATATACATTTATTATCACGTCACGACACAAGTCCTATCTTGCGTTAAGCGAGCAAAATCATTCTTCGGTCTAGAGAACGTCGGCCGTAGATTTTGACCGCTCAGATGTGCTTAAGGTTTTCGATACTTTTAAAATCCATCCTCATCAAAATTTTTGAATAGGCAGTTTCACCTGGCTATGTAATGGGGCTGGACGGTTGTGCCCGAGTGTGTCTTAGCATTTGAACGGTTTTTCGGTTCAACGGCAAATTCGTCTGACGGGCAGGCTATCCGTTCATACATTTAAACCGGCTGCAGACGTTCGCTTTTCACAGCACTGGATTATCCTCACTACTTTTGTGTAATACCGGTAGAAAAATTTTTGCCATCCAGTGGCATTTTCTCGGCATCCACTGAGTGCCAGCTGGATGACTTACTGTTCGATACCACCCCCTTTGTTCGGTATTTACGGCGGTTTTATTCTGTAGTATGCGGAGCCTGCATAATGCTTACCTCCACTCCAACGACGCTGAATATTCACGGCCTGAACGGTAAAGCCTCGGTTTGCGCTTTCACCTTCATTGCCCCGGCGGGTAGCGGTGCACAGGTTTGATCTGCAGAAAAATTCATAAACGGCGTCTACCACAAAACATTGACAAAAGCTTTATTTTTGTAGGTCGACTTTGATCTGCCCAATTTCAACCTTTTGGTAAGTCTGACGAAACTACCGTAGAACAAATGAAAATGATCAGGACCGCGGTAGCTTGGTAGATTCTTAAAGACCTTAAGCGACTATCCATGGTTTCAGTAAGCCTAATGCGTTACAGACCTGCACTATGGGAACTTTCATCGTGTTTGGTGGTTCACAGTACTGCAGTGACCAGATGCCTCCGCCAACGATTAAACTAGATGCCAATGTTGCGGTAATATATTGTTTCGCGATTATGGTGGAATCTTTTCCTAAAGTTAGTTCAATAACGGTTGCTATAACTCATGGTAGCCTGTTTGTGAGTACTAGTTATTCTTTTTTCTCCTTGAAACTGCAGACGCTAATTTTTGTGGACAACAATCAGCAGACCACGAATTCCCTAATTTTGCAAGTCAAAGCGGCTTCGTGAGCAGCAACGGAGGTTAAGATAGTTCTTGGAGCCCGTTCTAAGCCTTCGCGCAATTTTTGGATAGTGATCTACAGTCTATGGAGTACTGAACAATGGTGCCCTTCTGCATTTTCCCAGGAGTATTACCACCAATCTAATGGAATTCTACTATATGGATATTTTATGGTTCCAAATGGTCGCGGTCGCTTAGTGTGTCATATTAAACAGCAACAAAAAAGTAAACATTCACCGAGCATTTCTGTAGAGGTTTATTAACTGAAACACGGCCAAATTAAGAAATTGCCCTAAATTACTGAACTGTGGGACCATTTCCACTCGGTTTTGTTTTTCAAGTGTATAAGGAAATAAACGGATATGGTTCTGGGAAAAAATGCTTTAATTCGAATGCGCCATGAATCCCGTAAATAATACGTAGTTCAATATCGTACCTGCTTGTTTGCGCAATAATAGCTTTTAATAACATCGTGCTGCTTATACAGTTTTTGTAAACCTAATGTTTAATGCTGAATACCCGCCAATTTATAAACGTACTTATCTAAACGCAACCAACAATTACTGTATCTTAGATACCGATACACCTATGACGATAATGATTTTATAGCGATTATTTTCTGTTGTATCCATGTATACAGTTGTTTTCTTAGTACTGTACAAGATTAAAAATATTTATAATCATTTTATAACAGCGGTAATTCTTGTACGATGATATTTGTTCCTTACCTTGCACTGCGAATCAAAATCGGTATGTGCAAAACATTTAAAATATTGTACATACCGTGATAAGGCAATGACACGGCAGCTGGAACTGTAATTGTTGTGATTGTTAATAAGAAGTCGAATTTGTCATATTTCTCAATATAATAAGACTGGAAAGGATTGTTGACCTTGTTTATACCGGTATCCAATAAACTGCGCTACCATAAGTCAGCGTAGCGATACAATAACAGGTTTGACTGCGGTGAACAACCTGGATAAAACTGAATTAAATGTCGAATCACGAAAGATGCCCGACAGCCTGAGGAGGTAAACTCATTCAGTACTAAACTCACGGTCAGCCGCATGCAGTGCGTGCGAGATGCCTAATTACGCCTGTATCCTTGCCTAAACGTGTACAGGTAGTACCAACAATACCGGTAGTACCAACATTATTGTACAAATTGTAAAAATTTAATGGCTACAAAATATGGTAAGACGGTACGCAAAGTGCACACCTAGTACGAAAACGTACCTAACCTCTTGTATCTGCATTAAACTACGCACATTGCACAACTAAAGTCTATAACCGGTTAATCAGGCTTGCCCCTGTGAAGAACCGGCACAAATTGCAAAATGTTTGAAGTTTTCTGTACCGTGAATAGCCCATTCAGTCTGCACACAGATTATCTCGCCAGTTACGTATAGTAACACTTTTCCGAAGTATTCGCACACGGAGCGTGTGCTTGGGATATAGATTTAACTACAGTAAAAGCCAACAGAATAAAAGTTTTTCCATCTGCTGCGTTTTTTCTTTTGGTGTTTTGTTTTAATAAAATAACTGGCGTTATCCAGACGTCGTTTGAGTGCTTTAGGAAAAGCAATATTTGATTCTTATCCAGCTCTCTGGATCATTAATGATTAACTGCGAATTGGTACAGAATGCAGGCAGTAAACGATAAGCCGGCCTTCCTGTACTTTCGCCGGACCCTGTTCCTGTTGTTCTGCTTGATTGCACGCTCGTTTGCACAGCTCCCTAATGTGCCGCTGGGTACATTCGTTTATTTAAATGGAATTTTCGCACCACTATCCACTCCTGCGCCGGCAGCTAATCCCAGCAATCAGATTAACGACCCAGCTCTGTCACGGAAGCTGGCCGATAATGGTAGTCCGGCGGATACGGCCTTCGAAATGGCCTGTGCTGGACCCACCTCCGATGCTGCAATAAACTGCCCGTGCGCGGGAATTGGCCACCGTTGCGCCGATCCCGCTTCGGTGTGCAGTGCCACCCGGAAGTGTATTTGCGACGGCGCGTTGGGCTATTTGGATTCTACCGGCACAAAATGTGTCACCTATCCCACCACAACAACCTCCAGTAGGTCCTCGTAGTCGAGCATAATTTTCTACTTGAAAAATGTAGGGAATGGGCAATGCCAAATTAGTCTGATATAAATCCGGATAATCGGCAGCAGCTAATGTTGATTATATCATTATGAAAGGCGCTCTTTGCATTTCCACATTTTGTCCGTGTTTGAATGATTACTAAAGCTACTGATATCCTTACTATCTGCGCTACTTACTAAAGAATGATTGCTCTAACATGGTCTATCTAAATCGCAGACGTTTGATTTTTCCTTGCAGCATCGGCACCGTGTCCTTCATGTCCAGCCCTGACTTGCCCAACTACTACGAGTACTACAAGTAAGCACGCACTGCCACGCAGTTCCTCCAAGATTTAACAGCTTCATGCTAAACAGCAATTCCGCTCGTTGCCTTTCTTTGCATTCTGCAAAAAATGTCAGTGTTATTTTAGGTACCACCACTTCGACTACTAGCACCTCAACGACCACCACTAAAGCCCCCACTACGACTTGCACTGCAGCCGGGGCTGTGGTGAATAGCAACACTGGATACCAACAAACCAGTAGGGCTCATACAATGAAGTTGTGCAAGTTTTGTTGTTCTTAACCCAGTAACGTTCATACTTCAATAGCGGTCCGCTGAAGTTGTCTCGTATAGTGCGTTCACGAAGCCAACAGCGCAGCCACCGTGTATAGGTGTTGCATAATGCTTACGCGCACATGAGCATACAAGACTTTACTATATTTATTTAAAGTCTGATCGAGAAATACGAATACAAATAATAATAATTATTCTAATCAGGGGTAGCGGCTTCGTCACAAAACGTTTTTGCTTCCAGGGCATCTATTTTTTGTAGTGTGATACGCTGAGTATTCGATATCATCTGATCATTGCATAAACTCCAACCGGCAGGGCCTTCGAAGAAATAAACTGTCCGCTGTGCGATTTTGTCGTTAAAAAGTCCGAGCTGTTTGTGTCGGCTGCAAAATTTTTCACACTCAAATTTTTAACACGTTTTATTATTCCGAAATTCGAAGAGTTAAGATTCACCAGGACGATTATGAATTCAGAAAGGTTTTACACTACGTTTTAGAGCCTAACGGTTCGACGGAGTGTTTGTGCAGCTAAACTGTTTTACCGTTCAACGATAATATCCTCCAGTAGCTTTTCCACCGGTTTCGAACGTTCCCCATTTCAGAACGATTCGACGCACTGCTCTCGGTCGAATACTGTGTGACATCAAGTGTTACCGAAACGGTAACGACACTTCATTGACTTCCTTGTTTATAGCATGCGGTGCTTGTGTGGAACTCACTTCTACTTCAAAGACCGTAAATATTAATGGCGTGGATAACAAAGATTCGGTATGCGCGTATACCTTCATCGCCCCGGCAGGCAGTAGTGTACAGGTAAGGATTTCCAAGCTTTAGTAAAAACTGCTTTACCAGTTATCATGCCCTTGTTAGCGACTATAAGTATAAACAGTTACGATGAATATCAGCAAGATGCAAAACGTTCGCTTACGCTAAAATTTTAGATTTACAAAAGACAAAGGTTAAAGTTCGCCAAATGTCGCTATCATCGCTTCATCGATTTTAGCTAGTTTATTTGCGTACTAACAGTGACACCGGAAAAACGGAAAAGCACTAATAATATGCCGAAGCGTGCGGTTTCTTATCGTAACGTTAAAACTTTGCTGTTGATTTGGTTTAATTCGATTTATTCTCGAGTAGTCAATCCCGTAAAGAGACACTGCCGCATAATCTTACCCATTGAAAGCATAAAATATACCACTCTAGGTTGGTAAAGTCACTGCATCTCGTTAAACACACTGTTATTTTCGTAGATCGATTTCGATTTGCCAAACTTCGATCTTCTCGTAAGTGATTACAATTACAACGACCTTGTGAAGGTGACCTCGTAGCCTGCAGTACATTTCCCCAAGATATTTTCGATGCCCTGCTGCGCATATTTCAAGTTCAGGCGTCTTCAGAAATTAATTCCATCTGCCTTGTTAACCTTGTTGGGAGCGCTCAGTATTTCTGTTACCATGCGCTCAGTATTTCTGCTTATGAAGCATATGAAAATGAAAGCAAAGCCTAGCGATTTATAGAAGACTCTTGACACGTGATCGTCCCAAGTAATCAACTGTGTTGCAGACGTGCAAAATGGGCACATTCATCGTGATTGCTGGTTCACAGTACTGCAACGACAAGAAACCACCTGCTACATTAACGATACCAACTAGTATCGTGGTAAGATATCGATTTGCATCATTTCATTCACTAGAGTCAGTTTGATATACTGTAGATAATGTTTGTAATCCGAGGAAACCTTTTGGTGATAATTTTTCTCATCTCGAAACTTCAGACACTAATTTACTTCGACCAAGATCAGCAGTTTACCAATTCCCTGATTTTAAAAGCCAAAGTGGCTTCATGAGTCGTAAGTGGAAGACAAGGTAAGGCTTAGACTTGAAGTATGCTCTGCAGTCTGCACCTACTGTAATACTGTAATTCGGTTACGATTTATGGGAATATGGGTTATGACCGCCTAAATAAAACTGCATTTCGAAATTTCTCGTGATCACTCCTGGAAGAGTCGAAAAAATCTGCGATGTGGAGAATGTGGTATTCAACGTCTCCAAATAGCCATTTTATACCGTTATGTCAAAAAATTTAGTCTATAATACTTCTGTTTCCTCGTTTAGAGCTAGAGACAGGGACAATGTACCCATCGAGAAGCAAGCACGTGGGTACGAGCCCTTCTTTTATCAATCGGAGCATCCTATTATAAATTAAAACAGTTTGATGTTTGTTTTTTTTACGATTTTTGTGTGCGTGGACACTGAATAACGCGAAGAAATTTTATCGAGCCTTCTGTAGAGCATTGACACAGAAAACACAATCAAATAAGAAAGGTTACACAGATTAACATTGTTACATAGATTAACAAACTTTGGAAGGTTTCGTGATTCAGTGTGGGATCTGGAGGAAAGATTAGCATATGCCTTCATATAACTGCAATAATGACTTATACATAATTTACGTGGCCACATAATGTCCCATGGCAGTTCCGTATGCGGTCCTGAACTGTCAAAACTGACTTTATGCCGGCCAGGAAAGGTTATTTGGCTGCAAAGACGAAACTTCATCGTTAACCACAGCTAGCTGCAGAGTCAAGCAATACGTATCTTACTGCAATGACGCGCATTTGCGGGGTTCATATTTTCCGTTGCGACATAGGAGTACGGACAGTTGATACGATCGTCGTTACCATTCGCGTCGCAGAGGAAGTTTTGTTGTATAGCACCGTTCAAGGATGGACAGTACGCGCTTCCGTAGCGGTTATTTGCTGTACGGCAAGCAGAAAACGTAACGCATCAGTGACAGCATCGTTATATGTGTGGCAGCACGAAGTTTATGAGGGAGAACTATACATTATACGCCAACGAACTCAGTTGATTGTATACAGGAAACTCGCCACTAATTTGTAGCACAGAAAAAATTAAATACGAAAGCCTTGCGATAAGGCAACAGAACGTTTTGTTTCTGTGTAATTTTCGTATATATAATTTAAACTTATCTGTACATGAATAAACGGCATAGTCAGCATAGATGTCACCGAGGGGTTCAAAGGCGAAAATCACAAACGGCTGTTTTTCGTACGGCGTCAGGTATTGTGCTACCGATAATTCCGAGGAATAAGTTCCAGGCATACAGTATGCTTCACACGTCGCAGCTCTGACTCTCCTAGGTATTGCTGGTAGATCGATACCGCTTTCGCGCTTTTGTAAAACGCGCGAAACACAAAGTAACAGAAAACGATCAACAGCACAATAGAATGTAAATGCGACCTTATGTTAAAATAAAACGCGAACGTATCAACGGTTCCGGGACAATTGTTCGGTAAAGTAATGTTAACGCTAATTGGAGCGTTGCGTCGCACAATCGTGAGGTTTCCCACACGTTCATAGCCAGTGCCAGCGCAAGGAAGGGTCACGGTGTTTATTTTCCAGTTTAAAGTAACTGCGAAGAGAAAAAGGCATTCGAACGAAGAGAAGCTGCCACACAGTCCTTCTTGCCGGTTGACTTACTGGGTCGATAGCTGGGAGGTCCGTTGGATGATGCTGCAACAGAGTCGGAAAGTGTTGACAACAGCATTCTGAAATATGCTGATATGCTAAACGCATTCATGAAAATATTAATTTTACATACGGTTACGGTAAAATTCAATGCACTGCATCGCATCCGCTGGATTTAGTCCAAGCGAAGACTGATAATTGCTAGGAAAGTTTATGCGCGTCGCCCGAGGTGGACAGAGGAGGTCATTATGAATGAAACCGCGCAGTGCATCGCAGTATGTGGCGCCTTGTGATCCCGCTTGGCTGGTCTCTGTACAAACAAATCGTTTGCGCTACACAGGAAGCCTGCACACGCTAGAGTGCGTAGTCTCGTAAGTTTCGAAGTTGCATACGGGCGGCCGGGAAATATAATGTGCGCGATTGCATTATTACGAGTAAGTAAGTACTCTGTAGGTACAACCAATACAGGAACAGTTTTGTCTACACCAAGTTGCTTTGGGTTCCACGAAGCTATATTCCCAAATAAGCATCAGCAATTGTTCAACATTTACCGTGTAGCACAGCGAAATCAATAAGGATTGCGTGGTTTACGTTTTTCGAGCATTCACGTATCGAAGCCCTTTCGACGGTAGACCAGGTGTACGCTCGGCTGCTGATTGTACGCTGTGAGGTGCTTTGCCACTGAATCCACTAGCTTAGTGTAATTTTGTTGTTTAAACAGTTTTCCCAGTGTACGGTTGTCGCCTTGGGATTCGTGAATTTCAAAGGTGTGCAATGTAGAACCGTTACCTCCTGTGAAGACTTGCCTACAACCACAAAATAGTGCGAAATAATTAGATAAGTGTAATATATCATTCCGATTTCAGGATCGTGAAATTAGTAGCGTGGCAAAAACACTCGATGGTTAACTCAACCTGTTTGTTACATCGATATTTTGAGCCAAGGTGCTTTACTTCTACTCGTAGGTGTGATGCTTGTGTAATTAATTGCAGTCAACATGCGTAAGGGTTGTACCTTACGTTCAAATATATAGCAAAACTCTGGAATTCTGAAGTCGTGCAACTACCGTTCAACTGCAAAGTGACTTCGCACGTTTTCTTCGGTGCACCCCGAAAGAGGACTGACTGGCTGCGTGATGCGGATGCTGTTGGGCAAGGTATTACGATGATATCGTTACACCGCTGTTGAATTTCAACTAAAAAACAACAATCAAAAAGAACGGTTGCAATATTTTAAGATTTTTGCTGGCCGTTGGGTTTTCTTACTGGGTGTGGGACTGTAGGCGTCGAACATTGGCCGCGCGGGGGAAGGAGGACCACCTAGAACACCGAAAGCATTATTTCATTGAATATTGAGGCATAAAAAATAATCCACGTACCACTGCATATGGAATGACGTTGTTGCGCCGGTCCGTACATGAAACTAGAGGAATTCAGTTTGTAGCTGCTTGGACAGTTGACCCGGTTGTCTGATGAGTCGCAAATCGAATCCCGGTTTAGTGTTTACATATGTCTGCAGGGCATCGCAGTACCTCACCATTCCGTATTCTCCACCATTGTTATCTAGAATCCACTGAAAGTTTAACTGAGGCCGATTATTTAAAAAAATTGTGAATATAGCACTGACTTTCCGTAACGACGTAATCTATGATAACATTCGTGTTCGGAGGCGGTTGTGGTTCCGACAGGGCATACGCCGGTACGTGTTCGATATACAGAACTGGTTGCTGATTTAGATTCGTCAGTGGCGTCGAATATTGTGCTACAGAGGGTGGATTTGTTGTGGGTGCTAGTGATCCCAGCACGGTCATTACCGGCTTCCCGCGGCCAAAGTTCCGAAGATGAATCGCATCAGGTTGGTGTTTAGACGCGTTCCTGAAGTAAAAAATTTGCAGCATCTACTAAGTATTTTTTTCGCTAGTTGCGTGGTTGATCTCATTTTGGTTCAGACATTTTATCGTAAGATATTAGCGTACTGCAAATCTTAGCTTCTGCTACTGTTAGTACGTTTTTTGAAGATTCAACGTTAAACGAAAGCCCTAAGCGCACGGAGAATGAGGTGCCAAGTGATTTCCGCACTTTTTCGTGTAGCATGCTAGACAAGCGCTGTATGGGCGGCTCTAGCGTTCAGTGGGTTCACTGTCTACAGGCTTATGAACTGGCTGAACAAGCACTTTGAAATTAATTCATATTGAGTAGTACGTGCGGGTACGACAAACCAGTTCGAACCAGCAGTTAGACAATACGTAATACAGTTTGCATGTTTTGTAAACATACAATTGTAAAAATATATTTTAATTAGATTCGAGTCTATAACTCTTGATAGAGAGCCGTTTTGAAGCATGAACGATTTTTCAAGAGTGAGCAAACGCTCGGTCCTTTACTACTGGCAGCCTTACGCTGCTCAGCGCGTTCAGCAAACGCTCAACCCCATATACAGCTATAGAGTATCACGCTTTACGAAATGGTGCGGAATTTAGTTGGCGCTGCAGTAATATACATACCTGAAGTTCAGATAAAAACCGTATGCTGGATTTGGATAGTTCCGGCCGCCATCAGCGGCGCACGAAGTTACTTCGTGCGCCGCCAGTTTCAGTTACTGAAACAGGCATCCGCCAGGTTCAGGACCACTCTACATGTCCTGCTCGGTCGTGATGTAAATCGCAGTGTTCCGCCTTGACCAGCAACATGAGGGCATGGAACTACAATCGTTCGACCACAAAACTCTCCCAACTCATCTGTAACACGCAGTCTGTTTAGTAAATTAGGACTGTTCATTGTATTTGAGCCAACGAAAAGCTTACAGTTAGGGTATTTTGATCCCTCCAAGCATCCCAAATGAAAGTGCCCAAGCAATACTAAAAGGGCGCCTAGTCGGCTGCTCATTCTAATTGAGAAAAAGGGCAGCTGCCGCTCAGAGCTTTATTCAGAAAATGTTAACATCTTTGCTTTATATGTTAACATCTTTGCTTTTGCTTTGGTATTTATATCCATTTGTCGATTAATGGAAACTCGTGTCGGTAGTCTTTTACGTGATAAAGAAATCAAAACAAGAGGAGGACGCAAAACAAACATTTAGACAAAGAAATCGGTACAGTACAAAGCTCGGTGTTATGTGCTCGATTGTATTCGGAACAAAAATTATGTTTATTTTCTTATCGCAATGTTGCAAAACTGGCAGAGCTTAAAGTTCCAATGTTTGCCGGATGGTGTATGGTTATGTAACAGCTTTGTCGTATTTTATCGCAGTGGCAGATTTATTAAAGCTGCCTCTATTTTTTTGTATCATTGGTGACCGTTTTGTCTGATAATGAAGAGTAATACCGGATAACCGAAAGCAAAAGCTTCGTTCTGCCAGCATCGCGGGGTCGGTTAGTTTGAAAACGGCCGTTCGATAACTGCCCATAGGCGATGTTACCACTTATAAATTTTTACCTTATGAATAATAACGCTATGGCTTTCTAGGAATTATTCTCAAACAGGCAAATGACATATCGCATGTAGGTATTTGTATTATTTGTGTTTACTGTAGCCTGACAATCGGAGCCACCGACTGAACATACATACTGTAATCGTCTGGCAGATCATTCATAATCAGCGGGGGCGTCAGCATTTTTGCATTCATAAAAAGATTGACAGTTGAACAAGACGCGTGACGGGAGTTTCCGTTTTGTAATTACGGGCTATGGCAGACAGATCAACTAATAACAACACTATTAATGGAAATACTCGTAAACAAATTATGTTATGGCGCTTCACTATTGACTATTATTCGGACGGCTGCCCACGCGGAATTAATTTCACCATTCATCGGATTACTACCGCACGCACGCGGAAGTTGCCGAAGTATGCCTGGACAGGGTAGATTTAAAATAAAAGTAATACGTCTAATGCCGTCAAAACAAGAGTAACTTGTACTTTCGGTATATACGAATTTGTCTACGGGTAGTATTTCTACATGTGCAATGTGCATGAGTAAAATGGATATTTTGTTCGGTATAGTTTCGGTTTTACTAATCGGTAAGTCCCGTACTTAGCGTTGATTAGAATCGTACATTTGGGTTTTGATCAATTGATACTTGAAAATATGACGCGTTCTATCTTCCTGAATTTAATATTCACTGTTACTGTCCATAGCGAAAGCATGTTTTGCAGGACGTATTGCTTATGTACGCACACAGGCCGCTCTTGATCCGGTTAACGTTCCCAACGGGACACTTCCTGAACCGGCTGCCCAAGCACCCGTTCCCACTGAGGTTAAACTTACCGGCAACGCCTCAAACTTCCAGCTGCAACTATCCGGTGCTTCCGGTGTTAATCTCACCGGTAATCTGACGGACTTAGTAACTAATCTCGCTAAAAACGGTTCCAATCCGGAATGGGCATTAACGGGAACTGTACTGCATGCTGCAGCCGGCGATCAGCCTATAGAAGCGTCAAATTCTTCAACCAGTGCGCCTGTGGACAACGCGGCACCGGCACCGTCTGCTCCAGTTGCACAAAATAGCGGTGGTGTTAACAGCGTACCGAGTCTGCCAGCGGCGCCAGAACTAATGAACACCTCTGATTTATTACTGACCGGTTTGTCGAGCAACGTAACCGTTGCCCCACCAGAGTTACTAACGACGCCCAGCTCCGTCACAGTGCCTATTGCCGTGCCTGCAGGAACAGAGGCACCACCTGTATTACCGCAACCTGGGACTTCCAGCCCAGCGGTTAAAGAGACAGTCGCTAACGCCACGGTTGCGACACCGATTCCTCAAAATCCTGTGCAACGGGAAAGCCAGGAAACGCTGAACGTAACCGCTGTGCCAACCGTTGCGCTAGGCAATGTCACTAATGTTTCGGTGGCATTATTCAACCAGACGACAACCTCGGCACCAGTTAATACCACTGCCGCACCGGTCCCTTTTCAACGCCCACCGATGTTTCCGCAACCTTGTGTCAACATTATGCCGGGTTGTGGATTTATGGCGGAATCGCCGCGACTGCGATTTGAAATGATGGGCGGATAATTTATGTCCGAGTAACTCCGAACTGCCAACTCAGCCGGGAAGTTGCTGCTTGTCACATATTTGGGCGGGATAACTCCAATTTTTTAGCAAGTATTTTAATTTCCATTGCGGCGCATTCTGTTTTACGTTGCATAATAAAAGAACACCAGTTCTTTGTTTGTCAAATGCCCGGCAGAAAATTGCTTATCAAATTGTAACCGTTGACAAGTAAATTCAGCACCATCCTTCTTTGGCCATTTGGATGTTCTGTCCGGTCTCGTCAATATCCAAGCACAACGTGCACTTGTTGCCGTACTCCTTGCCGTTGCTACCGCAGACTGGCTTCTACATCCGGTTGCACATACGAGGACCGTTTCCCGGGACCGGCTTACACTTTGCCTGCCCAAACGGAAAACCGGTGTAATTATTGTATCAGATGCAGACAATGTATATTTTGAACTCACCTGTAGTAGCTACATAAAAAATGAGTTTATCGGAACTTAGGTACGTGCTTATGCAGTCACATAATTACTATGACGGTAGAACGATTTCGGAAATTTTTATGAAACAAGAGTCGTTTACCACCGAAGGTTTGTTATGGTTTAAGCAAATCTAAATTTTGTAAGGATTGTTTAACTGCCTCACCGCACGAGGATAGACGGTATCAGCGCCCCCATTGCTCCTGATTCCCACGACTAATGGCTTTCATAATCGACTGCCCCCGAAGTGCTCAAAAAAGCAGTACGTAGAAGTTTATGCGCTTTAGTATGTACATTGTAGCTTTTAATACCCCGTTCACATTTTCTTGGACTAGCGGCCGACATACTGACAGAATCTGTTCGCGTGGGCCGGTTTTTGACAAACATAATTATGTCGTTCCGCAATTCTTTTTTTCTTTTTATTTCGTTATGCCGCAAATATCGCACCGCACTGCGTTTATCTTAGATGTTCCATTTAGGGAAAGGAAAGGAAATTATTTCCTAGTTTTGCAGACGCAAGACAAAATACTGTCAGTCCTAATCGTAAACAAACATATTTAGCACTGTCCTTCTTTGGCCACTTGAATATCCTGTCCGGTTTCATCCATATCGAAGCACAACATACACTCGTTGCCGTATGTCTTTCCATTGCTGCCGCACACTTGGCGCAACATGCGGTTGCAAGCACGAAGACCCTGTGCCGGCTTTGGAGAGCATCTTGGCTGCAGCAAATGAAAAACAGGTATATGTGTTATGTATAGCAAAGTACATGTAGCATTCCGACAAACGTATCACAGAGCCTTGCACAGACTGCAGTTATGCGCTTCCGCATGGTCACACAACTGCGACAGTTAAAAAACATCATTCGTTTTTTTATTTATTCGTTAAATTATTATAATTTAACGAATAAATCAATAAATAATTAAATGCTTTGAAAAGCAAATCAATATATAACTTTAGCTTTCAAACGATAGACGAAAACAAATTTTCTCAACTAACCGTTCAACGTAAATTTTACTACAGTTTCAGACCTATAATTATTTTTTCCAGGAGAATTTGCTGGCTTACCGCACGAGGATAGATGGTATTGGCACTGTCGCCTTCACTGCGATCGTTCTGTGGCTTGTCACCGTGATCACATTCGCCTGCATAGCAAAACGATTTTATTTTTATTAGTGTAAGTAATCAGTCATCTTTTCCTATTTTGTATTTTTTTAATTTTTTTTATACTGTTCAATTTTAAAATATTTTTCTGGTTTTGTAAATATACATACTGTATACCATACAAGCAGATTTCCTATTTTCCTATTTTCATTTATTAAACGCTTGTTAATATAGGTTGTTAACCTTTTTAGTAAAAGCTAGTTGTTGTTAATAAAAGCTTGCCAGAGTTGTTCTAACAGAAAACACTGATAGAAATTTTTCGCTGTTAACAAGGTGCGCTGCCTGTGCGTCTGATTATGCATCAACGATAATATCACGCTTGTTTTAACGTACCGGGATGTCCAATTTCCACGCCGGATTTGCCGCTCTCCGTGGCTTGATAATGAGCAACGCATAATTCGCACAGGTTAGCGTATGTCTTTTCGTTAGTTCCACACAGTGGATCGTAATTGCGCGGGCAACCGGTCTTCATATCCAAATTGCACTCCTGCAACAAAATATAGCATTCTTACAATTTGGTAAATGTTTGGTTAATTATGGTACATTATTTTACCGGTCGGACTCCTTTCGGCTTGCATTGTACGACGGCCACGAAAGCCAAAGCGAATACTGCAAAACATTTTAAATATTTTCCGATTAGATACTGCATGCATACAGTTAAGTAAATTCTGAGAATCGAGAAACTTACGACACAAAAACACGTTCTGCATTTTGACGGCGAAGCGACAGAAATCGAGTAAAAGTTCTTTACAGACGAGAAACACCTAACTACCACATTATAGCTACCCGGAAGCAGCACTTTATAAGTCGACTGCGAACATGCGGGATTTATCATCCACAAGGATCTCTATAACATGCAAGGAATGTGATGCTATCGCCATCGTTTTCAGCGATGTTTGCTGTGGGCTTTGGCGAAAGTGTAGGAGAGTGCGGTAGAAATGGACTGTGAACCGTGCGCTTCTCTTGAAACAGCCATGATCTTTCAATTTCATGGTCGGTATGACTCAGTGTTTCGTCCTTGATTTATTTATTAGGAATGCTTGTTCAAATTTATTCTGTAGTACCTATCACTATGTTAACCTGATACCGGAAGTGAATCTCCGCTTAGAATGTGTAACTGTAGCAAAGGTGTTTACAAAATACCGAAGACTGATTAGATGTACTGCACACGTACGCGCGTGAAGCGAGCCATACAATTTACGATAGAAGTAGTGAAATAAATATAATGAACAATCAACGTTTATTAATGCCAGCATGATACAAAATAATTATTAATCTGTATCCATGGATAATACTTTTTTAGTTTACTTAAAGTAGTAGTTACATGTGCATGGCTTCGTAAGTGGTATCCCTGAATGATTTAATAAATATTTTAATGCATTCTGTAGATAGTATTCATGTAGATAGTACTTAATACTGCGGAGGTCAGCTTGCACAGGAGCATGTACGCAAAACAACAGTGTTTGAGGTCATATGGGGTCCAGTTATTATCATGTCAAATATTTGATATTCCACCTTAATGTGCTTCTCATCGTCGTAATTCAGAAACACAGCAACATTAACTCTTTCCAGTAAAGCTTGATATGTGATATCTGTACAAAGGATTTCCATAAAAACGATGCGACCAATATGTGCTCCACATCTTCCAGGAAAGCAAAAGGAGAGCAAAAATTACAATATCTTTGCACCGATGATTTGCTCAATAAATCGGCGATCGCGCGGGATTCCTTAGCGCGGTTAATTCCGCTGGGAATTACTGCCGCTGGCAGTCCAGTTACCAAAGGCACGTTTTGCACCTCTACGGTAATCTCCACTGACCATAAAAAACGTCAACTGCAAAACGACTTCTTTATTTACTTCGAAAGGCCTTCCTTTGCGGAAACAGTTAACATAGCATTAGCATGTAATCAGCATATAACGGTAAAGTAAATTTTGCTGTCTTACCGGATTGAGGGCATATCCACCAATCGCCAGCGTCCTTGTCCACAGCAGCGCTCTGGGATTGTTTCTCCAGACTCCCGGGTAAAACTGATTTAATATGGGTACTGGAATCAAGCATAAACAGTTAATCACAAACGTCAGAAACAACACTTTAATCATCTGTAGTCGTCGTTGGCGCCGATAATTACGCGGAGTGTTGATCCCGGCAATGTTGACCTTTACTGACATATTTTTCATACAGAACAGGAAAGCGTACAGGATTCCCATTATCCCAATGGGAAGGTACGTGTTCAGCGATCCCATTACGAAAAAATACGAGCCGTTCGCACGAATAACAGAGCAGGCTCCACTAGGAAGATATCCCAGCTTTACTGCAGTTTGACTGTAAAACGGAATACTGCACAGGAAAATATACATCCACATCATTGGGATGCCGATCGTGGCGTAACCTCGGGAAAACGACTTAGTATAGCGGTACGGATACACTAGCGCGATAAAACGGTTGACAGCTAACAAGACCGCCGCCCAGTTGTTAGCGTGATTAAACGTCTGGAGACTGCATACCAGGGCGGTGCAGTTAAAGATGGTAATGCGGAAATACACGGGTAAGGCGTGCAGCGGCGTCTCCACAGCGCACAGCATGAGCTCGATGAACATATAATTCGCCACGCAAATTCCCGAGCTGGTGCGGAGTTGCCGGTGTGAGAATAATGTTGTCAGGAGGAACGTGATTAGCACAGATCCCAGTACGGCGACGATAATCGTGGTGATGAACCATACTGACAAGTCAAGGCTGGATAAACTGTCAACGGTTGAGTTTGTTGTATTGTGATATACGAATGTAAAGTTGCGGTATTCCATCATGACAACAGCTGATGTTCGATTTAAGGGAAACTCACGCAGACTTAGTCCATGTTGCATCAAGATAAACGCGCAAACCGGAAGGGATAGCTAACTGACGCCGTCGGGCTGCTGCGCCTATAGGAGCGGAGCCTCAGCGGAATAACCATTATTTTCTTGAATATCTTCCGGTGCTGGATCTGGAATATTACTCCAGGAAAATTTCCCAGTCATTATCGCGAATCAATAATCACTCCGTCATTTAAAGGATCTTCAATATTTTTCATACAGTTTTGATTTCCGTCAAGCGAAACACGATACAAAGAAGCATAACTCCACCTGGTGAAACATTGCCTGTACGGTACGTACAAGCTGCACGTTTCGTTTTCCAAGCATAAGGGAACTGCTGTTTATCACTTCCCGAGCGCGTGAAAAATAAAACAGCTTTCTTGCACAGATTTGTATTATGGGAAAGAGCCTAGGGGCGTCTGAAAAGGAATGACGACCAACAAAAGCAAAACTTGCTTGCATCTTAACTTGAATGCTCAGCCAGATTAAGCTCGAACTGAATCACGCCGCACGTTCCAAGAAGTAAAGTGTTACGGCCGGCAGCAATCAGGTAGCATCACTTACATGTCTTCACTGCATCCTGCGCAGTAAGACGAACCACAGATGCGTCAAAAGGCGGGAATACCAGGTAAATGCAGAAGCCGGGCTACCGTAAACTGTGATTAAATCCGATAGTTTGATCATACAGCCGCGGACGGTTGGGTGGAGAATCTGAACTGCCTATCGGGGCCCGGCAGGCACCGTTTATGTTCGCTTAAATGATTATCCACGATAGCTGCGGCTTTATGTGGTAGTGATTGCTATAACAGCGGCGGCGACCTCGGCTTAGGATAAAAGTTGTTTTCATCTTGAGCGGCTGCGGCAAACGTAAGCAGAACAGCAACAAGGACCAGGAAACGCGCACACCACAGTGCCGCACCATTATATCCGAACAATGAGCTCCCAGCATCCTAAGAAGGTTGCATAATTGCTAGACCAAAATGTATTATTCCTGGGAGAGCAGCCAAGGGGGTAACATTCGAGCCGTCAGGAGACCGGTTAGCTTAGCCGATAATAAAATTATTGACCGGTGAGTAGTTCACGTGTTGATCGAAATTAGCGTTTGATGCCGTTTAGCGTCAGCGTCCTCGTTTACAGTTGGAACGATATTAAAGGGTAAATTTGCGAATGTGATAAGTGCTCAGTCTGTATTCCGCAATGTTTTTTTTTTGCATGCTCAGTAGTCGCCGATTGCTATTCCTTGTGTTGTTGTGCATGTATTGCCTTAGACGCAAAATTACGTCCACGCATACCGAAACAGGCGCACTTTTCTCTCAGCTCCACTACTTTTTACCTTTTTACCTTCAACATTAACCGTTCTTCAAAAAACAGGATCACAGGTTCCGGCTGGTACGGTCCATTGATGATGAGCTCTTTTGTACAACATGCAAGAATAATGTAATGAAAATTTAAATTGCACCATATGTATTGCGCATGATTTTGTGAAAACTTCTAATAAAGTGTGTTATTCCGTTTGTCCTACATTTGAGCTTTATGCGCGTTGTGAAACAAAAGACGCACACGCAATTTTCACTCTGCAGCAGCTGTAACCAGAGTACCGGACGTCAACATTTCGGGGACTGTCAACACCGCTCCTACCATTTGCTAATTAATTATCCAATTTCCGCTCTTTAATTATAATCCTCACGTGCTTTCTGATTTCAGTCCTTGGTCTACCTTTGTCGGGGAAATAACTGGATAGTCTGTATCATAGCGCAGGTCCAACGTTTTGAATCGGGTGCTGTTATAGCGTGTCCAAGTCGTGTAGCGGCAACATCGTTACTGAAGTATTAATTTTGCTTGCAGCATGGATCGGGCTCTTTCCGGGCTTTCTGTGCTGATTGCATGATGATGCACATCAGTTTCTTGAGCCAGTAAAAACGTAATTCTAAAACTTTGGTTTTTTTATGCAGGTATAAGCATTTTTATTTGTATAGACCTCCTTATGCTCTGCCATGCAATCAAAAAATGAGCGAGCTACAGTAAATGTAACCCGCAACGTCACACGGCATATTCTTTCTTCAAACGAACTCAGCGTCTGGTTTGCCACTAGCATGATTATCGCTGCTATCGGCACTCTTCTGTTCTCCTCCTTCTCTACATTACCGCTACCCAGAAGAGACTTCGCACCGGCTCCGGTGCACTGGTTTTCCAGTACATGTTCATCGAGCTGCTTATGTGCTGCTGCGCGTGCCCTTTATATTTCGTCATTCCTTATTCACCAACCAGTAATCTCTCTTGTGTTGTGGTGGCCTCCGTATTCCAGACTCTCAACCATGCCAACAACTGGGCGGGTGTCCTACTCGCCCTCAACCGCTTGGTGGCGCTCGTGTTTCCTTATCATTACACCGGGAAATTCTCCAAATTTTTTGCGGCACTGGGGATTCCGCTGATGTGGTCGTATATCTTTATCGGAAGCATTCCGTTGTATAATCAAACGGCAGTGACGAACGGGCTGACCAGCAGCGGTGTGTGTGCTATTATCCAGACGTTCGGTTTGTATTCGGTCGTTATTGGATCGTGCAATACGTACCTCCCGATCTGCATCATGGGGGCGGCGTATTTAGCCATTCTTATTAACCAGAAACGGGCGGTGCGTGGACGCGTCGGAACCGAACAGCCCGTGAGGAATAATGTCGAGCGACGGCTGACAATGACGAAAATTCTATTCTCTACGTTTCTTGTTAACTGTGTCTGCTTGTTTCCCGCCCCGCTGATTATGCATTTTTATCCGTTGGTGTGGCGCAGTGAGGCCAGAGCCACCCTTTGGGTACGGACAGCGGGATTGGCCGGTTATGCGGTTAATCCGGTAAGGAAATGATTGACTTCATTTTTATAGCGTTTAATTTATAATATGTGGGATTGTGTGCAGGTGCTGTTTTTTGCCATCAGTCGCGACTATCGCAAAGGATTTATGATAATAGCTCGTTACGCGCAGCGAGCGGTACAGCGTCATGTGGATGGGAAGCTCACAACTGCTAGCGTTACAGCTTAAAATGCTACTTAATGGTATCACTCGGTCGTTCTGCTCTTGTATGCTATTCTGTAGTGGCTCACGACTGAGTCACGAGAAACTTATACTGGTGGTTACCTGCAAAATTAATAAATTTGATCTTTAGGTAACGCTTCGTATTCACTTTAATTGAAAATAAGTCCTGTAGATAGAAACCGGAGAATGCCTAGCAAAATCAGAAAGTCAAGGAATTTGAAAACGGAGAAAGCAGCACACAGAAAATAAGCGCGCACTGTACATACTCTGTACAGTGTACACTATTACATATAAAATCCTGTCCGGCAACAGAAATACATATATCACATGACGGTACAGTTAGTACGGTCAACCCAACGATCGATGAATATAGTAGCGACCTATACTAGCGCCTAAGCAAAGGCTATTTAGCACTGTCATTTTAACAATAACCATGTGGATTTTTTTCTGGTACTTTTCAATTTGAATTTTTTTAAGTACGTATTTAATTTTTGTTTGTTTTATATAGAAATTTGACGTGTTAGGCCATGCAAACACATGCAGAGTGCAGATACTGTGCCATAGTGCGCCTTAACATGTTTAGGGATAACGCCAATTGGCGTTATCCCTAAACTGCTTTTTACCTGTACAGTCTGTATTTGTGATTATTTATGCATATACAGTATATGCCAAATCGTCGTACGGGCTTGTGCAAATTCAGATTCAACACGCCTGTTAATGTTCAGTATGTAGGGTACTTCTAAACGCTTTGGTGAATACATACATTAAATTACAACTTATAGTATGTACTACAAGAAACAGCCTCGGCTTCGCCTCCGCTTTTCTTGTGGTCTCCAGTCTACGGCCGGTTTATTCAAATGATTTCGTTCCGCTATTTAGTTAACATCTTATTCCTTCAACGAAACAAAATGATCCGAAAATACGCTAAAACGCAGATAGAATAAAAAGTGAATTTATGGCTTTTGTGCACTCAGACGCATTCACTTTCACTCGGAAGGGAATTTTTGTTAACTTCTCCCTCCCGACCTTGATCGAGTCTACCAGGTAATAATTTCCACTAAAGGATGCTTGCAATAGATGCTGATGGTAGTCCGATCACTCGTTTACCTATAGCGGTCTGTGTTCTCTGGATAGTAGTGGTAGTTCGGTCACTTGTTTAACTAGTGTGCTCTGGATAGTAGTGGTAGTTCGGTCACTCGTTCACCTAGCGCGCTGCGTGCTCTGGATAGTAGTGGTAATTCGGTCACTCGTTCACCTAGCGGGCTGTGTGCTCTGGATAGTAGCGGTAGTTTGGTCACGGCTTGGCTCTGTGAAACTAAAACCGTCTGGCCGGGTTTTGGAATATGTATGGGCATTCAGATTATGGAAATGGTTTCTGCTGATTCTATACGTGAAAGCTGGGTTCGTGAATCCCTTTTTATTTTTTGTGGTAATAAAGATCTAGCATGTACAGTAGATACCGTACTATTGTTCCGTATTATACGAAATAATTTACGGACTGCAGATGCTGATTATCATTTATCAATCACTGACTTTAGTTTTGCTCGGACTGCAATGAAAGGTTAGCCCGTTTGAACGATTACAGTACTATGGTCAGTTTCTTTTACAGCTGCCTTCAAATGTAAACGATTTAAACTGTAAACGAAGCCATCCACTTGCAGTATCGTTTGCGCTACTGCTAATTGACTTTTCTAGTTTTGTAGGATTAAAAGTTCAAACCTTTTTGATTTGTTGATCTAAAAAGGGTACCAGTTTAAATTTACTGATTTTTTGCTCCATGCAACAGGACTTTGAAATTGTTTTCAAGGTCACCTTGAGTTTTCTTCTCTACCGGCACCGGCGTCTGTGCACGAGAGCCGGAGCAGATATTACCAAAACAAAATGCATGTGACACAGTTTCCAGACATGCTGAATCGAATGGCGGTAGCAGTTTTTCGATTAATTTTTTGGCTTGTTCTGACCAGATCGTACGGGGTTTTCCGTTGTATTATAGATCTTTACCTTGATAAGGTAAGGAAGGAGCCACTTCTGGGAAATAATGCAGTACTAGGCTACAACTGCTCTGGATAATCATGGTACTGAACATTGTACGGATATCAGCGGTAAAGAGAAAAGCTGTTGCACGACGACATACTCGTACGTCCCTTCTACCAGTCTGTAAAATTAAATGCTAAATTATAACTGAATGCAAGTCAAAAAGGAGACATTCTTATTGCCAATGCACAACTGCAACACCTGCAAATTTTCCCACAAAAAATGATAAATTCCAAGTATTGAAGATGGTAGTATACCGATTAGTAAGTCATTTAAATTTCCCGGTTATCGGTACAAAATCTCACCTCTGGCAAAACAGAACCATTTGCCAGCAAGCCAAAAAGAGTAAGTTTCTACTATATAATATTACAAGAAACAGCCTCGGCTTCGCCTCCGCGTTTCTTGTGGTCAACGGCCACTTTATTCAGTTTTCAATGAATATCTATTAGAATAACATATTTCGTCGAAACATAATCGCTACATTGTACTAACGCAAAAAAACGGATTTTATATATAAACACGGATTTAAATTTTTTATGATTTTTTAATCAGTTCATGATTCTCTCAAATCACCATAAATTCCCACAACTGAATTCATGATTCTGTGAACCTCTACTTGATGAATCTGGGTGGTGGAAGCTCTGTCACTCGTTCATTTGACGGGATCTGTGCGCTGGACAGTACCGGTAGATCATTCACCTGCTAGCTCATTTGCCTACCAGGCTATTTGCGCTGGACAGTACCGGTAGCTCGGTCACCCGCTCATCTAATGGTCTCGCTCACCTAACGGGTGCCGCACACTGGACACTTGGACAGTACCGAGAGCTGGGCCACCCACTCACCTAATGGTCCCGCTCACCTAACGGTCCCGTACACTGGACAGTACCGGTTGCTCGGTCACCCGCTGACCTAACGGGTCCTGTGCACTGGAGAGTACCGGTCACTTGGTTGGCCGGCACTCGTGCAGAAATTGTCCTCGATGACAACGTTACATATATAGTCGTTCTTGTCGTAATGACGGTCTGCTAATTAAATTCATTCTGATAATTTAAATAGTAGAAATGACTTTCATTTTTTAGCTATATTTTAGTTGGTTTACGTGGCAACATTGCCTGGTTAAAAATACCACGATGATAATTATTGTTACAATAATTTATGTAGTTGCATTTGGTGAAGTTAGTCAAAACTATTCCGCTTTGGCGTTCGAAGCGGGAGAGGTTTTGAAAGAAATGAATACTATCTGGCCGGGTTTTCGACTACGGGCTTTCAGAATATAATATTGGTGTTGGTCAGTCATTTCTGGTTTGCCGGCTCTGGTGTATCCCATTCGTGGCAATATAGATCTGAATTAGGATAGTGCAGCATTTCTCCCTTCAGAGTTACATCGAAAATCGTGTCAAAGCCGGCTTAGGTACCAACAGCAAGCCGTATATTAACGCCTGCTTATACATTGTACACCGGTGACTTGGTCCTGCACAGTAACGTGGAAACGTAAAACCGCCAGTACGATGACGTTAACGGATACTGTGGGCCTGATGTTAACTGTACAACTCGCAACATTTGTTATTGCGGATGATCCGTTTCCGGGTACCTTCGACATTTCTTTTTCAGAATTCATGTTCTCTCTTCTCTGTATATTCTTCGTTTTTTTTTCTCAGTTTTATTAGGTAATTTAGATAGACTGTCTTTTATCAGCTTAAAATAACAATTTGTTTTAATAATGAGTTTATTTAATATTATTTGTCATTGGTAATTATTAAGTCATGTACACTTGCCGATCCGTGACCTTTTTGGTTCATTTAAGGCATAAAAGACATGGTGCAGTTCAACAAATTTTATTTTAAAGGTACTCATGAGGCGTAAAATAATTGTTTTCAGCGATCCATCTAACTGGTCAGATTCTGAAAGATCGGACACTAAAATTTCAGTGCCGACACCAGCTGGAAAAACAGAAGGTACTCTGCACGGAAATCAACAAATGTCCAGCCGGATCATCGCAGATCCGATTAAAAAGCACGTACAGGACGGAGTTGGTCCCAACGATAAGAGCGCGGTGTACAATGTCGGCTGGCGTTGAGAAGGCGACACAAAACTGATGAAAGCGGATGTTGGAACCGGTAAATTCATGACAATATTCCGCGATAGTGTGCCTTGTTGATTTTTATCGTGAACTAATTGCTGTTGTGTTCACGTTTCCTGCTATCAGCTGCTAACAAAATAACGTTTCTTTATTATCTGCACATATAAGGCACATAATTTTGTTGATTACTTTACGTTCCTTTTATGTACATACATCAGTGATATTCTAATATTACTCTGTTATCAATAATAATATTAGATTTTTTATTATCAGTATGCTATTCTTGTGTATTCTATTCTTGGGGTTTTTGTAAAGTATGGTATTTCTTTTTTGTTGTTTTGTAGAAGTATCAACATTACGTGTTTGACAGTGTTTTTATTCTGCAGATTTTACCAGCCTGACCTATAAGGATGCCAAACCGGTGACAGGGGATGACTTACGCACCTTCTACTACCTTACTTGCGCATATTTTCAAAACAACGACGGCAGTAAATCCTTCACATGCAATAGCTACGAGTACTGCTCCAAAAATGGCGACAAGTTAGACTGCGCTGAAGTCCCAACATACGGCGGGTCGTGGTCGGGAGACCTTCAGATCGGTTAGATTGATACTTATTTATGCAACCCTTACTGCAATTGCACCACGTGGTATGTTGTTACAGGATTAAAGGCCACATTTGACTACGATCGTTGTAAGTGATCCTCAAGATCCTTGGTTAACGTAGCTAAAACTTCGAAACTTTTATTGCAGCTAAAAACAAGAAGAGGGGCGAGGGTTGTTTGACTGGTGGAACGGCCACAACTGCGGGAACGAATACCGGCAACTGCAATTGCAAACAAGCTCGCGAGGAAGCCTTCCAGCCTCTGTGTACGTACAGGCTTACTGACGTGATTGTACAAACCAAAGAATTAATAAGATGAGGTAATGCTGATTACAGCGCTGGACACGTACGGGCCTTTCTGCACCGCCGACGGTAAATTCGCCAAGCGCCAGTACGACCCGCGTATCAACCGAGTGTGGTGTGTGGATGCAAATTACAAGCCGACGTCATCTCCTGCTGTTAAAGTTCCGCAAGGACGCATTCCCACATGTTAACTGCCCATATACTGACGGCACTCTACGTTCATTTCATGTTGGTGTGAGAGTGCAAGTCTCTCTGCTCGGAAAAGTGCTTGTGAACCTCAAATAAGCGTACCGTTTGGATATTATGGAAAGACTGTAAAGTCTAATTACCGATACATATGACTCGCCAACCATTAACAGAACCTACCCGGGAAAACCTTTACGCTTTAGAATTGCCAGTACATTTACGTGTATCTGGATGTAAAAGTGCACAAACAGATGTCCGTAAATAAGACCTTTGGCACAACGTTCGAACAGTTCGTTTGATATGTTGTAATCGTATACGAAGAGCCCGTACACGTGTGTCCTCAGTTTGCTTCCACTCCAACGTGTATAAACGATCTTCTAAACTGCAATGGTGTGCTTAATTTAGAAAGACAATCTTAAAATTTCAAAAGATATACCTATGTACATATAAATGCATACGGGCCTTTCGGTGTCTAAGTAATTTGCACACTGTGATTCGTCACTCCCTTGAGAACCATCCAGTGAAAAGTTAACTTATATCAGTTGTCGACTTGTCGTCATCCTGGTCAACAGAACAGAATAGCGCGCCATCAAGACCGTCGCGTACCCAATCTGTACATGTGACTCATGCGAACAGTACAAAGATGAGCGACTGGGTTTGGGAGGTCACCACTCGAAAGAACAAGCACTGTTACAAAAATAAATTTACCTATAAATAATTAGCGAACACGTACGCACGAAATACACCTAAATCTGTGCTGCATATACTGCATAGTACGCATCTGCCACTGCATACTAGAGTTTAATATTTCATTCACGACAATACATGGCCTGAGCAAACATATTTGCGCGGGACGCTTTAATTATGCAAACGCATGATGTCTTTCGTCGGCTGGCACCTGCTGCTGTTTCGTCTAGTTAAACGTAATCATTTATATCGCTTCCGCAAGTAACACGCGTCAACAGATCCGTGCGCGGACTGACGGCGATTGAGGGAAATATTTGGTTTAAAAAAATACTAAATGAAAATATTAAAGAGGCCGATGTCAGTTCAATAGCGACTAGGTACACGCTTATTTTGATTTACGAAACTGGTATTTAAAGCCAAATATAGAGCGTTTAATTTCAGTTGGAGGATAGTAAGTCAGTAATATCGCAACAACAACAAACGATTTAATTAATAACCTTCTCTATTTCACTTATCCGGCCAGGTCAGGAAAATGCAAGGTGTTGCATTAATGATATCCCTCCTGCCGATTACCACGGCTCGGGTTTCACAGTTTTACATCCTGGCCACCGACAGGGATAATTCCACATTTATGATTATGTTCCTGTAATTATGTATTTGTTCGGATTATGTGCTACCTAAATATCGATACACCAGACGGCGAAAGTTAATTGTCGGACACTCCATCAACGCCTCGTTACTCCCCCTCGGTTTTGATCTACATAAGCGGTATCCGGCTTTTATAAGCGGGGCGCCACAACGACGTTTTGCCCCAGATGTGGGTTTTTTTGCAGTAAAGATTAAACTGTGCTAACACGACAGAACTGTTGCACAGCTTGATGAAGTGGATTTGTAAGACGGGTGCGTTTCATGTTAAGATTCGACCAATTCCTCTCCATCAGTCAGATTGCGGTGATCGAGAATATGTTTCTTTACAAATGGTTGTTATTATCCATGACCTTTTTTCGGTCGATAGAGGGCAGTTCTGTCGCAGTGTCGCATCAGGCTGCCCACCACGCTACACGCAAGCACAGATCTTGCGCCTTCGGCATTTGCTGGAACGAGAGGGTGTGGCAGCAATCCATTTTAAAAAGTGGGTAACAACTGTGCAGTGTGTGCAAATTTTTGCTTGCGTGTTTTAAGGTTTCAAATAAATAAATAAGTCGGCGATTTCGAACAGGCGAAAGGACATCACTAAAAAATGTTCCCATACGATTGGTCAATTCTACTAAAGAGCGTGCCCTTCCAGTTACGACCAGCGCCGGAATACTGACACGACTGGCTATGCAGACGCTGAAGCAAGACCTTAGCGATATCAAGCATCCGTACAAAGATGCTAGCTATGGTATTCTACCGCCAAGAGTTGGATGACAACGTTGAATATTCGTATTATGCAATGAAACTAATTAACGCTATCAAAGCTGACCGTAACTGCAGATCGGTGGCCCGGCATTTCGCAGACTGGATACCTCTTCGCAACGGTACAAGGAACATTCTTATACAAGGAAGATTCCACTGTACAAGGAACATTCCATTCTTATACACGGACAGTTGGTACTGGGTAACCTTGACTTTGAATTCGTAACTTACAGTTAGAGTTAGTCTGATGTTATTTAGAGTTAACTTTGATGTTAGTTAGTTACTTCGAGTCCGACGTCCGTAACTTGGAGTTAATATTGAATATCCTGTATATTTGTTTTCTACGCTTTGTTATCTCAAGAGGCATAATACGTAGAAAAATCAATGGATTGCTTGATTAGAGTGCACGCTTCACCCTGGCAATTACTATACCTTTCAATTACATTCTATTTTTACGCAAGGTGGTGCAAGTGTTTACGACCAAAAACAAGGTTCTAATATTGTGAACAACTGTGATATTGAAAATATGCCGACCAAATAAAGTGCAACTAAACACTGGCAAATGTGTTGACGGATGATTGACGATGAAAAAATCATAACCCGAGCACACCCCGCAGTATAAGCGGAATATGCACGTTATCAAATCCAAAAATACAGAATAATGAAAACAATATATATACTAAAAGTGATACCCAAAGGTTTCCCTAGCGTTATTAGTCAGTCATTTGAGAATAACAAATGCCCGGGACATTACGACAATATCCTCTACTTTTCCTCCTTGATAAACATCCTCGATTCCTGATGGTGTCGTATCCATTTGTTGCTGATTTGCAACACGTGATGATAATCAAAGGCGGGCTGCTATGCCCCACCAAAATTGCGGTGCCCCACTGTTTGTAAGAATAGTGGTTGTTTCAGATGATATTGCTATATAGTTGACTTTGTACGTTTGTAAAGCATAATAATAACATGCTGTACGTTTGTAAAGCATAATAATAACATGCACAAACCTGTCTGGTATGAATTTTAAAAAGTAATGGATTTTAAAATTAATTTTATTAATTAACATAATACTTGAAGCATACAATATGTCACTTAGCGCCTTACAACATCCGTTCTTATTCAAGATTTTTTTCACAAGATCCGATTTTTTTAAACTAGGTTTCAGTATTTTTGGAGTTCGGCGGTAATAATCTTAGCAGTTCACTTCTCAGGTAAATTTTCTGCCCATCAGGTAGTTTATAGAAGCCGACGGATGGAATACATCAAACGTCGGCGGAACTAGCACATTTTGATCTTAGATTCACCAAGATAATTTTACATCGACCATGCTAGACTTTCCAATTGGTACAACAATTTTTGAAAATATTTTTGTACTGTTATAATTTATTGTCTTTATGACACATATCGTGTACTGCTGAAAATGCATCATACTCATGTATACTGCCGGCATACGCGGCTGTTAAAATCTAGGAATGCGAACACATTATTTTTACAGCCAAAACAAAACCATATCTAACGACGATAAATTCCCATGGACGTACATATTTTGGCGTAACGCCAACGCAGTTTTAGTAACTGGATGGGCTTGCAGCGCAAAAGCACGCTTATGACTTGCTAACCAGGCGTGCAGTCGTTTACGACCGTTGTTTAAAAGTGTCATTGAACGCACCTATAAACACTGAACATGCCTGTTTATTTGTACTCGCCCTGTAAACGCCTGGAATTCAGCGAAAACAACGTGTTAGTCTCGAGAAAGAATGTAAGCGGCAGACCACTTTTGTAAGAACTGACCGACATTCCACAAAAGTAAAACACCTTTTACCGCAAATAAACGCCTTTTACTTCCGTTAATAACACCAAACCACCAAATTAACTATCCACAAAGCGTTTTTACAATGTTTTCAAAACAGAAATGTTTCATATAAAAGGAGCAACAAGTTAACCGATGGAACTACAGCACAAACATTTGCAATCAGTTGTTAAAGGTCTTTCGAAATATCGGTAATTCATTTGCAATTTTATCCAGTAATCAGTTTCTGCTTCCCGTCAAACATGCCGAGCGCTAGCCTCCAACTTGCTCTTTTAGCCCTCCTTGGTAAGTGACCTTTTCGCCTACTCAGTAAGCTGTAAAAATGTTTCCAAAGCAGATGTGCTGAGGCGTAGTCTAAATTAGTCTTTCTATGAATAATCGATAAGCCGACCCAGTAATAAGCTCAGCTTTCAGAAACGTGTAAAGGTCAACAGCGTTTTCAATGTAGGCTGGAAGCTCGTTGATAGTACTGCTCCCAACCCGGCGCAAGGTAGCTGCGATTGGCCACTGGATCCATTCTTTGGAACGTATGACATGAACTGGGCGCAGCAAGTGAACATGATGAACTTGACCAATGGAGTTGTGGGTAAGAATGTCTTCTTACAACAAGCAATAAACGCTCCAAATAAATCAGTGGAAAACTATGAAAGAGTCTTTAAAAAGTCAACGTACTTAATGTTAGATCCTGCAAATTGTTTGCAACGGTTTTTTCGTTATCAGGCATTCCTCCTGACGTAGTCCTGGGCGGAGAACGTCAGGTGTTTAATAAAACAGCAGATGGGAGCAAATACCAACAGTTCCTCATTTACTCTGACCCAGTATACAATAAGCAAGTGGCGTTTGTCTGCGGAGTGACGGACACTTTGTCTCTCGGTGGTCCAGCATCCTTGACGTACACCTTCACCATGCTAGATGCCAAAACTTTGCAGGGCAGTTATACCATCAGCGTGGCTGGCGTCGGTACGGTTGCCAGTTTTGTGGTGAAATTCGCCTTCCAAGTTACTGGTGACTGCGGATTTTTTGACGTAAGTGTCTGCAGTTTAAAAATTGACTTAAATTGATTTGATTTGGTTTAATGGAATACTCGAGGTGATATGAATTTGAAACAGCACCCGTAAGGATAATTTTTCTTTTAACTTTGGTTTACTCACCCGGAACTTTTATCGAGAGCAAATAATTAACTGATCTAGAATAATACGTGATTATTAGCAGTAGTATGCTTGAAACAGAATCCGGAAGAAAAAGTTTTTCATTTTAATTTCTCTGTTCAGCTTTTTTGTGCTGAACAGAGGAAAATAAGCAAATACAGAGTCTGTAGTAAGGTGAGCTCTAGATACAATAGTGCGTAAATCAGTCAGTTAATCTAGCGTAGATCTGACCTTCAAATTAATATAAACCATGACCATATGTACAGCGAAGTTCTTGTAATGAACTGTTATAACTGCAGACTGTGACCGTGGCTCCGCCGCAAAACTTTGTGGCAACGGCGCCCTTTGACCGCGTACAAGGTTATCCAAGGACATTTGTGGAGGTCCTCCAGGGAATTCTGACCTGGCCTTTCTTCACTTGGTACTGCGCGTTCAAACCGTAAACAATCGATGGAAAAAGGAGTCTACTTTTGTATACAGATATAATTAATGAAGCCTGCCTGCCATTAATCACCTTTTTCTTCATCAAAAACATCAAAAAATTTTGTAACCTGATTAAACAAACTGCACTGCTATTAGTTGTGTTGTTATTAAATGTACAATTGTTGGTGATTTATAAATTATAAGTAACTGGTTATTGTATAAAAATTGTTGGAACAGCTGATTAAAGTAGACCTGCAAATTTTCCCATCATGGAATTACTGCACACTGAAATTACCGTAAAAAGACGAAAACTTTCGCTTCTCATCCGTTTGTTTGTAATAGCCTCCTCCACGAAAGCCAATCTAGCAACCGTAGTGTCACTATTAACAGCATTAAACTACGGTAAAGGGCGGTAGTACGTACTCGTACACTGTGGCAACCATTAACAAAATGGGCAACCATTAAAAGCCATTTCTGGTCTAAAGTAGAAGGCCCAATAATATCCGGTCAACTAGCGCTGCTAATGGAAAAACATTTCGCCTACATGTTTCTGGACTATTACGTCTAGTCGTCTACTGTTCTCCTTCTGGGGATTCAGCTAATAACATTGTATACCTTTCACCAGACACGTTAGAAAAGCGCCAAATAAACATGTTCGCGCTATACTTGCAATTACCGACCTACAGCTTTATATCGCACTGTTGACTGTTGATGCCCTTGTGATACGAGAGCGTCTGTTTTCCTGCATTGCACACAAGGGATCGTTTCCTTCTAATTAGAGGGCTATACGGGCATTTAAAAGCAAAAAGCAGCAGACCTCTTTAAACGTCGGCAGAACTTGACACTGTATAGGTTGTTTTCGGGGATGGGACTAATCATTTTGCCGCCACCAGGAATAGTAAGATAATCTGAGACGCTAGGATAATGACAGGGCCGCAGGTTCAGTCCAGACGGTCGTTGTCAAAGGCTCGTCATATGTTACCGATGTCAGTCGGAAGTCCGGGTCGTGCTTCTTCGTGTCTGAAAAAGTAAATATTTTTGCTCCCTTCGCAATTTCTATTCTATGTCTGTGTCTGTGGAAGCCCGGAAAATTACGAATCACTTTTGGCTTGTATTAACACCACTAGGCTAGACTTTTACATGTGCGGAGAATATTAACTCGCTGAAATGGCGAATAATAGTTCGTTTCTCCACCCATCGGTAAATGTTTGCGATGCCGGGACTAATGTAATTACTTGGACCACTGTCCCGATAGTGTCAATAACTATCTCAACACTCATGTTCGTCCTGAATGGAGGTGTGCTACTGATTTACGTGACGAATTTCGACATGTGTCGGGGTTTTCACATTTACTCCTTCTCGCTCATTCTGACGAATTTTCTGTTCGCTATTTGCTACGGCCCGTTGGATGTCAATAATAGTCTGTTTAGCAACTGGTGTTGGGGCCGGCATTGGTGCTCATTTTATCTGTATTCATTTTGGACGATTTCAACCGCGCAAGTGTTTTTGCACACCATCATAGCCATTAGTCGGTTTTGCGCGATAATTTTCCCCGGACAGTACCGTCAGCGGCACAATACGCGTATCGCCGTAAGACTGTGCAGTGGATGTTGGGTAGCCGCTAACTGTATGGGTGTGCCACTTGTTGTTGTGGATGAGCTGTTGTACAGACAACCGGAAGCAGAGGCCGGATGTCTGATCAATTTTGCCCTGTCACCGTATCAAAAATCTTCGTTATACTTCTACCAAGCCATATCGTTCATTACGTTGGGTGTTACGCTTGGACAATATCCGTTGGTGGTGTACGTTCGTCGGAAACGTACGCGGGGAATTACGCAAACACAGTCAACGGCACTTGCGCGAACCGTACTTAAAGGTCAATAAATACCCCATACAATTGAAGATAATAATATTAAGGCTTCTGCGTCTCATATCTCGTGGCAACGGCATAACGCGTAAATAATCGATTTCGGTTAAAACAACTTTTCTATTTACCTTGTATTTTGAACGTTTGTGTATATGTACATGTAGAAGTAAGTACTTATTTAATTTCGACAGTTTGGCATTTTAGCTCATTTGCCACCATGTCAAGAATTAGCGGGGCTATAAATTAATGATTCACCGTATTGTCGCGAATGTACGGAATGAATTGTTGTGAATGTAATGCACTGTTATGTATTGAATCCTTATGTTCACCAGTCTTTAAAAGGAAACGTTTTCCAGATTAATCGTAACGAACTGCTGGTGTCTTCGTAGATCACGACTGCTAAACTAATTCTTTACATATACGCTTTTAGGTCAAGAGCAATCTGCCTCGCATTCACTCCCCGGGACCCGAAAAACTCGTACGGCGAAATCAGAAAGCAAGGCATTTCTCCTGCTGACAGTTTTGACCATCACTATTTTCATTTGTTGGACTCCTGTAGCAGTTATGGTTCCTTTCATGGCGACAGAGCAGAATACGATGATCGTTTTCTGGTTTATGATGTTGTACGAAATGCAGCCAGTACTAGATCCAATTATCTTTACCCTCTCACTATCGGAACTCCAAGAGATCGTGCACCGTCGCTGCTGATACAACATACCTGCCGTGTGTTGGTCCATCGCACTGAGAAACAGTTCGACCAGCATATATTCGCTTGTCAGAGTAGCGCATGGTGCAGTGGGAAGCTTGGTTTACAGTTTTCACTATACACTTCAGCGCTTACAGAGATACGTAAATAAATGCCCTTAATTAATCGCTAGCCAGCATAGATGCGGTCGTACTCGTTTCCATCCGGCGCCTTTTGCTAGCAGTTCTCACGAGTTGTATCCGCAATATTAAACTGAATAACTCCTTACTTCTCACAAACCAGTCGCATTTTTAAGAATGATGTGCAGATTTGCTTGCACTGACATTGAGAATTTTGGCAATTTTTTTTGCTGTTTGATATTTTAAAGATCATCCAAAAGCAAAAAAAATATGGACGATCAATACTTGATGGCTTGATGCCATAGGCCGCTGTGCTGCGCTTAAAAAGCAATTGCTTCATGGACAAGCACAGCGCCATCCAAGCACTCAAATATGTGGTATGCGTGTGAAAACACTAAAAGATGTTTCAATAAAGTACTAGTATATTTATCGGTTTACAATGAATAATGGTTAACAGTGCCAATGGTACAATTACGTCCACACGTGTGTACAACAATCTTATGAGTAACACTAGGAAGTAGTACCGGCCGCGATGCTCCAGTTCAGCAGGGGTCTTGCCTTACTACTATGCATGGCGAGTAACATCGGGACACCTACCCGTAGGATTGCCATTCAAGAGACCTTCCAGTCCGTTTTTTTGCGCATTATATCGAGTGTTCTACTTCTGAGATCATACACATACACACCCACACACACGCACATACGTATGCACAAACACACCTCTGTAGATCATAAACAGCGTTTGACCTATACAAAAATCGTTAGAAAACCGTTCAGTAAATACGTTTGTGCCTCGCTTGTAATCACCTGTCCTCCTAGTCCTGATTAAAGAACGATACTTATACCGCTGATACGGATTGTGTTTTAACGGCAAAAACAGCGCTTCTCCTTAATCGAGCTCCATTATCAGATGGCGCTGGCTAAGCGCGCATCGTCCATCGACGGAGGAACAAAACGAACCCGGATGTAGGCTTTAATGCCGAAATCTGAACACACACCGCGCTTGCGCGCAAGCCAAAAACCAACTGGTCTCTGTAGGCAGCGCAGCTGCCTTACAGAGCCATCAAAACGCATGAAAATGCCCAGACAGGAAAAAACCCAAAACCAACCAATGACAGAAGGGCTGAATCATAAGCCCGCCCTGACATCATAAAATGGCCAATCTCACGCTATCTTCTAAAATGAAAAAATGTTTTCTAAAATGAGACTAACAATTTTACCATTTCACCGCCGCCATAAATGGCAAGGCGATCGAAGACGTTGAATTAGTTAAAGCGCCCCAGGCATACTCCAGTCACTTGAAGTTATCTTCGCTTGTCTCAGTCGGGAAGTCCGGGTTGTGCCGCATCGCAACCTTAGAAAAACGTTCTCGATGCATTGGCTTCGTTTGTTCTTAACTGCGCTCGTACTTCTGAAAGCCGAAAAGATTTGCGGAGTACGTTTGACTTCTTTAGGCAGCGCAAGACTGGAAACTTAAAAATGTGCCAAACGAGTCGCTGAAATGTCGAACAACACTTCATTTTGTAATGCATCAGCGAATACTTGCGATGTCGGACAAATGTGCGTGCCTGCTTTGACAATCGTCCCCGTAATGTCACTAACTATGTCAACCCTTATTTTCTCCCTAAATGGAGGCGTGCTGCTGGTTTATGTGTCGAATTTCGACATCTGCCGAGGTTTTCAAGTTTACTGCTTCTCGCTCCTTCTGGCGAATTTTCTGTTCGCAATTTGCGCCAGACCGTTGGATGTCATTAATAGCTTGCTTAGCGCGTGGTGTTGGGGCCGGCAATGGTATTCATTTTATTTTTATTCCTATATTGGACATTTGCATTTGCCGATTTCATTTGCCGATTTCCGATTTCATTTGCACAGGAACTTATGCACACCATCATCGCCATCAGCCGGTTCTGTGCGATAATTTTTCCCAAACAATACCGTCAGCAGCACAAAACCTGTTTCGCCGACATAATGTCGGTGGATGTTGGGGAGCCGCTAACTGCGCGCGTGTGCCCCTTATTGTTGTGGATGAGCTGCTGTACAAACCGGAGGCCGGATGCCTGATAGATTTCTCCCTGTCGTCGTATCAACAATCTTCGTTATACTTCTACCAAGCTACTGTATATCGTTTTTTACGCTTTCTGTCACACTTGGGTAGTATACTTTGTTAGTGTACATTCGTATTTCGCCGGAAACGTGCGCGGGGAATCGCGCGTACACAGCCAGCCGCCCTGCCCCGGACCAACCAGGAGGTTAATACTTTCTAACTGTTGTTAGCGATGGGCAGGTCCTTTCTGTTTGATCTATACGAGTATTTTCTGGTAATGGAATAAAACGTACTTCGACAAATGCCTTATCTGGGTTCCCTATATAGTACAGGCGCATATCGGGGCCAAACTGCAAGTACTAATGTAAATCGCGCACAAGGTCGGTTGGGCGCACTTCCGGCAGTATTGGCAACCACTTTCGTGCGCCGTTGCATTAGTAGTTACTTGCAGTTTTGCAGCTGTTTACTAGAGGGGAGCCCAGGTATGCGCCTGTATTCTAAAGGGAGCCCAAATAAGGCATTTGTCGAAGAACTTGTAAATCTATATATGGAACGTTTCGTACCAAAGAAAAAAACTTTTTTTTTCGTTTTTTTCCTTCTTGTAGTCACTGTAGTCATCCGTAGACAACCTGCAGACTCCCTGTAGACAACCTGTATACATCCTAAGAAAACCTAAGAAACCAGGTGACTACAGTATGTCTACAGTGGTGTCTACGGGCTGTCTACAAGTGACTACCGGTGTATACAGGCAGAGTATCGAGCTGGTGCTAAGAAGGGCTACCTGTACAGTATACAGCGGTAGACATCCTGTAGATGTCCTGTAGACATTCTGTGGACAGTCTGTAGACAACCTGTATACATCCTAAGAAAACCTAAGAAACCTAAGAAACCAGGTGACTACAGTATGTCTACAGGGGTGTTTACGGGCTGTCTACAGTGCGTCTACAGATGTATACAGCAGAACATCAAGCTGAACCTAAGAAAGCCTGCCTGTATACACCGGTAGACATCTGTAGACAACCGGTAGACACCCTGTAGACAACCTGTAAACACCCTGTAAATATCCAAAAAAGCCTAAGAAACCAGGTGACTACAGTGTCTACAGTGGTGTCTACGGGCTGTCTACAGATGACTACCGCTGTATACAGGCAGAGTATCGAATGAACCTAAGAAGGGCTGCCTGTATACAGCGGTAGACATCCGTAGACAACCTGTAGACACCGTTGTAGACACGCGGTATACATCCTAAGAAACCAGGTGACTACCGATAGTTCTACAGGGCGTCTACAGCATGTATACAGATGTCTACTGTGACTACAAGGAGCGAAAAAACGATTCACTTTTTTTCTTTGGTACGAAACGTTCCACAGGTGTAACGTGGAATTAGGCTTCAATTGTTCGGCATTTAGCTCGTTTGCCCGCAATGTCAAAATATGCAACGGGACTATAAGTGATTCCCGGTACTGATTAACACTTGTTAACTGTATTAGTATGCTGAGCAGTTTTTAACAGAAAACGTTTTTTAGAGTGGTCATTAAAAATTGCTAGTACTTTCGTTAATCACAAGCGCCTGACTGCATGCGCTTGCAGTTCTAGGTCAAGAGCAGTTTGCATTGCACTAGTTCCCAGGCACGCGAAAACCTCGTGCAACAAAACGGAAAGCAAGGTGTTTCTGCTGCTGACAATTTTAACGATCACTATTTTTATTTGCTGGACTCCTGTAGTTGTTAACTTTCCTTTCATGGCGAACGAGGAGAACTCCATCACCGTTTTCTGGTTGATGGTGATATACGAAATGCAGCCAGTACTAGATCCTATCATATTTACCTTCTCGGTACCGGAACTCCAAGAGATCGTGTGCCGACGCTGTTGGAAAGTTAATCCTGAAACGACATAGCTGTCCAGTGTTGGTTTATTGCAGTGAAAGGTATTGTGCGATCGAGTATTGCAGTCTAGCGTTGTGACTTTGTGCGCCTGTCACTGTAGCGCACTGTGTAATGGGAATCTTTGTTTTTCAGTTTCAGATTAAGCAGTAGATCGCCATTAGGAATTAGTACTTCCAAATAGCACTTCACTGTCCTTTATTAATTGCTACTATCCTACGATAACCATTAATCTTAATCGCAGGTTTTATGGCAGTTTTCCTGTGCTGATTTACAGTTCCGCTCTTCGTAAGCTTTCCGTGTTTTACCCAATACACGTGCAATTTTATCCAACATATACACTTATACAGCAATTGTTGGAAGTATTATGCAATCGTGAGTTTTGGCGCGAAAAAGTGACCTAAAATTCTTCTCTCTGAACTGTAAAAAGGTCTCAAATTTTTTAGCATATTTTTCCTCGTAAGATACCGACTCAACATCAAGTGTGAAAAATATCAAAATTTTGCCGACTGAAATATAACTTGGTTTCTGTCACAAATTGTTTTCTTTGAATTCTGCATGGAAATGAAAATTTGAAAAATTCTACGGTTATGTGGTGTTGAGTACATATGTAGTGGTACCGTATGTTGGTACAACCAACAACGGTGCGGCCATTGACGAAACTTATAATTTCTTGTAATTATGGCTTTGAATCTCCAGTTGAAATTACACTGGTTCGTCCCAAGTTCTTGTGCAAACAACGCAGAATACTCAAGGCATGTTCATTAATTCGAAGAAGTCATACAAGAGCCGAGCAGAATTTTATTTGCGACCAGAAATCAGTTATAGAAATAAAGCGCTAGCGCGAATAGAAGGCTTATTGACAAGAAAATTAATAGAAGCCAATAAAGTCGTCAAAAATTCGAGATTACTTGAATCACGTATATTACGGTCATAAGCGTACAAAGAGTTTATGTATTGCCGTAAAGTATTAAATATGCGCGCATTTCTTAGTTTGCCGAATAAAACGTCTACCTGCTGCAATCGCCATCTCGTCCGATTTAAACAGCAGAACTGGACTGATAGTCTTATGGACCTTCAGCAGCATGGTAAAACAAAACTTCCCCCAACTGGTCCAGACCAGCTAAGCTATTCACACAGTGTAGACCCACCGGAAACATTAGAGCCAGCGGAATTACAAAACATACTCTGCCAGCTTTGAGCTCTTTGGCTCCGAGAAAATCGCAAATTTTTAAATTATTTCTAGTTATTATTCCGATTACACTGAATTATTTCAAGCAGGCGTACGGGACAACGTAACCCAAGGCTAGTTTATTCAGAATTTCATACAATTGCGGAACGAGGTTTGCGACAAGGTATAAAAATCAAATCAAACCAAGCGCTAACAGGGGTACTACAAGACTAGATGCTAAGAAAATTGACCAAAGGCAGCATGTTAACTAACCGTAAGTATAAAGCGCATACACAGAATAGAAATGGGGGAGTCGATAATTAATCATAACTGGATGGTTCAATAACAAACACTATATCCATAAGCGTACAATATTTATACGCGTAATAGCACTGTAATTCGTAAAACTAAGACATAATTCTTGACTCGCCGGATAAAACCTCTAACTGCTCTCAAAAGCTATCGCCATCTCGTCCCATTGGGCATTCTTACTTGTCAGTCCTGTTTTGCTGCGAAAGTTAACTGAACATGGTAATTGGTTAACCGTTAATTTAAATCCAGTTCGGTAATTGCGGTTCAGCAAAAACAGCAGAATAGGATTGATGCAGGAGTTCAGAAGCATTAAACAGTACAAGATTTCTCGAAATTGGTCCAGGCCAGCAAAACGAATCATACAATGCAGCCACACTGGAAATATTGCGGCCAACGTCATTGCAATATACATTCGGCTGGCTTTGTATTCTTTGGTTTCGAGGAAATTGCGAATCTTCAAATGCACATGAGAAAGTACAACCAGCATCGCAGTAAAATATATCCGGGTAATTTTGAAATCATTGCTTTGAAGAAATTTCCGAATTTTCAAATGCGCTTGGGGAATAGGTTGTTCCAGTGGACGTGGTTCTCGTTGAATGACCGCTCTTGATATGATCAGATGGGAAGCGCGCCGATACATTTGACGTATGAGCCTTCCGTAAAGTCCAAGCACAATAAACAACGCAGAAGTATGCATGAAAGGATTTATAATGTTCTGTTTCAACGCATTTCGATATTCTCGGTGTTTCGGACATATGAGCGGGATCGAGCCCGCGAGCATGTATTGCAATGCACTTGTCCTTCTCACGGTCAGTGCAGATTACCTATGTCAATTTCTTCTTATCGCTAGATCTATAAAGGTCAACCGAAAGCACCAGAAATATATAGGAGCAATGCTTATGGAGAATGAATTACCGTTCTTTGCACAGAATGTTTGTCACCGCATTGCCACCTGTCACCGCATTGCTGATGAATATGTAAACCGAGCCGTTTTCGAAACGACTAACCGAATAAAGCAATCGCAAAGACCAGTTGTGTTGTTTTTACGTACCACAGGCAACTACGCTACGCTGAATAATTGATTACATCAGGAAACAATACTGAACCTTCCAAGCGCTCAAGAATGCAGTAAGCGTTTGCACGTAGGATGATCTCTCGTAAGAAAGGTCTCTGATACCTATGCGGACTTCTAACTGCCAGAATATCCGAAACGCCGAGAATATCACCAGCCAATCATGGTGCCTCAAGTAAAACCCTAAAATAAACTCAAAGGAGCTCATACTGTAATGTACTTACCAAGTCTATATAGGGGCTCCATGATGCGTTGTTTTTATTACATCCAAAAACAATAATAATAAAAGCTGAAATAGTAGGAATCAAAATTATCAAAGAGCATGTAGCCTTTTTGTTGCCGATCCACTGATTATAGAAAGCGGTATTGAATGTCTTTAAATATCGAATAATAGCGATCACGGTTATGTGACCCACAACCACGCTGACGAGAATATCATTCCAAACCGCGGGGAGATATATGAAGGTACATGAAATAACTACGAACAAATCCCAGAGGCAGTTGGAAATTAAAAAAGCACCTATCTGAGTTCGCAAGGGGGAGTGAGGAAGTATTGCACCAAGCCAAGAGACGTCCAGCACAATGACGACGATGGACAAAGCTAAAACCAAATTCGACAAGTGGCTACCATCAGTAACTGGTATTTCTAGAGCACTCGGATAACTCCAGCCTTCGCCTTGCATTTCAACAACGCAGTGATCCATTTCTACAGGCAGTATCTTTGCAACTTGAGACCCGTAGTAAAACTGTGGCGTGACGGAACAACATGCAGTGTAAACCACTGATTAAACATTTAATGCTCTACAAGAACGCGCACCAGGACGAAGAGTTATGAACTTATCTTTGTAGTAACAGTAGATTTTTGAATAACGTTATCTTTTCTATCGCTTTGATCATAAGTGCGTACAAATCCGGTTCAGTAAATTACGAATCGAGAATAAATAGGTTGGTTAACTTTATGGTTGTACAAGTACGCCACGCCATACACACTTGTATAAAGCCTCACACGGCTAGGCACGTTACTAGCTATCAGTAAGATAATAAGGAATTTATTGTCATTGTGCGTCGGGGGCGGCGTCCCAGTTCAGTATTGTACAATGTACAGTTTTATCACCCCTACAGAGAGAGCACAGACCAAATCCATGGAAAATCGTAATAATTACAGTATTTCCGGCTCATGTATGCGTCATGTATGCGATTGTTTGTCTTTAGAATTATCTTGCAGCCAAAATTTCATCGCCAGAACGGTATGACCCAATGGCTATGTATATATTTTCTTCGCTCCGGCCTAATGTGATATACTTGATAACGACAACTGATAATTGTATAAACTATTTTTATTTTCTGACATTGGGAAAGGTTTTTTACGTGTTAATAAAGCAGTACACTGCTGCACAATTGAATTTTGCCTTAAGATTAATCGAGCGTAGATTAGAGCCCTGGTGCTCGTCCCGGTGCCTTTTCGGTTAACTGTTACCGCTTAGCTGTAAATAATGCAAATAAAGCTAGGGTAGTTTGCATCAGAATAAACGCACGTACAAGTATAATTTGCATCGCGCCGTACAACCGGGCAGTGGTCGGATTGAGTATGAAGAAATGGTGGCAAAGTATGAAAACGGGCAGCGGTTTTCATCCTGTCTGAGATCACAGATGAGCAACTGGGCGATTATGCCACTGAGCGATAAATAGTGGACCATGCCGCTGCAATTTTGTTCTGCACGGAGACCGCTCGTTGCCAGATACCCGAATTCTCACTCTGGCCTATGGGGTTTTAGTGTAAACGACACTGCTGGCAGAAGTTTAAAGAACTAAATTTTATTAAAAAAATTGTTGGCAAAACCATCAGACTTCGACGAAGTGATCGTTTGAAGGTATCAAAAAATAGCGGCGTAGCCAGTTGAAATTGCATCCTTTCATGGGTTTATACATATTTACTGATACCCGATTCCTCTCGCAAAATGGCCAGATGAACTTTACGGTTAGCACATTGAAAACCCAACACATTATATCAAATCACTGATTTGATATAATGTGTTGGGTTTTCAGTGTGCTAACCGCAGGTTTGTAGCGCGCCAAATGGGGCGGCTTGTGATCCGTTGGCTGATCGGCAATTTTGACTGTACGGTTCAATCAACCAAGCAGCAACCGCCTCTGCGGCGCGTTACGTATCTGTCGATCTAATATCGTTTGTTGAGTGATCAGTGTGATGAACCGTAAAGTGCAACTGACCAATTTGCGAACGCAATCGAAGTAATCGTGGATCTTTTTGACGAAAGCCATTGGTTACCCTTTAAACGTTCAATCGTCGGGGGCCTACAACATAGAACTTTTGACACCACCTTTCTTAAAGAATTACGTCCGTGGCCCTGCTGCGATTGAGTGACGTGCAACCACATACACAGTTACACACTAGGCACGTTAAAAGACCGCTTTTTAAAAACACAATAATTATCATTTGCCTGATGCTTGCGATAAACTTAGATTAAAGCTGGTGCACACCGCAATGACTTATTATTTGAAATCCGTCTGCCTTCCTGCGTCACAATCACAGGAAACGCCGGACGCTTCATCTAACGGACGATGCCGATAATACTGTACAGGGCCTGCGTGTTAGTGGGAACAGGAATCAAATCCGGCCTAGAGAAAATTTCCCTCTGATATCGACGTCTCCTTAATTAAGTCAATTATTTAGCAGCCGCCAGGCGATCGGCATCAGCAGTCACCCGGCTCAGTCGGAAAAATCCGGGTTACGCTCTATATTATTCCAAAAGACATTTATTATACCTTGGCGGTATATTCTAGTTGACAGGTTTTATAATTTTTTGTAGTCGGTAAATTTGCAAGTACCACAATTATTATCTGAGTAGCGTTGGAATGGCAGGTACCATCTCTCTTATCAAAGCAGCTTAGAACCTTGCCAGCTTGCCCAGGTAATCCGTTGAAATGGTCATCAACATTTCATTTTTCAACGCCTCTGTGAATGTCTGCGATACCGGGGTAAACGTACTCACTTGGACAATCGTACCCGTAGTGTCGGTAACAATCTCAGTCCTTGCGTTCGTTCTGAATGGAGTTGTACTACTGATCTATGCGTCGAATTTTGACATATGCCGGGGCTTTCATATTTACTCGTTCTCGCTTCTGTTGGCGAATTTTCTGTTCGCCGTCTGTTACGGACCGCTGGACGCCCTTAACAGCCTGTTTATCACCTGGTGTTGGGGCCGGCATTGGTGTTCCTTTTATCTGTATTCATACTGGGGGATTTCCGTAGCACAAGTTTTCTTACATACCGCCATCGCCATTAGCCGGTTTTGTGCGATAATCTTTCCTAGGCAATATCGGCAGCGACATAATACGCGCATTGCCGTTACGGTTTGCTGTGGTTGTTGAGTGGCCGCTAATTGTTTGGGTACACCGCTGGTTGTCGTGGATGAGCTGCTATACAGACAACCGGAAACGGAAGCCGGATGCCTGGTTAACTTCGCCCTGTCGCCGTATCAGCAGTCGTCATTGTACGTCTACATGGCCATAATGTTCTCGCTGCTGGCAGTTACACTCGGACAGTATCCGTTAGTGCTGTACATTCGGCGGAAACGCACGCGTGGAATTACGCAAGCGCAGACTAGCGCAACTCCCCGAACCGTTCCAACGGGTAAACTAATCAAACAGTAAAAGTTAAAAGTTTTTGTCCCGTATGATAACATTACGCGCCAACGAAGGATTCCGTTCGAATCCAGTCTGTTATTTGATTTACAAAAGGCAACTATGTTCGCCGCCGTGAAATATTTTAACATAAAATTCAAGTTTTAGAACAACTACTGTAGCTGTAAGGGTTTCTCACCAATGGCCGACTTGACTTGGTGGCCCTTCCTGCATTACTATTAGGTAATTACTATATTCCAACTATCCAGTTTATGTCCGACAATTTCTGATAAAAAACGCAGAGTAATCATTAGTAGATGACTGTGCGGTACTTCTATGAATCGTAAGGCTTTGTGAAAAAGACATGCCTACGGTTTCAGGTGGTCAAGCGCAGTCTTCATCGCACTCATTCCCCGGCGTGCGAAAAACTCGAGCGGTCAAAATGGAAAGCAAATCGTTCCTCCTACTGACAATCCTAACCATCACTATTTTTATTTGTTGGACTCCTCAAGTAGTGATACTTCCCTTTCTAACGACCGACCAAAACCCGATGATTGTTTTCTGGCTGACAATGTTGTATGAAATGCAGCCAGTGCTGGATCCCATCATCTTTACTCTCTCGCTGCCGGAACTACAAGTGATCGTGCATCGACGCTGGTTGGTAAGTTGATATGGCTGGTAAGTTGGTAAGTTGGTAAGTTGGTAAGTTGATATGGACGAGATGGTTAATGTCCACAACGGCTGCGAACTGATCCGTCCGATTTGGCCTCTGTCGGTGGTTGGACAAGGAAGTGTCACGGTTTCTTTTCTTAGGTCCAAGGTAACTACAAAATGTTGAACGTTTTAGCCGATAATCTCGAAAAGGCGAAAGCGCGAGGTCACCGGTCATTCACTGCTTACCAGTTTGAAAGAGACTGGCAGAACCTGTAAAATACCAAACACTGCAACTGTAACCGCTGACCATGTCGACAACACTGATGTAGGCATACCAGCACACTGCGTTTCCTGAGCTGGGTTGAGTCCCAAAGCAGCTTGATAAGTGCTCGAACAATTAATGCGGTCGGTTGGGGCGTCACAGACAAATCCATCATGGATGAACCCACCCAGAGCATCACAGTATGTGCTATCCGAAAAGGTCTCAGTGGTGCCTATAATTACAAAAACGAAGATGCTCTTGTTGCTTGCCGAATGGCCACCCTTTGAAAAATTGTAGTGTTGTACCAAAACCGACCCACCATGGAGAACGGTGAAGTCAATAGCAACTGCATGTTGATGGTCGCATTGGACATAAGGGTCATGGGCCTCCCTCACGTAGCGCAGAAGGATCCGCGGTTGCTGGTTGTACCTTGTTAAGAACTGCGCTACGGACATTCCAGAATATTGCATTGGACCGAGCTGGGCGAACTGCTTCACTAGGGTTTGACTGTTACCATCCGTTTCGTATATCTCCCATTTTTTATGTGCTGAGTAACCCGTGCCAATCTGCCTGCAGTTATTTGTTGATAAAAAATTAATTTGCTCCTGTGAAAATTCGTCCACCTAACCAAGGTATATTCTTAGTAAAATTCTATTTACTGTTATTTAGGTGGCTATTGCATGTAAAAATATTTCCCACCAAAGCATTACGCAGTTATGAAATCCGCACCTGATATTCAAATAAATAGCATAACCGTCGAAAACAGCATCCGGGCAGTCATGTTCCAGCTGCATCGTTCACAATTTTTCCTCGGAAACCCACGGAACTGAAACCGACCAGCTCGTGCTTCCGATTTGGTAGGACAAGGAATTGTGATAACATCATTACAACGATGGTCAAGGTGGACTGTCAAATAGCGCTATATTGATCCCCAGAATACACCCGAGAGACAAGTGATGAAACGTTTCTTACTTATCGGATATCTGTCAATGAAGGGCGAAATTTCGGACAAATAAGCTGCAATAACAGAGTATTACCAAATACGTGGCTTTACGTATGCTCACGCGTGCTGGTTGACTTACAGTCCTGATCACATTGGCGTCCTCTAGCCGGCTAGTCGAACAAAAACGTCGAACGAAACCTCTAGTCGAACAAAAACAATTTTCTGCTAACAAAACATTTAGGAGAGATTAACAGATCTGAGCAGAAATTTAAAAGAAGGTACAGAACTGGCTTCGAGAATTTTAGGATTAACAGCAAGAATTTTATCAAGAAGACGCTTTAGGCGCATTTCCATAGTCCACCCTCCGATAACTTTCTTTGCCCGCGTAACATCGATCCGGGCCGGCTTCCGCAAGTTGTAGCGCGTGGTAATATCTTTTACTTGGATCATGTCCAGGAGGTAGGCCGGAAGCGGGAACTGATCTTTATTCCAGAACTTGAACAACCACACCGCATCGCTCTGATTATTGTCCTTCGCTACGGAGCATTGCCCCCTTTAAGGTAAGACAGAGAAGATGAAAAACACACAAATTTTCATGCAAAGAAAAAGGATATTATATGCAAGATCAAACGGATTTTACAGACATTTGCAGTCTGTACAGTAAGTTTCAGCTGGAATTTAATGAAACAACAACAGCACAAACATGTCAAGCAGCAAACTGCTTCTTAACCCACAGAGGGTGCTTCTTAATCCACGCAAGTTTCATCCAATCCACGTCGTCGAGTGCCTTCTGGAATGCACCGAGGGACTTGTAGGCTTCTGGAGGTAACGGAAGCTCATTCCACAACGTCGCAAGTTGCTCCACGTGCGATCCATGGACAGCAGTCACGGTAGTGCCGCATACCGATGTTGGAGCCGGCATTATTGGGTGAGGATGGAGAGTCATATAAACTAGGGTTGAAATTCATGAGGTTCAAACCCCGTTTTGAAAGGAAATGAAATGAAACGTGAAATGAAAAGAAATGAAATGAAACGTGAAATAAAATTATTTAAAAAATTGATTATTTTAGTAATATTAATTATCACACTTTAATAACTTTTTATGCTGTATCAAATACTTGTTTCCAAAATATCATTAGCAAATCAAGATATAGTTATCGCCACTCCCAAAAAACGGTCCGAGATTACAAAATGTCTATACTTTATGCTCAACCGCAAAACCGGTATAGTAAGAGTTTAAACCTGTCGATTTTGGTTTTATCGTATCTCTAGAGATTCTGCACTGATTGTGTTAAACATACCGTTCCAAAAAGATTTATTTTTGTATTTGCCATAAGTTCATAAAATTTGGGGTACCTGGTTGTTATAAGCAGGAAGCGAAGTCAGATTATTTTACTAAGTACTAGTGGCGTTTGCTACTTGCCATCTGCGGATGTCCAGCGATCGCATTAGAAACAGTTAAACTGTAAACATACTTGCTAATACCGGTGGATAAACGCCAAGACTTCACTTTATTCAAGAACACAACAAGAACACAACTTGGGGTATCAAAAGGGCACAGTAGTGCCGACAAACAATACGGTGCGAAGCGCCCTAACGACGCCACATGGGGGAAAAAAAAATTTTTCCGTAGCAAGCGGCTGGATCGCGCCAGTAATGAGCCGGCTCGGCGAAGGTGACCGGCTTATATATGCGCGCTTCAAGCGGATGTGCAGATAGGCAAAGGGGCTGGGGTAGGCTTCGCCATGCAGTGGCAGAGAGGCTACGCGTTCAGTGGGCGTTTATCAACAAATTTCACCAATAGTGAAATCTAACCCATAAACGCCAAGACTTCACTTTATTCAAGAACACAACAAGAACACAACTTGGGGTATCAAAGGGCACAGTAGTGCCGACAAACAATACGGTGCGAAGCGCCCTAACGACATAAAATCCCTCCAAGTTGGACGCGACAGTTTTGGCGAAACGGGAGCGGAGGTTAGGAGCGCGGTTAGCGTAACGCTCGAAGCAGTGGCTGGCCCAAGTTCCTTGGGCCTTTAATTCGTCAGTCGTTGCTCCCATGGCAGCGGCAAAGGTGGTGCCGCCCCTGCGGAAGCTGTGTAGGGAATAACCTTCGGAGTTGTAGCCGGCGGCTTTAAGCGTTCGTTTAAGGAAGTACTGAAACTTCCCTGCTGTTAGCGGCTTAACTTTTCCTCTTGCACTGACATGAGAAAAGGGGGAGGCGTGTGGATATGGGTTCAGCTTGTGCAAAGCTGCCCGGACCGCTTGAACGGGGCACAGCGGTGAATCTTTAACCGTAGGGATCGGCAGTGTAACCGAACCGTCAGCGAAGACGCTTGTTTTGATGGCGGGGACGGTTATGTCAAGGCCGCTAGGCGTAAAACGTATACCGCTAACTCGCAAGAATTTAGAATTCTTGTGGAAAGGCAACAGGTTGCTTTTCGAAGCAACGAAAAGAAGGCGACCAGGGCGGCTGCCCAGAAGGGCTTGCGGAAGCACTTTGGAATGGTGGTTAGGCGACCTTGAATTTTACACAAAATCTCAGGCGTGATTGGAAGTCGGGCGTTGGGGGTTTGTGCTTTCGTACGTTTGATAGCGCGCAACGTCAGCTGTATGCGGAAGTGGGAAAGGTCGGGGGCCTCAAGTCCTTCGCGATGGTGCAATGAGACAACGCTGGCAAGGTAATTGCGCACAGAGGAATACTGCATTTTCGGCGAAAGATAGGCAATAAAGCGGCAGAGCGTCTCAATGTTTGCGGGGCATGGGCGCGTTGAAATGCTTTTGCAGAAGTGCCGGTAAATCTTCCACTGGCTCTTTCTGGTGCGCAGCGAGGACGGTGCAAGTGAGGTTTTCCACAATTTCCGCAGCCGTTTGTCCAGTTCCTGCGTTCGGATACCTGTAAATAAAATCTCCAGGTAATTCAGCAAGGGCAGTGCGGCGTCCGGCCATAGCTAAGTCTAGTAAGCGCGGGTCAATGGTTGCGCGGCTTAAGGCGTCAGCTGCAATATTCTCCTTCCCAGGAAGATAGGAGGCTGATATGCGAAAATTGTAAGCGACTGAAGCATAAAATACGAGTTTCAGCCAACATAAGGCTGCTTTGCACTTCGTCGTAGCTCGATTTATAAAGGAAACTGTTTGCGTGTTGTCGGATTCAATAACAACTCGGAAGCCCGCCAGATGCGGCGCCCATACAAGCAGTGGCAAGCAGGCGGCAATTAGTTCGAGGAAATTGATGTTTCCTCTCAAGGCGTCCTCTAGTAACGGCGAGGTTAACCAGATAGAGGAGACAATCGCTGGCGGCAATACGTTAGCCCAAGATCCGGCAATTGCACGGCGGCCCATTGTTGCACCAAAGCCGGCGAGACAAGCGTCTGTTTGGATGAACACCGATTTCCTGGGCGGGAAATCAGTGACGGGCAAAGACCGTTTAAAGCAGGGAGACATCGTGCCACCACTGCAGTTCTAACTTTAGACTCGACGTCAGGCGTGTGCGGTGGTTAGGGCGAGACAATGGTTTAAGGGCGTCTATGAATATCCTCGCGAAAGGACGAGCACCGTAAATGGCTTTGGCGGCAAAGTTAAGGCGTCCAACCAGCTGCTGTAGTTCCTTCTTTGTGGCTTTATTGCGGCTAAGCAAAACACCAGTTTCCGTGCGGAGGTTCTGGAGTTTCTCTGGCGGTAGCTCAATGGTCAACGACACGGAGTCGAGGGTGACGCCCAAGAATCGGATGCGAGTTGTTGCGGAAATAACTTTTTCCCAGTTTATGGCAAAGCCCAGGTCTGTTAGAGTAGTTATTAAGCAACTCAAGGCGGCGGTGCATAGGTCAGCTGTCTCTCCTATAACGAGGAAGTCGTCCAGGTAGCACACAATCTTGTAACCTTTCAGGCGAATAAAGCGCGCAACTGCTGAAGATAAGCGGAAGAAAATGAACGGAGCTATCGAGAGTCCAAAGCACAGGAAGTTGTCGATAAAGTAAGTTTCGGGTTGTTCGTCGAAACTCCAAGCAAAGCCCTGCAGCTGGCGATGCGGTGGGAAGACTGGCACATGGCGGTAAGCAGACTTGATATCGACCAGGGCGTAATGGCAGGCGTAGCTGCTTAGCGCAAGGGCGTCGTCAATAGATTGTAGGGAAAATTTTCCGGGAAAAATATACGAATTCAAACTGTCCGAGAATGGGCGGCTACAGTCTGTGATAGGGCGGAACTTCTCAGAATCGGCTTTTTGGACTGCACCAATTGCATGCACGCGCTTAGGCTTACTATGGGAGTAGGAAATTTTCCCCTCGGCGATCTCACCGCGGAACAGTGTGTCCAGAAATGGTTTAGCTTGTGCCGTAAGTGCGCTGGAGTAGTTGTGGCATTCTGCTGAAGCTATTTGTTCGGCATTTTCTACCAGTTTAAAACCGAAGGCAAGACCATGTAAAATGAAATCTCTATCCTGATCAAAACGCAAAGCCGTATTCCAGTTATTAATTTTTCTTGTTAAAGAACAACGATGGTAAAGGTCGGCATCAACTCGAAAGTTCCCCACATGCAACATTTTCATAATAACCACTGCTAAACATGCGATTTCAAAACGTACATTCTCCTTGCTGTTATACGCGATTTCAAAGGGAAACAGGTCAGTTAACCAAAAACACGTACAGCGACATGGGCATATAAAGAGCGAATTCGACGAAAGTATGCCACATAACAATAGTGATTATCATGCTGGTTACTGTTAGAGGGAAAAATAACCGACCGTTGCGGATGCAGGTTGCTTTTCGGAATGGACAATGGGCAGGCAGACTAAGTGGGTCAAGCGGTTCCGTTATTGCGACGCAATTGGGGGCAGTTAATGCGGCCATGTCCTGTTTGGTTGCACTTGTAGCAAATATGGCGGTAGTTGCACCCGGCACACGATCCATTATTAAAACGGCCACAAATTGGGGCGGATTGCCGGCATTACGCGTGCTTCCGCTGGAAGTTGCGGCGGCGAAGGCGGTAGGCTTCCTGCGGCGATTACCATGGCGTTCTGGCAGGCGGTCTGAGAATTAAAGTGGCTTGAGGCAATATTTTCACGCTCGATGGCATTATCCAGGTTCCACTTGTGGTCCTTAGCACGAATGCGGAAGTCGTGATCGAAAGCCAGAATAGCACGGGCATAGTAGTGGCGGCGTTTTGGGCTAAGTACTCAGGTAGCTGCAGTACTCTAAGGCGACTTTGGCATGCTTCGGGCTGGAGGACTGCAGCAGGGTCTTCAGCGTCTCCATGCTTCCGGCCCAGAACTCGTCTAAATTGATATCAAATGCGCCGATTTTGCTTTTGGACTTGCCGTTGGCTCCAAGGCGGGCTTGAGCAAAAACATGCGTATGTGGGCGGCGCAGGCGGCGGGCTTCCGACTTCAAGATTTTATCGGACTTACCACTGGAGGCGCTAGAGGTGCTAGACGCGGAGCTGGACGAGGAGGAAGACGAACTACGGGAGGATTCCGAGGCGCTGGAGCGCGAAGCTGAGCGGGAGCGGCGTGGCTTCTTTGCTTTGACCTCCTTTGCGCCAGAATCCAGCAGCACGTTGCGCTTATGGCCGGCATGGCTGGTGACCTTTAGCGTTGTTGTGGGAGAGCCTTGCTGGGACGCTTGGAACTGTTTAATGCGGGAACGGTCGCCGATCTTCTGCACGATTTGCTCCACTTCGGCGTGGGTGAGGAGGACCAGGTGGTGGCTTTCCGTGATATTCTCCTCCTCCAAGGCCTCAATAGTTTCTTTGCTCAGGCCAAGGCCAGACAGCGTTGGTAGAGCTGGCTGCGGTTGGGGCTCCGGCAGAGCGGGCGGAGGCGGAGTGGGCTGATGAGAATCCAGCCTGAAGTGGGCTATCAAGCGGTCGGCAAGGGTGCTGTTCCTGCCTGTAACGGAAAGTTTAGCGGCCTGGCATTCGCTTTTCAAAGCCGATTTGGTCATGGCTCTAATTTCGGCAGCCGTAAGTACCATGGTGCAGGGTGTGTCAGGCAGTTATGTTAAAGGGCAACTTTAAAAGAGTAAAACGAAAATGTTTCCGTAGCAAGCGGCTGGATCGCGCCAGTAATGAGCCGGCTCGGCGAAGGTGACCGGCTTATATATGCGCGCTTCCAAGCGGATGTGCAGATAGGCAAAGGGGCTGGGGGTAGGCTTCGCCATGCAGTGGCAGAGAGGCTACGCGTTCAGTGGGCGTTTATCAACAAATTTCACCAATAGTGAAATCTAACCCATAAATCGCGTTTTCACGAAAAGCAGTCAAACCTGGGCCAGGTTTTTTAACTTTTTACACACAATTTTATGAAACACGTTAATTTCATGCGGTATCATCGTATTTCAAGTGATTTCACAATTTCACGATTTCTTTCATTACACGTTTCATTTCATTTCCTTTTCACATTTCACGGGAGGGTCCGCATGATTATGAAATGGTTTGAAATGAAACATGAAATATGAAATGCATGAAATCATGATTTCAACCCTAATATAAACGCAGTGGCGAGTGCTATCTGCAACAGAATGAAGCGCAGCAGCCGAACCGATAAACTTTACAAAACAAAAGTTACCAAGCGGGACTTTACAAAACCATAATTTATACACAAAAACCAGCGCTTTTTTTACACGGCGTAACTTGAGGCCATCCCACTTTGGTTCCTTTAAGCGTTTTTCGTAATCCGACAAATCACTTCCGAGACGAATGTTTTTTAGAAAGCGAACTTGGCATTTTTCAATGATATCACTAGACATTATCTGTACTGGATGGACACAGGAAGCGCAATAATCGATTACCGGTAAAACTAAGGATTCAAACAGTCGGACTTTAGCGCCAAAATGAAAAAACTTAAATAATCGATTAATGTACATAATTCTTCGGTTGCATTTGGAGAACAGTTTTTCGCAGTTTTCTTTCCAGCTTAGTTTACGATCAACCTGAACACCTAAATATTTGACAACATCACTTTTCTGAACAATACTGCCATTTATGTAGTAATTGTAACAGCTCATAATTTCGCGCCTTAAGGAAAAACAAACATGCACTGATTTTTCTGCGTTCAAGGACAGACAGTTTCCTTCTAACTAGTCATTAACACAGGCGATATCCTCTTGCAGTAATTTGCAGTCGTTGTTATTAATTACTGGGCGCAAAATTACCATATCATCAGCAAACACAAAAACACACATTTAACGCAGCTTCAAAAATCATTTTTAATGGCAGAGTTATTGACATACCAGCAGTTTTTAACAACTGATTGGTGATAACAAACTTTCCGCATGACGTTTTTGTAGATAATTTTACTAACTGTTCCAGTACGAGTGACTCTGTTATTTCCCAAACACTTTTATTTCGACAAATTAAGTCCGATCCAGAATTAATAAAATGCGATCCACACGTGGACTGTGATTCACGATACTGTATGTTTAGAGCATTCGCCTTTTCGGTGTCAGAGACCGCGGTGCGGCCATTAAGTAGATTTAGCGGCGGCATGCCACTGCGGTCGGAAGTAGATTTTACATAACGCCAAAATTTTGTTGGATTATTTCGGTGCGATAACGCAACATCCGTTATTTTTGAGCATTCATATTTTTTTACTAAACGATCGCATTGCTTGGACAGAGATTTCCCTTTTATTTTAAGAGAATCTTTTAGTGGCAGCTCTGCTTGACGGTAAATTCTGAACGCTCGATCACGAATTTTAACTAACTTTTTGATATTTGACGGATACGTGACCTTTCCAGTTCGAATAACAACGTTACGGTATTCGAAGCAAAGACTGGCTGCTTGAATGAAAACTTGTTCAAAAGCTGCTGCCCGACTGTTACTGTCACGATTGCAAAATAAAGAAGCCCAATCTGTGCTATTCAAAACATTCCAAAAATTACCAATATTATTTTTATCGATTTTCCACTTTTTATCGTTTTATTTTTCATTCCGAATTTTTTGGTAATTAGCGTAAACTGAAAACCCACGTGGTCATTTGTGCAGGAGGGCGGAGATATTGCTTCAACTGGTTCAAATAAACTTTTTCTATCAAGCAAACAAAGGTCAAGGCAGTTGCTCATTCTGGTAGGAAAATCTATAATCTGCACAAAACCAAACTTATTTACGGCGCGTATCAGGTCACGACTTACGCTAGTGGATCCTGTTCCGCGTTGTCGCGAAAATTGAAATCACCCATCAGCACAGTCTTTGAAAGCATATTCGGAGAAAGCTTATTGCGCAGATGCTCAGTGAGCATAGGAACAGCTTTTTGGCATTCGTCAGGTGGAGCGTAGAGAACAATGAATAACCGGTTCAAAATTTTCGATTCAACAAACAGAGCTTCGACAAAAGGAATTTCTAGATCATGTCGTCGATATCCTTTATAACTTTTACGAATGACAAGTGCTACACCACCACCGAACTTGCCAATTCTCGGTTTACGAAAAACATTAAACGATCGTAGATCAGCGAAAAGACAACCTTCGTCGGGCTCTTCACACTGTTCGAAAGTTTCGGCTATGTCAGTAATATCAGCCGCAGAACAGAAAAGTTTTACCTGGTCAATTTTACAATTTACACTGTTAGCATTACAATAACGAATTTTTACTTTGTGAAATTTTTTGTTATTCGTAAATTTATTTAAATTTGTCATGATTTTTGTAACAGCTGGTAAGTTAGCAAAAACCTCGTTCGTTGTCGGCTTTGAAATTATCGAGGGTTCTGCTCGTTTTTTCGCTCACTGTTAAAGAAAAACTTAGACCTTTTCATATTTTGAAAAACTTCGCAATAATCATGATTAAAGGCCGAATGAGAATTTGTTTGAGAAAGCTTACCGGCGCCTTTACAGTTCTCACATATGCAATGATAGTCTACGCTTTCTGGGCACGTATCTGTTAGATGATTTTTCGTACAGTAACCACACACAGAATCATTGTTACAATTTGCTGCAGTGTGGTAGTATTGGCAACATTTAGCGCACTGAGATGCATGGAAGTTGTCGCTAACAGGACATGAATACCAGCCAAAAAGTACGCACTTTTTAGCCATTAGCACATCTCGCACTGCTGAATCTGCTTCAATGACAATTGCACAGGTTAAACGACCCTCACGATTACTTTTCAATCTTTTCACTATTTTCACGCTGCTTTCATTAAACTGATTTTTTTAGCACAATTCATTCAGAAATTTATCGTCAGAAACTTTAATAGTGTCAGAGCGGCATCCGCTCTCTATAGAATCGTTCGATAGAATATTTCATTAGAATTGTATGCTTTGCCGATAGCCTAGTGGTGCCTCTCTCGGCCTTAGAGTATGGAGGTTGTGGGTTCGATTCCCTCAATCGGCAGATTTTTGCGAAAATACCCAATGCTTTAGACTGTTTAACCAGAAGCGCTTCACCTTTCGCTACGTCATCAGAGCTTTTGAATTCGATTACAATGGACTTACCGGATGCGGGTCGAGTTCCGGTTATGTTGGCATTTTCTGCTCCATTAGGAATGGCGGTTGTAAGGGCCTTGCTGAAATCGGTAATTTCTTTAGTGGTTGTGCGAGAGAAGTCGGTATTGGGGTGACCTTTCGGCCTAATAATGAGGACACTTTTCCGGTGGGATGGCGCCGAGAAGGACGAAGTTGCCTTTGCGTAGGTTCGTTGCGGCATGGAGACGTCGTCAGCTTTCGCTTGTTCATAGAGGCTGGCTAATCTGTCCAAAGATTCGTTATTGGATATCTTTAATTTCGCCATATTACGATCAAGTTCTTCGACATTGGTTTGGTGTACGGTATCCATCTGCTCCACAAGGGAACGCAAAGTTTCTTTTGCACTCTGCAGGTCCGCATCTGTTCTCTCACGTATTTCCCGCTCAACTTTCAAACTTTCCTTGAGTTTGACATTTTCAGTTTCGAGAATAGTCACTCGTCCGGCGAGAGATGACAGCTCCTTGCATGATTCCCGAATAATAGGAAGCAAGAGGTCAAACACGTCTCGGTTGTTCGGTGAGGGTTTGTAGGTCGACGAGTTAACATAGCCATCCATCTTGGCGACCAAATCAGTTAACGTGGAGGTCATTGTGGCCGGCGCAATACGGGCCGGTTTTGCACTGGAGTAACAAGGCATGATAACAATTAATAAGTTGGAGCGGATAAAAACTGCAGTTAAAAGAACTTTTGAACAACAATTAATCAATAACGACGTAATCGATTATCACGGCGGTATCATGCGGCGACGGCTCCTCTGGTGTAAATGCCGGTGCATACTCAATGTAGATATTTGGTGTCTGGGAAGCAGTTGCAAACGGAGTCCGGTACTGTGTCACCGAGGGCGGACTGGCTGGTGGCGCTACCGAGCTTAGCAGAGTCAGACCAGCGTACCCGTCAAAGATGACCGCAGATGTATTGCATCCAATTCATACTTGGACGCATTCCTAAAATACGGACAAATTAAATCAGAGTACGTTTGGAGCTGCTGTAACTGCATCTCCACAATCGTGACGCTTGTTTTACGTTTCGAACAATTGGTCGGCGGCTTCTCCTGTGGCGTGTTACTGTTACGCTTCTGATCGCAATTCTAATTACTTTTACAATGAAAGTCATCTTAAATTTAGCCACACTCGGTGTAGCTAAATGGATAAGCCTTCGGGTTTTGAAAGATAGCCTACATCGAGCGCGGTTTGGACTTAGATGGGTGACCACTGAGTTCATGCTGCGAGTGCACGGCCCGTCAGGCCTGTGTGCGAAGTGGTTAGTCAGCACCAGCGCTGACCGTACGGAGTGGCGTGTACGTTTCTTCGATGCCTGTGGTTAATACGGATTCTACTTGGATCAACTCACCACTTCGAATCGGAATTGTACGCCAACGGTGTGCTGGACCCGGTGGACGTACGAAGGCCCTCTGACTGAACTTTGATACGGATGCGATTTGGAGGATACTGATCTTGTTGTTCCGTGGCTTTGTGCCTTGTGCATGGCGCTTTATGCCCGTTTAAGCTACGGCAATTCTGTGACGTGTTACATCTGTAGTGTACGTATTACTGTTCTTTAACGGAGTGTGGTGACTTGACTAGCCATAGCATATTTGATGTTCTTCGTGAATAAGGATATGTGATAATGCCGAAATGTACCCGGCTTGGCTACTCAATAAACAATCAATCAATCAATCAAATGCAGAACTGAGAGAACAAAGTTACGGCTTCCGTGATCCTTGTTATTGGTTTGCCAACTTTATAAAAGGTAAAGTAAAAGTGACCAATAGTTCAAAAATTCTGACGCATACGTTTTTTATTTGTATTCCGTTTGTTGTTTAAACCAACTCCTAGTTTGAGAAAATTACCTGAAATTTAAATAAAACCCGTAACCAGGGTTGTTATTGCTGTTGGCACACGAACCGCAAGATTCTTCTAGTTGCAACTGCACGCTACATGTCGCGTTCGGTCGTGATATGAACCTCAACGTGCCGCCTTCACCGGCAAAGTATGGGCAGGGCACGGTGATGGTCCCGCCGCAATATTCACCGAGGTTGTCTGCAAAAGTGTTTACCTGGTAATCCAAAACTAAGCATTTTGCAAGAACAAGGTTTTAGCACTCACAAGTAGGATAGACAGTTCCGGCAGAAAATGCAAAATCAAACTGAACAACAAGTACAGCTACTGCGGTAATCAACTTGATCATTTTCCTCCCGCGAAGTGGGTGCCCTGACCACCGTAAAAAGCCAAACTTCCGTCCAGTTGCAGAGAAATTAAGCTTTAATAGAGGCTTGTCGGCTGCTGTTTATCTGTCGTTAGGAATAGTTGTTATCAGAACTAACGGAAGTGAACAATAAGACTTTTATCGACTTCGCTTCATGAGCACAAAGGTTCCTCATAATTATCAGTTTTCTGTAATTGCTCGCCAATTGTTACACAACACTGGTCAATTGTGAACGCAAATACAAGCATTCGCCGACTGGATGGCCTCGACGTCATCGAAAACTTTTGCGGGCTGAATGACTCAGGATTTATGGAAGAAGCCGGTTGAAGTCCACACCTTCGTTTGATTAAGTTCATCTCTTTACAGGACTCAAAATTAGTTTGGCGGAATTAAACACAGAGTACATTAAACACCTGGAGGAAAGCTGCGGTCTTACGAAGGATAATACATATAAAAGACAGGCAGTAGGATATACCTGTTTTTCATACTGTGTTTAAGGTAATTTCAGTTTCAGTTTTCGACAGCGAACTGCTAACGACACCGGTACACTTTTCTGCAATCTTAGTCAAGCTACATATACAAGGCACATCAAATCAAAGTCATATCAAGGTATGTAAAAGCACATCATTATTCTAAAATAACGCATTGTCATGGCTTGAAACCAGTTCATTACTAAAACCATCAACAAACCGATTTGCAAATAAATATGAAAAGACATTTTTACACTCTGATTTATTTACTTTGGCGCTTCAGCCGGTAGTTATAGCAAATTTCCAATGGTCCTTTTTGAAGCACTGTTTTGGCCCTTTTATTTGGCTGCAAGAAAAAATCATTCGTTTAAGTGTTATAGCGTTTATCTGGAAATATTTGAAAACACATCGGCTGTTTCTTCAGTTTAGGTTATTGCACAAAAAAAGAAAAAGACAAAGAAACCACGTTTGCCAACATGGCTTAATTCCTTTAAAAGTAAATTCAACGTAAATTTTTAAGTCTCGCAATTTTTTCGCCATCTGCGACTGATCACGCGTTAAAATTTTACACTGGCTGTAAGCGACTTACTGCAGAAGCGCGCGTTTGCAGGATTCATTCCCTCTGTCGGAATATAAGAATATGGGCAGTTGATGCGGTCTTCGTTACCGTTTGAATCACAGAGCAAGTTTAGCGTAAGGGCCCCTTCCAGAGTTGGACAATACCCAGAATATCCGGTACGGTTTCGCTCTGTGTGCCAAATTGAATGAGTTAAATCTCCAAAGGGATACCGACTCTGGAGTCTGTACAATATAGCCACGCACTACACATGGGCGCCCTTAGCAATTTCTGATGCGGATTATATTGATGTGTTCTTTGATAAGCAGTTCAGTACAGTAACTGCTTTGTTAGACTTTAGCGCAACGAGAAATTACTGATAACTCGTATTCTGTTACTTCGATGAGTTCGACACTATTGTATACGTACAACATGCATAACAGTTGTTAACTTCACTTACTGGAGTAAACGGCATAATCAAGATAAATATCTCCGAGTGGCTCGAAAGCCAGTACCACGGATGGTTGTTTTTCATACGGCGATAAATACTGCGCGATCGATAAGTCCGAGGAAGAAGATTGTGCTATCTGTTTTTCCCGTCGCAGGTCAGGTTCTCCCGGATATTGCTTAAGGATCGACACCGATCTGCCTCGTCTATGAATGTGATCGTTGAAAACTACTGACAGCGATATTTAATGCGTTCCGTATGTGATTACTTGATGTTGAAATAAAAAGCGAATGTGTCGTTATTATCAGTGCCACAGTTGCTTGGCAGACTGATGTTCACGCTAAAGGCGACATTGCGCCGCGTAACGGTTAGGTTCCCCACGCGTCCACGCTGGTAATACAACGCATCGGGACACGGAATAGTCAATGTATTTTGCTTCCAATTCAATGCCACTAGGAATAACCAACTTGAGCAAGAAAATTAAAGAAGCTGAATAATGTTTGTTCTTACGCCTTTGATACGTCACTCTTGAATCTACAAATATTCGAAGATAAGTTGTGATCTTAAAAGTAGAAACAATTTTGGATTACCGTCTTTAACGCACTGACTGTCCTCCGCTGGATTCAGTCCGAGGGAATCTTCGTAGTTTCTAGGGCAGTAAATACGGGTAGTTTGTTGCTCGCATAGCAAACTATTGTGGATAAAACCACGGAGAGCGCCACAGTAGGTACTTTGGGATCCTGGTTGGTCCGTTCCTGTTTACAAGAAAATAACTTCTAACGGTGAGTTTAGAAAAAAAATGGTTTTCGTAAGCATTCAAAATCTGTATGCCCCGTTTGACTAAAGTCACTAAACAGTCTAAACTATATGTGCAAACTATTAGAACTAAAACTCATAAAACAGTAGTTGAAAACGTACCAAGCAAAACAGTAAAATCGATCAGAATATCGCGCTTGGAATCACATTCTGTATCATCGCTTTTTCTGCGGTACAGTAGATGGATGCGAGGTTGCCGGTCGTAGCTCGTGATGTACTGTGAGACCGAAGGGACGAATGATGTGACATTTTGCTGTTTTAGTGTTTTACCCAGAGTGCGATTGTTGCCGAATCCTTCGTAAATTTCGAGCGCATGAGACCGGGAACCGTTTCCCCCGGTGACAATTTGTCTGGAACAAAAGCTTAACAATCAGTCAAGAAATTAGCTGATATATGACAAAATCATCCATCTTAAATGCATTTTACCGGATATTTAGATAGATCGCAAAACTGTGGAACATCGAGTTCGTGCAGTTATCCTGTAACTGCACCGTGACCTCGCAACTTTTCCTCGGAGTACCGCGGAATGCAAGCGATCCGGAAACAGGTTTGGCTTCGGTTGGACAAGGAAAGGTAATGACGTCATTGCAACGTTGTTCTACGTTTACTAAAACGATAAAAAAAGGTGTCAGGGAAAAGAGGGACAACTCTGTCTAGTGCTACAGCTCAACTTGTGGGATTGGTTGTGCTGAAAGGAGATGGCGGTGCCGGCAACGATGCTACAAAACACTCAGATATCCAAAGGAACAAAATTATCCAAAGGAACAGACAATTCTTACTGCATTGCAAACTTCTGTTCTGAGCCGGCTTGTATGTGTAACTGTTAGCGTCAAATTCGTAGCTTCTAGGGCAGTTAATGCGATTGTCAGTAGAGTCACAAATCAGTCGCCGGCTAACATAAACCTGAAGTGCGCTGCATAATACGGCTGTCTGATATTGTCCCGCCAAGCCTGTAATCAGTAAGTTGCTTTCTTTGGTCTGTAATCAGTAATTATTGAACCATTGTTGCCTAATGTACTTTCGGTAACAACGTAATCAATGGTAATGTTGGTATCAATGCTGTCGTCGACTTCCGACAACGTAAATGCCGGCATGTATTCGATGAATATTGATGGCGCCTGTCCAACATTCGCTAGGGGTGTTTTATACTGCGTCACGGATGGCGGGTTGGCTGTGGAGCTTAGAGACTTGGAAGGAAGCAGCGTCATTACCGGTTTGCCGGATGCAACACTTCGCAAATGAATCGCGTCCATTTGGTACTTCGTTGCGTTTCTGTGAAGGAGCAACCGGTACACTGGTAATAATTTTAAAAAAACAGGTACCTATTTTACCGCCGCCTACAAAAACGTGCCCAAGCAAATTACTGTCACGTGGTAAGTTTTTTATTATAATCACATATAATTGTAATTAGATAGTACAGATACAATAAGTGTAAGTAATTGGCAGCAGATTAAGTATTTACGATGAAGAAAATACAACGTATAACAGGCTAGCAGGTACTACGTACAGCTGAAAACTCGATATGAAACGGCATCGACTCACCTGAAATTCAGGTAAAATCCATATTTCGGCAAGATATTTGAATAGGGGTCATTAGCACATGGAATGCAAGGATCCGTTAGTCTCAGTTCTACTCTGCATGGTTTCCGTGGTCGCGAAATAAATTTCAGTGTTCCACCTTCTCCGGTTGCATATGGGCACGGCACAGTAATGGTTCGGCCGCAGAATTCCGCAAGGTCATCTGAAAGTCGTTAACACTGTAGTACGCTGTGTATGACAATAATCCTGATCTATCTTAAAAGAATATCACTCACAATGTGGATAATTTATGGCTGTGGAAAATCCCTTAGAAGTCTGACTTAGTAGAATAAGTAGTGTGCTCGCTATTTTAATCATTTTGTGTGTCCGAGTGGTGGTGGCAATGGCGCTTGTGTATCGGAACATGGAAAATACTGAATTACAGGTAGCCTAGTTTAACCAGTAAAGCCACCGCGTGTACGCTTTCGCATATTGCAGAACCGCACTTTATAACCGATTTTATATACCGGTACTGTAACTCTTCATAGCGTTGACTCGTGTCTCAGTAAGTGTTAGTGCAATAACTTCGCGCGATAACTTTAGGCGGGTTGTGATTTAAAAGCGAAACTGAATTTGTTATGGTTGCTTAACTACACGAGGTGCCTGTATGAAGTGGCCCCGTCTACATACGCGTTTGTAAAGCCACTTCGAGAGGTGGATTTCCTGCACCGCAAGTATCTTCGGTTCGAAGTTGAGACTTAACCTGATCGCTTTCACATAAGGTATCGAGGTTACAAAGGAACAGCGTACTTGTTAACAAAACGGAGCTCTTGTTATCGGCTGCGTCTTATCTTTGCAAAAATGGAGTAGGACGCCATTCATTAGAGATTATTAGAGCCTTTGTCCCATTGAGGAACAATTCTACTGTGGGACCAGAGTGCTTAAATAGCTACTGTAGTACGTAACTCAAATCAGTCCGCGTAAAATATAAAACCTCCTACCTGATGAAATGGAGAAAACCGGTTTCTCGGGAAAACTGTTATGAGCTGCTAATACTGGTAATAATTCAGGCGTGTAGACTCAGACTAGATTGTAGAATAACAGGTCGAATAAAATGAATGGGATATAGGGCAATTACAGTATGTTGTCATTAAAGCCATAATTCATATTTAGCGTTTCTACCAAACCCGTTAGCAAATACTTACTGAGATTAATATGCCGGTACATGCCAGTTTATCTTCCAAATAAGTCGTGATTGGGAAACGAAATATGCATTTATTAGGTGACATCACTTCGAACTTTTTGCAATGCCGCGAAAACATCAATGAACTTTAATGGAAATATCACAAACACTTTTACAGTTAAACGCTAAGACGTTCTAGAAATAATTTTGATTTTTCAGAATAAATTGTCGAGCCTCTCAACTGCCAGCCGCCAAAAACAATCCGAATAGTGTCACTGCCTCACAATTTCAGAAACGGTTCACGGTGTTTTCTGCATTCTATAAAATGAACTGAGGTACGTTAAGAACGACTGATAAGTACTGATGCACGCTTTTGATGCACCGGTGCGGAAAACTAAATCGGTGGATTCCGATGTCCCAGGGTCGACGCTGGATATGGTCAAATTACCACGCGTGCAGTCCACTATGATCGGGTCGTAATTAGATGCCCGCTTCTCTCTGGTCATCCCTGTCTTCATCAAGATCCAGGTATGGAGGTCGTTGAGGATGAGACGGCAGCTGAGTGTGTTATCTCCTTCGAAAACCGTTATTAGCGAGTCCACTAAATCCACATCCGCCTCGGGCATGTTGATGCTGCCGCGGCGACACGTGACGATGAAGGGGGTTACCAGGTACCAGGGGATATCCACCGGTGGGCGCGCCGTCGTATTGGACTGCCACCAGTTCCACCAATCCTGTGTCGTATGCACCCAGGGATATTCCGTTGTAGGTGGCCAAACTGTTGTTGTTGCTGTTATTGGTCTAAGTGTAGTAAGGATCTTGCACTGGGCGGTATCCGTTGGGTTTAGACCTAGAGACTGGGTGTAGTTGGTTGGGCAGTTGATGCGGCTTACGTTCTGCGGACAGTACAGATTGTCGTGGATGAAGCCGTTGAGTGCATGGCAGTATGTATTGAAAGGAGTGGATGTGCCTGTAAAATCGAAGTCGTTAAATTTTTGTATTATTATCAAATGGAGGAAGGTATGGATCGGAAGTACCGTGAATGAGGGTGTAGTCGATCACGATATTGTAACCGGTTAGTGTGGCGGTGGTGCCGTTAGATCTATCATATACCAGATGGATGCGTGGCGCGCTACTATAGCGCGTCAGATACTGTGCCAGCGAGTTCCACGGATAATAAATTAGCTGATTCGTAAATAGTTTGCCCAGTGTCCGGCTGTTCCCAAACGTTTCCTCGATTTTGAAAACATGACCGGTTAACGTGGAGATCGTCCTAAAGTAGTGATGATAGAAAGGTGCTCGTGTTATTGTCTAGGATGGTGTTCGGATTATTATTCATTATTGTCTACAACGAGGTAGCAAAAATATTGGTTATGGTAAACGGTGATATACCTCAGGTTAAGATATAAAGCAAAACCGTCGAAAAATGTGTTGTCACAGTTCTTCTCTAGTGCTAGTGTGACCTCGCAGGTACGCCTTGGTAAACTGGCGAATTGAATGGTGCCCGCCCGACCTATTCTGTCTGTTGGACAAGGAATGGTAATCACTTGGCCGCATCGCTCTTCAATGTCCACTGCCAAAACATTCATCAGACTAAATTAGACAATATTAGCCGTTTTTTGGACAATTTTTGCTTACCTAATGGATAAGTATATTCCCGAGATTGTGGCACTAAAAAAAATAGTAAAATTCGCAGTAATTGCAAATAGTTTTGAAAACACCTTGTTCTTACAGACTTCATCCTTTATTTGAGAACTGTCGATATCTTCGGCGCTAGCCAGAGATAATACGAAGAGACAAAACAAATACGTCCGCATTTTCAATGCATAGACTATACTAACCTACCAACAGGTTTCGCGAGCCTCAGAGAATGCTGCAGTGCCTAATCCACGAATTATATACTCTGCACAGATATATTTAAAAACTGTAAAAATTGACAATGAAGTTTATCTGATTTGATAAGCGAGTGCGACAATTCTCTTTTGATAAATGACTGCTCGCAGAAATGAAACAATTTTATCGCGTTAATTGTTGTTGTTGACCATTGTGTGTCTGATACAAAGTACAATGAAACAATTGTTCACTACCAGTGTCTACATGCGTTTGTCTGAAGCTCAACAAGATGCACGAACTTTTACAGCACTGTTTGACATAAAGACAATGCGAAAAGGACCAAAAGCGATGTGATGATACAAAAACAGTGCAAAAGACAAGTGTTTTACCGTTGAACGAAATAGAAATTTGATGCGACAATGCAGCTGTTATGCTAACCGGTGGAACAGTTAAATGGCTCATGATCAACGTTTTGGCGGGCTACTGTTGTTGCCTTTATTAAAGATACCAGTCAGATTTGGCAACAGTTGCTGGAGTTCAGTTGCTGGATGCATACTGTCGCTTCTGTAATGCTACTAAAGCAGCAAAGTAGCCATTTTAAAAAATACAGTCACCGAATTAACCATTATTTAAATTATATAATTTCAAAGGTATCAAACCCGTAAATTTTGACGGTGCTTCGTGCGCACCAGAGGAACACACAGAGTATTTTTATATGAATGCCGTGTTTCCTTGCTATGATACCGAATAACTGCTTCAGTGAAGTGCAGTAACTTAGAAAATCTAACGTGGCTTCCGTCATGAAAAATGTAGCACGGCAAGTACAGGAAAATGTTAAGTTTTATATTTTGATATGTAGTTGACGAGTACGAGTAAAAAGGCGCAGAGACTTGACTCTTTATGGCTCGGTAAAATTAATAGCCGCAGAAATCATAAATTATTAATACCACTACGGCCTGCTATGTACAGAGTAAACTGTAATGATTGTATCACATATTGCATGAAAACTAGAATAAAATAAACAAAAACCTTTAAGCCCAATCCATTGGAATCTGAAAAATTGTGACATACCCTATCGCAACATAGTCATTACCCAAAAAGACTCGAACAGTTTTTTGGACAAAATGACTGCTTACTGCCGCCCAACATAACAGTAACCACTGAAACCTTCGACTAACGGGCATTCTTCGGACGGAATACAAGCCAGCTTCTTGACGTTGTTGCTGTCATTATCCGGGCTCTGGTCATTGTTTCCTGTCCAAGTGGATTGGTTGGAGTCCAGCACTGGACAATCGTCATCTGTGTTGCATGCCTAAAGATGGATCAGAAGTGAAGATTTGCAGAGATCTAATGTTATCTAAAGATATGCTTCTGTAATCTGTACCCAGTATCTGGCCACTTCTTCTCCGAGATCCATGTAGCAGTAACAGCGGGCGCCGGTGCATGTCTACGAAAAAAAGCGTTCACGAAACCAGCCGAACGACTGCATTGCCAAAGATCAAGAATAAATAAAACACCAGCTATGATTTGGCTATTGCCACTCTGCTGGACTAAAGGGAAGTTGTGCGTTTGAAAAGAAGGTACTGCAGTATACATGTACTGCAGTGCTCAACCTCAGTTACAGAACGAGATGTCTGTAAGAGGTGGCCACGTCCACATAATGTGTATTCGAAGCCCCTCCCATGAGTACGGCCCCGGCGACGCAATATGTCGGCGGGCTGATGAATCCCAACAGAATAATAGGTGTAAGTGTATAAGTATATTTGTGTCCAGAATAAATTCGATATCAAATAAATAACTAGACATCGTTTATTTATTTATTATTTGGTTCTTTTTTTTAAATGGTGATTTCATACAGAATAGTGGGTATTTATAAAGCGAGCCATTTTCGAAACAACCTAGGCTGAGTGGCTGAATAAATTAATCGAAATGGGCCATTGTATTTCTTTGCTGCGACAAATACATCAGAAAAGACAAGCCTCAAGAGGTACATAATTTTCAATTTATAGACTCGGGGGTCGTGCTAAAACTGTGTATTAAACTGCTTCGCATAGACTAAGAGAAGCACTCTACGCATTCGAGCAAATGAGTATTTCGTAGTGCTTTTAAAATGAAGTTTAAAGTGCTGAACGTACCAATCCCGAATCCGTGCATTGGATATTATCAAAGCATGGATCTCCGTGATGTGCAGCTGTAAACAAATGAAACAACTCAAATCAAACGACCTCCTTTATACAGGCATCTGTACGAGTATAATCTCAGTCCGTCGGGAACAATTATTACCTTTTAGACCTGTGGACAGAATCAACAGCATAGATATCGTTCTCAGCATTTTTCGCTACAAAATGAAAGTAACAAGGCGAAAACAATTTCAGATTTTTTGACATAAACTGGGGAAATCACAAACTGGTAACAATTTATTTATTTGTAGTAACTGGTAAGTGAACTTTTCTGACACTGTTCAGCAGTGCAGCTGACGACTGTTCTGCAAGTTGGATGGTTAACAAAGTGCATAAGCATTCTGAAGAATTGTAAATCAAAGCCGGCCGGCATTTCTGTTTGCTGATGTGGCTCATGCGTTCGTTGATCTGCCGGTTATCACCAGAAGAGAGAAGCCGGCTTTTCGTAACCGCAAAACTTTCACTCGCTTTGGTAGCCTGTTTAATTATCTTCTGATCAAAATTAATGCCAATGCAGCTTCTTAATTTTTGTCAATAATTTCTCTCTCTTTCTCTCTATCAGTAATCTAATGTCTATAATTTTCCCGCAGGCCTTCGTGACTTTCTCCTTATCTGTCTTGCAGAGATTTTTTCCAAAACTACGATATGTTGGTTCTTCATTTAGCTCATCTTTCCATGTATTCAACATCTATAAAACAAAGATCGCGTTGTGCAGGTCGGACATATGTAGCCGGCAGGAAGGTTGATAAAAATTTTCTTTACATACAAAAAGAGATTTTGCTAAATAATCTCTTAAAGGCATGCATGTACCTTAAGATATTCTGATTCCCTATTCGCTAATTCATCCTGGCTGTATTAATATTGGCGTCGTTTGATGGACATAAAAAAGTTTTAATGACAATTCTACTCAGATATAAGGAAAAAACACGATGATAACATTTATGGGTTAAAAATACGAATGTTCCCCATTTTTTTTCCAAGTTTTTAATCGCACTTCATTAATCCTGAAGAAGTATGAGAAATCTTGACCAAATCGAATCACTTGCAAGAAAAACACCACAACATAAAACACCGCCGAACACAAAAATCGAAACAAAAAAATTATCACCATCTGTAGCCAGGTCAGACTGTCAATCAAACGTCCATTCTGCACAGAAACCACGCGCAGCAAAAAAAGCCGCAGTTGCGTAAATCAAATTACAAAAACAAAAAAGACCTCAACACAAAAGAAAACTGATAAAATTTTTTGCCATCTAGTACGTTCGCGTGTCAGCTTCATTCGTCCAGTCCAGGATATTGTGCCCACTCTGTTTCGGTCCTCCAACCGTTGGTTAGACAAGCGATCATCATCGTATAGCGGCAAGCGGTGTGCATTGTCAAAATAATTTAACGCGCTTTTTCAGCTCGTTGCGCTTCCACTCGGGAAGCCGGTAGAATTCCTCGTGCGACATGCGGAAAATGTTCAAAAAATCTTCCGTCGCCAGGTGCAACTAAAAACAGCACTTTTTAAAAAACAATTAACGGAAGAACGTACTCTTATTTGTTGTTATGGTGCTCTGTAATTGCATAGCGGGTGTTATTTTGCGAACAAAAAACAACAAATACAAATGGGCCTCCAGAATATTTCGCGCCTTTATAACGCCTTGCATTTGGTTTTTTTATTTTATCTTACTCGATTCGATTATTGTGAAAATTCGTATGAAAACATGGCTTTGAATTCCCTTCAACGAATTTTCTTAAAAGCGAATCTACAACATTGGCCTTTTTCGTGCAGTACAAAATCTTAATGCGCATTGTTATTGCGGCATGATTTGTACAATATTCTTCCGGTAAATCTGCTTCTCTTTAAGTTTCTTTTATTTCTTTTTGCTGCAATATATACCTCTAAATGACCGCGATCCACATCGTCCGGAAGACGTCGGTTCGTTACCAGCAACTTATGGACCTACAGGAAAATCCTTATAATATTGGAGCTATCTTAAAAATAATGTTTTTCTTATACCGGATAAATAGTACGGTCCTTCCTAACAACCGGTACGACTTTATCCAGCGGCTCCAAGAAATCCGCCTGGAAGTAGGGCTCGACGATCTTACTGCGCACCAGCATCATATCGGCGGCACCGCGGTGCCGGTCAAAAATGTAATCCGGCACTACAACCGCCCACAGTCGGCAGATCATTAGGCAAGATATTTGTGTAACACGATCATTAGCAAACCTTACACGTTGTGCTGGCAAATTCGCCGCTCTGTGATTTATGCATATCATCGCTGATGAATGTGCCGTTATCCTGTGAACATAATTATCACATCAGACATGTGTTGCAACAACCGCCAGAGTTACATTTGTGGTGATTAGTCTGGGATTGTTCCATGCACTCGTATGTAATACAGTATGTTAAGTAATCTGTCTAATGAGACAGAATTGCTACGTACGAAGATTAGCTCCGGTATGCCAGGACTCATCCGGCCAACCTGCGGTAACGTTGATGATTTCGGCGTCGTCGCCGTGGAGAGCCCGTAGCCCGGACGCGGAACTGCAACATCGAACCGTAAAATGCAAAGAATGGCATTCATACTTCAAATTTTTTAAATAAAAATACTTTAATGATGAAGTGTCGCGGCTCTTTATTTTTAGTGTGATGATGTTGCCTAATTCAGAATTAGTGCTTCAATAAATCAGGCCAGCTAATGTTGGCAAAATACATAGTTCTTCACCAGAACTGGAAATATTCTGGAATCTTGAAATTAAACGAAAGAATGTCAGTCTGATGACAGGATGTGACATGTATTTCGTGACTTTTTTCTTGTCGAAGGTATTAATGCGCATATTGAGAGATGAACCGCGGCGAGAGCAATTAATTTTGACAGCGTTTCACATGTATCTAGCTTGTGCTACTTTACACAAAACAAGTAACTGGCAGCAGATTATTAATGTTGCGGCCACGGTAACTATTAAACTAAATATAAAACAGTTACTGCATAATGCATATGCATCGAACGATCAAGAAAAGGCAATGTGTAGCTTACTGCTGTAGCTGGGCAGCGTGCTGGCACCCGACGACGCTGAGCGCCACTTCATCTGCGGCGGCGGCGTGAAGTCCCATTCCTCCCACGGTCGCGGTCTGTCATCCAGGCGTGACGGCGCTGCAACACCCCGTCATTATCACATACACGCCTTTGCGCTGACATTCATTAATGCACTTATCGATCAGAAAAAAACCCAAATCAAAGGTCACCCACCACAGTAGGTCCAGGAAAGCTACCCTTTGCATAAACGTAAACATTTCTCTGCCACAAAACGTCAACTATGCCGGTAGAAATTAAAAAAGACACTATTCGTGAATTCGGCGGAGTTTTTGATACTTTTGTGCAAAACGTTTCTGCGTTGTATTTCGGTGTTCGAAATGCAGGACAATCAAGCGTACGTTTGCTATGCGCGCAAAATCCAGGTCCATTACAATAACAAATGAATATGTATACAAGTAGTATTACTATGAATTTGTACATAGCAGTTTGCATACAATTACGTACTCGTATATTAATTTTAGGATGGGGTATTTTTATTTATGGGAACGTACAAGCGAATGCCGGCGAACCATAACGCGGCGGTTGCTGCGGCTCCCGGTTAGCACTCGCTGTTCGCGACGCATTGCGCGGATCCAGGCCCCGTCGAAACCGTTCGTGCTTGATGCGCGACCGCTCCTCAATATTATGCAGAAAGACACGCCCGATCCCCGAGGAGATCTTCTTGAGCTCCTCCGCCTCCTTCCGGATCCGCCCCTCCTCTTTAACCAGTTCCGCCGTCTTTCCCGGATCCAGCAGAATATTCTCATCCACGTCCTCCTCCCCCGTGTCGCTCTTACTGGTCCTGGAGGAGCCCTCACTAATGCGCCGCCGCCGATCCGGATCGGCGTACACGTAAGGCGGTGCCGGGAAATCATCGCGCTCAATCTTGGGCGGCTCCGTCGCCGGGGTGGGCCGAGCGTCCGGGTAGGTGGAGAGGGCGATAGGCTCCTCGTTGTTCATGTGCGGCGATCGTCGGCCCGAGGGGCTGCTGTAAGCTACGTTCTCGCGGGACTGTGTGATGCAGGCGTCCCGCAGGATGTCCATGCCGCGGCGCCGTGTAGGAATGCGGATCTTTACACCCTGGCCCTCTGTGATTATGGAAGCGAGTTTAGTTTATAGGTTTCTTAGAAAGGGTGATGTGTGTACCGGGTCGGTGGTAGTCCGGGACTTTGGTAGGGTGGGGCTGGTGCGGTGCCAGCATGTAGGTGGGCTCATGATCCGGCGGAAGGTACGCCTGGGTGTACACTTTCCCGGCTTCCGCCCAGTCGAGAGGCGAAGGGCTTTGCGGCCTTGACGAGCGCTACAATTCCAAGCGTTAAAATCTGATGTTCTAAAAACACTCTTTCTCTTTAAGGATATAAGAAACAAGTGACCATAACCTTGGTTTTGCACGCTTGACTGAAGAAAATATGCTGCTACAATTGGAAAAAATAGTGCTAAAATAAAAAATCGATAAGAAAAACCGAAATGCTTAATTTGATCAAAGTTATGCAGATAATTATAAAACGACGAGAATTGTAACTGACGGCGAAGTAACCATCAGTTCATAGATAATTAACCGGCACTGACAGCCCCTTTGAAAAATTTCCAACAAAACTTTAAGTACACTATACAAGCAGAAAAATAAATGCAGCACACTATCAGGCTCCATCAAATGTAAAGCAACTAAAATAAATTTATCGGAAACTAGATGTAACTAACTTAAAGTTACCATGCCGGAAAAGCAAGTTGTGTAGTGAAAATAACTGTAAACGTAAATTACCTCGGTGCTGGCAAGCGAATTAATAGGCGCCGGGATATTAAGTGGCGGCTGCGTTGAAAATAGAAAGACCAAACCGTCATGCACATGCAGAATTGTTAGTACAGAAAGCGCGTGCGGAAGAAATGACAGCAGCGGCGTTTAAACACCCGCGCGTCAACATGCTCAACAACAAACAACAGCCACTCAAGTCAACACAGGCGTGGAAGCGCGTGCAGCTAGGTAATTGCCAGCGTCATTACCGGAATGTGTGGGGAGTGGCGGCCGGAGGAGGAGAGGTGCTGGTGCATGCCCAGCGACTGCGACTGGGAGTGCTCGTCGGTGGCCGAGATGGTCACGCGGCCCGACATCTCCGGCGCGGTGGACGCCTCCTGGCTGCCGGCCTGCTCGGGGTCATTGTCGGCGGCCGATGTGTCTTCTTCTACCATTTTGAAGCTCAGCTTCCTGTAACAATATTTCAGATTGCACCTTCAAGATTTTAATATCCCTTTATCAACTAATCTTATTTTCAGTCATTTGTTTAATTTTGATTCCAGCTTATTTAAGAATTTTCTGGTCTTTTGAAAATCTAGAAGCATCTATACAATAAAAACGTCCTTATTTGTATGTGCAGTAAAGATATGTATCGCATCGCCACCATTATTTTTGCGTCGTTCTAAATATTTTTATTTTTTTGTCCACGGTTTACATGTTCATACAGATATGTATATACGAGTATATATTATACTGTATATATATAGTATATAAAATTTGTGACCTGAAAAATCAAAGGTACTAACTAGCCTTTGATTTGCTACCGTTTATAAAATGCGCAAAAGTTGGCCGGTGAAGTTTTTTTCCAAAATGATATCAAATATATATTTTACACCAATAGCTTGAAATTTCAAACAAAGTTTTGGTAATGATTTTCTTCTTGCGACTGACGCAATACTTTTAGGGGTATTGCCAGTCGCACTATACGTATTGAACATTCGTAAAGCAGCTGATTCCACACTACTTCCAAATAAATTTCCACACGATGAATAGAGCAGAAATGACCTAAAAAATTTGTCAGTAATATGCCAAAAACGTGCTCAAGCGGCAAGCGATGAAAACGCACTACTGCCAACATTTCCGCCGCTTTTCCATTTAACCGGACCCGGCATTCTACAAATATTCAATAGCTCTGAGATCCTGATGGATACTACAGGAGACAGGACAAAATTTGACAACAGTCTTGATGAAAGGATTGAAATTCCCACAAGTAGATATGTACTATACACTATATACAAGGACGGTTATATATGGAGATATTCTTGAAAGAAAATCGCCAATAAATGCGCGTACAAAGTTGGCAAAGATGGATTTGTCCGCGAGTGACCCTGATAAATCAATCACCAGTTGGAATAACCCACTTAGCCAAATCTGGCCCCCGACCATATGCACCAGCACAATTTGCCGAATGGGAGATGAATTGTCAGGATTGTCCAGTAAGAAATATTCACCAGATTTCTGTTAGCCACGAAATCAATGAATTTCCATTTTCATTGATCTAGGACAATTTGCCTTCGATTTATAAAACCGTTAGCTATCTTTACGGACACCTTTACTATTCTAGGCTAACGGTTGTCAAATTAAAAAAAATTACGTTCGAAACCGTTTTTTTCAAGAAAAAAAACGATTATTTTTACTTTATCATTTAATTTATTTGCCTCGAATATGGTGCACGAAATCAGGCCAAAACGATACATGACTACCATACAATTACAAATCGCAAAATTATATAAGTTAATCAATGTAGATATATACAAAATTTTCTTGACAGTTCGCACATGGAAAATTATGAAAGAAATTAGGCCAAATTGACCAGCAGGATATTCCGTGCTGCGATGGCGCTATTCGGTATTGCTTAACCGTGCCATTTAAAACATTTTTGCCTCTGATTCTAAGTTCTTTAAAAAGTCCTTTACTAAGGATGATTCCAGAGTTATTGGTAAATCATTAAATTCTTGTCCATAATAATACGTTGTCATTTCATCCAGCTCAATCCACTAAATGCCGCAGTCAAACCCGATAACCCCGGCTCAATAAGTATTGTGTTATATTGCGCAATCTTCAACAGTCATACAGCGAAATCCCCTGTGGTCCTTTTCTCTTCCTCCTCCCTGGATGCGCCGTGGCATCCCCGGTGGAGCCCAACACAAATCCCCAATGCAATATTATCCCCCAGCCCCGGTCTGCACCGCGCGCGTCCAGTCAGCAGGAAAAAACGCCGCGCCAATCAGGCTGTTTGTTTAATGTCCTATTGGCTAATCGTAGCGGATGCGCCGCGCACGATGCAGTCAAGCGGACAAATAAGCGGCTTATCTGCCGCCAATTATATTGCTGCCTGGTCAGCGGTGGATAAGACGTTTAAACTTGGCCGCAGGATTAGACACCCGCACCGAGAGAGAGAAAGACTGAGGAAGACGCGGAAAAAAGAGAAAAAAAATACAAGCTAAAGCGATTACCCCGGGAAATGACAGATCTCGTGAGCTAAATGGATATGGCCGGGCATTATCAGGCCGGGCAATGTCAGAATGACTGTAATAATCCCAGACGAATTTCTCGCGCAATACCAACGTTGCATTTGGGCGCTGTATAAAACTGCTATATTCTTTTTAAATTCGGGATACGTATCCTAATTCTTTTAGCGACGAAACTCTTTATTTTTATTGTCACTTGAATAAAAGACTACTGTTATTTTTAACTTAATACACAGGAAATTAAGTTGTTCATGCAGTGAATAATTTGTGCTCAGTTAAATATCCGTAAATAATGAAAAATATTTCTGCAACATATTAGATTAATCTTTCTTTACAAAAAGTGTTGGAATTGTAATATAAAAATTGTTTAAAGGAATATGAAACTTTTGTCGGTATACCTTATACGTAACGGAAATTAACGAAGTTGATTCTTTAATCAATTTAATAAGAGCTCTTTTTTTTTGGAGAGCCTACTTGTATAACAAATGTAGCAAGTGTAATGCGTTCATTATATTGTTGGATTCGGCGTAAGAGTGCCGATTTAACGAGCTTCTTGAAACGGCCAAGAGGAACCTTGATCGAACGCTTTATTGCGGTTATAAAAGCAATCGATCAGGTGCGAATGTGCCGCAAATTGTGACGAACGCGCGCATAGACATTACCGCACACAACTACTTCCGGTCGCTGTTCAGACCATTAAGCGGAATATTAAATACCCGACCACCGCAATCTGCTCGGACTGGCTACAGTTGTTTCCATCGCAAACATTACGCAACCGATTGATCCTGAGAAAAGCGCCGAATAAATACAAAACAAATCGAATAAATGAGCAAAATCATCAGTTCAACACCTGAGTGGATCAAGGAGATTTTTTCAAAGATTCTATCGTTAATATTTATCCCAGTAATGAACATTAAAACCCTCATCTAAAATACCGTGATAATAAATACGCAACAAAATTCACTGCACTGAGAATTTACAAAAACATATTTTTATCTATTCGCGCGCTTCGATTATCGATAGTTTACAATTATAAACGGAAAAAATACCGGAATTTCGATTAGCGTGTTGATTAAAAATTGGGAATCCATATGGACGTAACTCGATACTTGCTTAAAAATGCTGCCGTTGACCTACAGAGGCATGTTACGCGACAGTCGTCCCAGTTTCGTAAAAAAACCTCATTAAAGTATTGAATTTCGTGTTATTGTTATTAGAAAAAGTGAAATTCAATCGATGAACGATATATAAACGCGCGCACACACACCGCCCGGCATATTTCCACAACATTTAACAGCTAATCTCCTCCGCAACCCAACAGACGGAAACGTGCAGACAAACATATGAACCATTTTGCTCCGATAAATGAACCGGTCTAAAATTAGCCGCCACCGGACGGGTGCAACATCCTCCCAAAAATCGGCAAATATGTCCATCAGCCAATCATCCGTTTTAATTTATTATTGTGCCTCTCTAATGCAGTTTGCCGGATGTTAAACTTAATGATTCCGTTTAACGAAAACCACTCTCTTTTCCCAAAAAATGGAAGTCGCTTTTTCCATCACTTTATGCATTAACAATATGCTGCCAGTTTCGTTGTTTAATATTTGCTAAGTTAATTTTCTGTTGTTTTCTCTCAGTTTACGGTAAAACATTCCAATATTTCAAAACATTTTTTGAGATTCCCAAATGAAGAAAATCATTGTATATATTATTTTTTGAGAAGACCCGTTTTTAATAACCAACAGAATTTTATTCATACAACTTGTTTCCGTTTTTTTGAAAAAATAATTATGTATCGGCGGCCTAAGAAGTAAGTCAATATTTTCCTAATTGATTGATTTATTTTTCTCTCGTTTGTTAACAGTGTTTGCTCAAGCGATTAGTTGTCGGAGTGATTCCACTTGAGAAAGTTTTTTCTGCTTTATACTCGGCCGCATAAGCAGTGAGAGTGTGGTTAGCCTTGAGGTGAGCCCAAACAGCGCATTCACACGCATTATCTGTCAATCATGAGAGCCCTCGGCTCACTCGCTAATTTCTCCACAGGTTATCGCCGATTATTACACACACTGCACACAAAGGCCGAGCCGGACTGATAAGATAGGCGCTTGACAAGTCACTCATTCCTCTATTGGCCTGGTTTTAAAATGGGCTTGAAATCGCTAACCGATAAATTATGGAATTTTCGGAAATAGACACTGTTAATAGTGACAGCGTCTGGTTGTTACAGGCTGTTATAAAAATCCCCGATCGCTAAAAAAATATTTGTTACCTGAGTCCAGTCAAAATATTTTCTTAGTTAAAACATTTTCACACTAGCAAAATGTCGCATAAACGTTATTGAAGATTAAAGCGAAGGGCCTAAGCGCCAACAAAATTAATACACATATTAAAAAAAACTACTGTCAACTGTCGCGATAATAATATATGCATTATGTTTTAAGAAAATTAATACCGGCTAAAACATTTTACTGGGTTGAGCGCAGTCCCGCATTTTTTTGACAGCTAATTCATTCGCCAAGTTTTGAGTACCCTAATTTACACTCATAAATTCTGCCCGCAAATATTCCCCGTCGACACTAACGGCGCCGGGATCTTCCGGGTGTGTACGGCCGCAAATAAATCAACATTTAAGTAGCACCTAGCAAATTGTAAGGTTAAACGAACCGTTTAGCAGAAGGCGTGGTAGTCGTTAAGGTGGATAATGGTAAGGTAGCGGCGTGTGTGTGGCGGTAAGCAGGGGCAGCGGTAGCAGAAGCAAGCAGCGATGGCGAACCGGTTCCCAGCACACTGGCCATCAATCCGCCAACGATGACGTAACCATTCCCGACGGCCGCTGATCAGTATTGGCAAACAAAGAAAATTGATCTTAAGCTACCCCGCGATTGTCCAGACTAAAGATTCTGCAGCGTGTGTTGTTTTTGAGAAGATCCGCAAGTTGATTAAGTTCAGTAGGGCAAATTTATCTCGTTCACTTTCACTGCAGTGGCATGGCACACGACAGATGCTGGTGTGTGCAAATGGTAACGCGGTGTGCTGCGCTCGGAAAGAGATACCGAGCAGACTAGACTGGTCGGGGCTTCAAAACCGCATACAAACGCACTCATACAAATTCATAACGCGTATGTACACGCATAATGCCGGCTATCAAATCCGGCTGCGCACTACTGATACGCGCCGCATCACATTCGGTAGACTGCAGTAGTCATATGCACACTCGAACGGACAGCGGAATAACAAGCAACAACAAACCAGCTGATAGAGGCACGGCAGAGCAGCGAGTTGCTGCTGCCTTGTAAAATGCAATTAAACATAGATTTGTCCTTGTCAATTAGACAGTTCTGTCTCTCAAACTAACAGACAAAACACGACACGGACACTCTGCCGGATAAAAGGCCCCCCTATCCCCTTACTCTTATCCAATAAAAAACAACACCGGACTAGTTTAAAAGTCATCCCAAACAGCGCTCGAAACGGGAGAGAGAAGGAGTTTGTATCCATTTAGCCCGCTGCAGTCTGGCTGCTGGTTGGGATACAGACGGCGAGCGGGGGTTAAGATGCAAGAGAGAGAGGGAGAGAGGGAATTAATCGATCGCCGCTGCCTCTCTTTCTCTCTGCTCATTCTCTGGGGCGACATAGACGCACACCAGAGGAGAAAGCAGCAGTGTACGCGGAAAAAGGGAATGGCTGAGTGTTTGATCATGTGGACAACAGCCGGAGGGGGATGCGGAGCCGGGCCCGGGCTTAATAGAAATGGATCGTGTTCATGGGAACATGAGCAGAATATTGGGCATCGAGTGGCCCCGGCTGTATGCTGTAACTGGCTGCCAGCGCTGATTATTCAAAGGCTGAAATATGACAGCATCTGGACAGAGTAGTACGGCACACAAACCGGCATTCTGCCAAAATATTGTACCACGCCGATCAATGTTCAACAAAGATTTAATTTCCATACATTCAGTTGTCTGTGTATTCTGCTCAAGCACGTGCATCTTTGTACACAGGGATTGTAATTGTAATAAATTCGCGTAAAATCTCGGTTTTCAGCGAAAAGGTCATCTGGCTGGATATATCAGAAAAATTTAATTTAGGGGATTTAGTCGTACAAAAAATTAAAAAAAAAATTGAAGATAATCGCTGTGCTGAATTACGTATTGCGTAGGGTTTTAGTTCTTAAAAAATTCCGAGAGTACAATCAAATTTTTGGTTGGCTGGCGCGTTTGATTAGTTTTCCTTTCGTATGTCCCATCTCGCAAGCGATTGTGACGTGTTTTTTATACCACGATTATTCTTGCCTTCACCCCGCATTACACTCCCCGCTCCTGCTCATGTGACGGTGGCCCGGGATCGATCAAGTGAAAGACCTCCTAATGATGTCATACATCTTCCCTTTTGGCTGCCAGGGCCACCTCTAAGAGCGGGCGCGCCGCGTTATTGCCGCGCGGGCCGCGATAAAGCCTGTCAAAATGACTATAGCCCACCATTAGCGCTGTTACGCAACGATCTGGTAATCGCTGGGCCGTGTGCTGGCCGTGCACCCGAGCGGAAAGGGTGGGATACAGGGCGAGACAGAAGGAGAGAGTTATAAGGCATCCATCGATCGATGCAGGGGCTCCGTGGGCCAAATATGTTGCCAAATCCAAAACGGTGCAACTAGCAACACAGCTGAGCCGCGTATTGTAAAGAGGCCATCGGCATGACAAGCGGCCGAATTACCCCAGTGTTATTGATGGCGGAAGTGCGGGTTATGCAACTCCCAACAGGAAGTCGTCAAATCCAGACAAGCCGGAGAGGGAAACTATGGGATGGTCGATATTGATGTGTGTACGATAGCTGCTGTGTAATATTTGTGCGCATGCGGCGGACCGAAACGTCGTTGGCAGCCGGCGCGATACGAGGCCGTTGAAGTGCCGCCTTAAAAGAGGCTGTTTATAAACAGTCGCTGTAATTGTGTCTTATATTCGTAATGTAACCCATGTGTACAGCGAAGGTACTTGTGATAATGATACCGTTGACGGGGATTGTCAATGCCAGAATTTGCTGATTTCTTGTCCACACAAGAAAGAAATGTTTTGTGATACGTTGAAAGTAGAACACCAAGGACCAGTTAACAATGAATGTGTAAGACTTCGACACAAAAAAATCTCTTCCAATCCACTTGTATTCATGGAGCATATTCTGTGTTGTCATGCAAAGTAAACTTCACAAAAAAACAAGCGATGTTAACGTATATGTGTATAAAAACGATCATTCTAACCATTCACCATCAACAACACACAGCACCTTTACAAGTTAAAATAAGCTAAAAAAATTTTTGTTGCTTATTTGGTTTGGAAAATGCTAGGCCGGTCCATGCGGGATTTCTTTCTTTCACATCTGCCTGAGGTGTACTGGGCTGAGAAATTCTGGTTGCATCGCATTCGCAGGAATTATTCTAAACAACTGTTACCTGGTTCATTGGTGGCGTAAAATTATTAGCACCAGACCAATCATTGTTCCTGTCGTAAGCCAGAAGTATGTACGTTATATACAGTCCCAGTATCTGTCGGCAATAAAACGACAGAGGTCGTCAGAATGCACCTAGTATAAAGGCCACGTTACCTTACCGATACCACGGTCTGTCGATTTAAAAGGAAGCATGAACCCAGAGTAAGGACAGTGGGATTATTCTGCATGTTGTTCAGCTGGAGCATATAACGATCTCTTTGCTCTGGGAAATCTTCCCGTTGTAGGATGTGGTTGAACGTTGCGTGAAACTCACTAACCTAGCAGGTAACCAAAAGCTGCGTCAACATACCTGTCAACGTTTTTTCATTTGAAGGTATTGCAGCAAAATAATGGATGCAGCATTTATTCAAGTTCAGGTTGGACGAGAAAATGATTTTAAATGCATTACCATCCTCGAGCCTGTGGAAGCTAAACAGTCAAAACTATATACAGTACAGTAACACAGGGCGTTGCCCGATGTATCTGTACGTACATAACACTGAAAAGATATAATTTGTTGCAGCAACTAATTTGTTGCTGCTTTAGTTAAAGGTCTCTTTTGAACAATTGTCTGACCGAATACAGAAACCCTAACGGAAACTATGTATGGATTCCGTGTGTTTTTCGATTTAGAAGTTTTAGCTTTAGGCTTCCTGAACTTCCAAAGGTGCTTAGAGAGAGGGTTATACAGCAGAGGAGGCTTACTTATATTGTGAAGGAGGCTCTAAAATTTTCTAAGCATTTAAGCTAACGCTATTGCGTAACTTCGTTTACAACAAGAGGCTTCTAATACGGACGAAGTTACTACTTACTAATACTGCATTTACACGATATTAAGGGACAGAGAAATCCCCTGGACTGCTCGCACTAGGCGTCGGCTGCATTGAATTTTTGAACTGTAGCACCAAGGAAGGCATATAATTATGGTAGGGGAGGCTTCGGATGTGAAAAACGCGGTATATGCAATAAAATAATGCTAATAAAATATACGACTGAGCAGTATAACGGGCGATCACTACCAGTGACTACCTATAACAGCTTTCTAGAGGATTACTAACTTGGTCGCTCAAGAAAACGTAGCAGCTGGTTCGTATTATAACCTGCACGATGCACGCAGCTCCAGCGGCCACCATTGGAAAATCACCCCCTCTGATGTATGTTGCGGTATTGTATACCCATCCAACGATATCATACACATAAGCAACCATCAGCACCAATCCTGTCACTTTATCTAGATCCAGCACAATAAGACCAATTGTCCGAAATTTAGATAGGCATTTGTCAACATTTTCCGGCTTTGTCGCACTGGACAGCTCCCGTGCAATTTTCCTGATGCAGAGGGCGCACATGACCGCAACCGCTGCCAGGTACGTCAACGCCGTGAGAATTCCCCACGTGGAGAATTCCCCAGCGATTTCCAGACAAACCAAACAAATGTATGTTGATCGGTTGTTAAAGCCGAACAGTGTCGATAATTCTGTTGCTATCTGGCCACCGATGCTGCTCTGTTGGGTTTCCGAATACACGAACACAAACTGCTGAACGACGATTAAGGTCAATAAGCCCGCTGTAATGATGAGAACCAAACGCTGCGACTGCTTGTCCAGATGCGGTTCTAGTAAAAAAAGACTTCGCTTAACCAAGGTGGTCACTTGTCCGAAACGTTGCGTGATGACGACGTTCAGAAGTGGTATATTGATGAACGCTAAGGACATACAGGCGGCGTTCAGTAATTCCGGTGGTGTGCCATCTTGATGGCGAAATTTATACGCGGTGGTGAGAAACGCTAAAAGGATGTTGCTAGGCCATAAAATCGCAGCCCAAACAATAAAAAGTATCTTTGATGTCTGAAACGAATTTCCTGAGATATGTCCTGGATAGCATGCTGTAATGTGCAGAATCGACTCCAAAGAATGAAGTGCCTTCCATAAATGGTTGCTTTTCTGTCCTACGGTCATCTTCGTGCGCTACTCTGTGAATTGATTTCCACTGATGTACACAACTTCATTCACAACTATTCATTAAAGTGCGAAAATTGGAAAGCACAAGCGTTTCAGTCCTCTATTCCGTTTGAGCACGCTATTCCCACAAGCAAATCATGTTGACATCGCAGAATATTTTTTCCGGCGTCAGCGTTAAACTTTCTGCCTGGTTTGAAAACGGTTATTGAACCATAGCCATTTCTTTTGAAGATAGCGATCCGTTTGCCCTTACATAGTTTGTTTTGTGGTCTCGATAATGGTAGCAGTAATCACGTGGTCGGATCACTCTGAAGGTCATCGTTTCTCAAAAGGAAGCTCAAAAATATTTCCATCAGCGCAGTAGTAATAAGGAAAATAGGTAGCATCCAATTAGTGACGCAGCTGCCGCTGGCTATTTGTTCTGCAAAAGTATTTTTCGGAGACGCAAATTTTACTATAAACCAAAGACAGGAGCCAGGAAACGGAATAAACTACAAAATGATTTATTAACTTTACAACTGAATGGAAACAAACGCTTTCGATCGCTCTGCAGATTTTTAGAGCAAACGTCCGCGCTTATTGCCCTCTTCACGAAGATACAACTCTTAGCGTTCATGTTGTAAGACGATCGCTTGCCGAACTTTAGAAATATGCGTCATAATTACTGAATCTTGCATCGGGCAACCTAATTAATTTTGCGAACCACGTTCAGTGATCAGAAAACGTAAAGAGCTATTCTCACACCGTTGTTAAAATACAGATACACTAACGATTTACCGCTGCGAAAAATACTATCGATTTTATCATCTAGTAGCGCTGACGGAGGTAACTTAATTATTGAATTATAATTACTCCGCCGGTGACCGCAAAACATTAAATAGCATTCGTAACGTTAGTAGCTTTTTTTAGTAGTTTTAGCCTGCATCTCGAATATGCTGTATTTGGCTTCTCCCAAGTCTTACACTACCCACAATAACAGCTAAAGACGCCGTAAAGCCGCTAGTTTTGTGGAACAGCATTAATTTTTACATTATAAATGCCCTTCGTTTTATGCTCCGTAAGCCGCCAACGCTCATTTATCAAACAAAATTTGTTTTCGTCGCACTGTACACTGTCTTGATCACGACGTGTTAATTGATTCGACACGGGTATTTCACAGATATAACGCAATTATGACGCGGATGTGATCGAAGCACGACCTGTTTACCGCATTCTCTACATTTATTCGAAAGCAATTTACTAATGAATCAAAGAAACTTTTTCGGACATCCAGAATAAAAGCTTCCGCTGTCGATCATTTCAACATTGCGTACTGCAAGATCACCGCACTACAATTATGACAGGAAAACAATTACGGCGCATTCGGACCAATCATCCTCGGGTTTCTCTGAGAGCAAATTCTTGGTAATATGGAAATATTTACCGCGGGGGTGCAATTGATCCTGTTTCACCGGTCACACCACCAACCGGAAAGGCAGCTACCTTGCTATAAAGTCAGAAAGTAAAATGCGCCGTTTCGAGTATAAAAGCAGTTGCTCTTTCATTTCTGTTCGGTTTCCACCAACCGATCGCAACATTTTTTCGTCAACATTGCTATCATGGCAAACAACAGTTCATTCCGGATTCTCAACGCATCGCTTCCCGCCTGCAACTCCTTAATTAATCTCCACAAATGGGACCCTGCTACTATCATGACATTGTCCATAAATGTGCTAATATTCGCGACCAATGCCTTTGTCTTGGTCGTGTACATTGCTAACTTTCGCCTGTGCCGGAATTTTCATATTTATGTTGTCTCCTTGCTGTTCTCCAACTTTCTTTTCGCTGCAGTTTTCGGACCAACGGATGCCTTCTTTCATTTATCCGACATCTGGTGTCTGGGTCGGGATTTGTGTAATCTGCACTTATACGCCACATGGACACTACCGACCGTTCCGATTTTTGTTCACACAGCTATCGCCATTAACCGCTTCGCTGCTATCACCTTTCCGGTGCAATACCGTCTCCTGCACACTACCCGCGTCGCCCTAGTGATTAACGCTATTTGCTGGATTGCAGCGCATGCCGTGGCTTTCCCCGTTGTTATCGTGGACGCGCTAGTTTATCGCGAGCCGGAAACCAAGGCTGGATGCCACATTAATTTCCCCAAGTCAATACCCCAGCAGGCGTATTTGTACATGGCACAGGCGGTCAATTTGGTCACTTTGCTCGTAATGCTCGGCTTGTTTCCCGTCGTTGTGGTTGTTCGGCGGAGACGTTTAAAAAAACTGAGGACAATGCGTTCGTCCAGGATTCAACCTACCGGTAATCAAACGTTGCTATTAATGCTGATACGAGTATATTGCCACTTAAATAATTCACGGTTTGTAATCATAATTTTCAGATGAAAATATACAGCCAGCCGATCATACGCCCCCTCTAAGCAAAAGCACATGTACAGCAGCCGAACAATCGGAAAAATATGGTTTCAGATTACTAGCTCTACTGACCGTCAGCATCTTTGTGTGCTGGGCTGTCGCCGTTGTGCTGTATCCATTCTTTGCTTTCATACAAAACGCCAAAGTTGTATTTTTCTGGCTGCGCATGCTGTACGAAGTGCAACCGATACTGGATCCAATTATTTTCGCGCTAGCACTACCTGAATTGCGCCAAGCACTGTTTAGAAGATGATAATCGGCTCGTACGTTACATCGTATTTCTTTACCTTCCAAGTTTTCACGGTATGAACAAACTTTGGACATCACAGAAACCTTCTCATTCAACTTTTGGTTCCAAAGTTTTTTCTTTGTTTGATGAATAGCTCGGTCTAGACAGTAGCCATTCCTTCCCGTGTAAGTATGGATTTAATTCATTACCCATCAAATTCAAGACATTCAGCTACCGTTTGCAAAGTAAATTTTTTTCTCTCTGTGGATTTCTATTTCGGCCTACCATTATGGTCTAGGAGCAGTGTGTACGTACTTCTTCGTACGTTCATCGCCATATTAGGGGGCATCCATAAATTACGTATGCAGAAAACCACGATTTTTTCACCCCTCCCTCCCCCTTCGTAGCGGTCCGTCACGTTTGCTTGACCTCCCCTGGTTCGCTCAATCGTAACACATGGAGCTGACCACCCCCTCCCCCCTGAGTTCGCCGGGGCCGTCACAGCTTGTCACGTTTTTTGGACCCGTCCCTCCCTGGTTCGCTGCGTACGTAATTTATGGATCCCCCCTTATACTTCTTAATACAAGAATTATACTACCATTGTTTGTTGTTTATTTTGACATCTGTATGCTATGGTGTGGCTGTTTTACGACTATATGCCTGCTTCTTGAGACAAACCACACCGAAGAAGTTTCCTTCGCATCGGAAAGTTTCACTAACAGCGCGTCAGGAGATGGTGCAACGTGCAATCCTTTGATCACCAAGATACAGGATGCTTTTACAGATTTATTTGAAAAAGTTTACTCAGCTAGCAAGCAAAACTAAAATTGTGCCCGGCACTTATGAATGCCGTCAAGTTTCGTTGTCTTTCGGCGGGCAACAGCAAATAACTGCCCAATATTCAAAGGTCACGACTTAAAAATTCCTCAACTTTGTACGTACAACACATCTATAAATTAATGTGTTTCATGTTGGCTGACACACTGGTTTCGAAGCGCTAATTATGGTCGATGCGTTATCTCATTAAGATCAATCATTATTATACGTTAAGATCATCGTTATACAGTACTTCAAGAACATGCGGTTCACTCTTGCTCGTAGCACAGATAGCCATGCCGGTCACTGAGTAACTGGACTGCAGTTCTGCGATTTTCCATGGTAAACTGCAGGCAGGATTTCATAAAATTAATCACCAGTATGTCCGCCGTCGTGTTTCCCAAATCTGGTATCTTTGGTCGTGCTTGGTGCTCTGCAACTTGATACATTATTTGCTGACGCTGGGTAAAAGTCTGCTCGCCGTACGATCCTTCCCAGTCCTCCATTGCACCAATCGGTTCTTTCCATTTCCGTATTATTGGATGCGCTCCTGTGCATAACTGTATAGCTACACAACCCACACTCCAAATATCGGTTTTATCAGATATCGTTACCGCTGATGCACAGTCATTTCCGAGCATTGCCGCACACAGCATCAACTCGGGAGCAGCATATCGCGCCGTAAAATCCACACTCTGTACTCTGCCTTGCCGCTCCCCGTTCATTGCCGAACCTTCGAAGTCGACGATCACAAGAGAGTGTCGTTTGCGCTGTCTCAGAAGAATGTTTTCCGGTTTGATGTCGCAGTGAATTATTCCGAAAGAGTGGATGTAGCAGAGACCAGCTAATAGATCCCGAAGAAATTTTTGAATGATAGCATGTGGAGTAAACAGGGTGGCTTTTGTTTGTTGATTCGGATCAGCTAGTCTTCTTTGCACCCACTGGCTCAGATCTCCACCTGTATTACAATCAAGCGGAAGGTTTATTCAGTTGTAGCATATTTATGTACGGTATCGTAAACTTTCACTGACTTCGCGGTGAAAGGATGACCAAATCTGCGCAGCACAAATTTGATCATCCTTAGTTAGAATAAGGAAATCATTTGCATTGGTTCAGTTCGTGTAACCCAGGTAGATGCTGGATAGTTACAGCCGTTAAATTACCTGTATGGTATTCAGTTGAAATACGGTAGAGAATCAGGCTGTTAACAGCAACCTGCCGCATTGCCAATCCAAAATATTTCGTCATATTTGAGTGACTAAGATTCCTTAGTGTCTCGATTTTCTCTCGAACCACGGCATCAAAATCGTTTTTATTATTTTCGTATTGCAGTTCTTTCAGTAGGAAGTCTACATCGCCGAGATATGCACGGTAGAACTTGGCTTTCGTCTGCGCCGATAAATTATCCAATCTAATCGGGTTTGGGAAGGTTAAGGAATAATGTGGGATTAGTTGTTCCCATTGGGGCAGCTCCATTACTTGTACATACAGCAGTCTGTGCGCTATAATAAAACCTTTCGATCAAGAAAATCATACAATTATTTACCTAACGTTGTAAGAGTGAAGTCGATTACCTTGCTGTATTGCATTTCAAAGGGGAATATGTGCAGTAGAAGTTCCGATTTGCTCATTGTCATACCTCAATCTCTGTGCGCTTATCTTGTCAGCCGATAACGCCATCCTTATCAGGAACCACGTAGGTTTTATCCGGCCTTGGTACTCGCAAATTTAAGTGCGAACGCATGCGTCGTTAATTGTTAGGAAGGTTCTTTAATTGTATCGCTGTCGTCACATCGTCACAACAGAGAACAACATTGGTACAATTACAGTTTACAAGTATAATTTATTAATTTTGCCATATGGCTTTAGACAGCGACGAGCCTCATGGTTACTCCAGACGACGGTCAGGATCTTTTTGCAATAACACCATCCTTACGAGAAAAAATCAAGTTTCAGTGGAAGAACTCATTCGCTGCCCTTCCCTGTTTCCGAACGTTACCGGCTTGGAGCGATCTCAAGCAAACTCCAAATCTTTGTCAACAATTGAACGACTGTGGATTGCTGATGCGATACTGCAGCAGTTAAGTCATTTACGCTTAAACAACACATGTGCCTTAGATTTCCGTCCTGACCAGGTGCACATTACCCGCAAAAGAGTACGTTTCCGAAAGCAGAATCCTCTTTTGTTCGCCGAAGAATACATAAAATGTCATCGCGACGAAGCGTTTCGCGTCCTGTTGTACAGCGCTCCAGAATGCATTCGCGGTGATATTGCAAGCAGCCATTACAGTGACAGTTATAGTGCCGCTTGCCTTTGCTTGTATGTGCTCAGCGGAAGAGATCCAGAATATTACCAACGGAAGTCTATGGAAGGCAAGATATCGATAAACCATGGGAAGAACGCATACGCTGCCATTTCGGTAATGGTTGGTAAGGAGCAATACACTCCAGAATTTGCGCTCTTGTGTCGGAATAACTCAGAGTTGGAATCATTCTTCTATGAAGCTTTTCACCAGTTTCGTGGAAGATCAACGGTAGCACAGTTACGGAGACGGTTGTTTCTAGCCTGTAAAGCGGTGCTGTATGAAATAAAAGAAACGGACGCAGCAAACTCTGACATACATGGATATAGCAGTTTAGCCCTTGTTAATCCTGTGTTAATGTGGTCGTCACACCGGGTAAAGCTGCACCGACGCAATGAGGAAAGGAAAAATATCATGAAGGAAAAGATCTCCAGACACAATGCAATCCGCGAACGGGAGCGAAAGCGTTTTCATCAGCTAATACACGATTCAAACAACGAAACGGAATCCCAAAGAAAGCTCCGGCAAGAGAAAATGCGTATGGAGCAGACACGCGCTGAAACCCACTTCGACCACGGGCGCAAACAGTGCGAATGGGTGCTGAATAGTATAGCTTGGAGTATGTCACGAATTGACCAGGAAATGATGGGCATCGTTCAACAGTTGCGCCAACCAGTTACAGAGCGCGAAAAGAAGGTAGAGTTCGTTAACAGAATGAATTTGGACATTTACCAGGACAACTCGATCTTGCTAGTCAGAATAAAAGAAACCGAGAAAAGTGTACTTCGAATGCTACTGGGAAAAGGTCAGCAACCGACAATGTCCGTTGCCAGCAAAGTACGGGAACTTGCTTTACAGAAGGAATGGGAGAAAGCCGAAAACCATTCTTATACTTCTGAATACAAAACGGCTTTGGATAACCCTTATGCCAGTTTCACTTTGAAGGCAATTGAATTTCAGAAGTGGTCCGCAGAAAATATTCTGAAGATGTTGGCGCTTCTGATATGCAAAGGTATTCCTAAAGATTTGGTTGTTATCAGCGATGAAAAAATCGATCAGCCATTAGTGTCGCTGGCATTGCTGGGAATCGACAGTACTCTGGTTGTGATTCTGACCAAGGAATTTGATGAGCTGCCAGAAAACAGGAGCAAGAGCCACAACATTGACTGAGAATGTAACAGATCTCAACAAAGTTCAAGATTTATCCATGCACAAGATTATTCGCGATTTCCGTCTTGGAGAGCCAATCACCAATCTTGACGACATTGAATCAGTTGTCTGCAGAAGAAAAGCAGCCGGCATTAGGCCTTTTCAAGTTCTGGTGGGCAAAGTGGGAAAACGGTTCGCTGTTGCAGAACGTCATGACTACAGCACTGAAGCTATCTTCCGCTTCATTTACATCTATGCGGTTGTATACAAGAAAGATGTTGGTGGATTTATGAAATACGCTAGTTTATCGGAAATCAATAGACCAATCAAACGCTTAAACGGCTGATGGAAAGTTTGTGGCGACAACTAGATCTCTTATTCTGTTAGGAGTGTTGCGCGGTGTCCCAGAGCGATCGAGTTGTCCAATGGTCAGGCCCGGCAGCTGCCGGTGATTATATTGTGTTTCCTAATGATTCTTGTGCGTACAGTATTACTGGGTGTTGAGACAAAATCAGAAGTGCTACAAAAAGACAACTGAACACAACTAAAGTGGGCATGTGGAAGTTCTTGGCTATGCGACACTCATAAAATGATAAACATTGACATAGTGTTCGCACTTCTCTACGTGTTACTTTTATGCCTGCATTGGTGCATAAGAGAAATACAGTATAATGTAGACGGGATACAATAATCCTGCACGTTTCTAACGTACAAAAACCCAATTGGTAGAAACTGCATACGACTACAGTCGTGAACCGCAACGTTCCGCTTCTTGCAGTAGGCTAACAATTAAGAGGTCGCGCACGCTTTATTGGCTGTTACAGCGGTTCCGCCAATTTGTTATGTACATGCGTGGAACATGTAAACATGGGCATTGTTAAATGTCACACCATAATATTATAGGCAGCTGACACAACAAGAAAGCACTAATTTTGATAAAGCGAATGCCGGAACAAAATGTCAGATGGGTAAATAAGTTGGACCGTAAACGGCAATCTATTGCCATTATAAGAGCAAGTGCGCGACGACCGCAATGGCCGTGGTTTGCTGGTTGGCGAGCTTAAAATTATTGACTTGTGTTGGTATTACCCGACAAGGTCACTAAAGACCTGGCAAGATATTTCTCCTTTGCAGGCCCGATTGCACTTGCCGCAGCATTCTTTTACAGCCCGCTCCGCACTCGGTTCTTTCTTTTTCCCGTCGCCGACGGCGCACAGATAAGTGCCTCCTTCGTTCACACAGCGCGTGGACTGTCGGCAATTGTGGGTGCAGTCCTTACAAGGTTGGAAGCTGGGTTCTCCGTGGCAACGGCATCCGCGGAAATCTCTGCAGAGAAGGATGAAAATTATTACGCAGGCTCGTGTCCCATGAACTAATAATTACTTGCATATATGCCGGCGCTAACCGTTCATTTGTAAAAAAGCGCATACGTACTTGGTTCGGGCCGACGCGAACTCAATGATCATGCCGATGACAATAACGACGGCAATGAATACCATTGGTGCCTTCATCTTAAAAATTGCCGCTTATTCCCTACACCTTTTCGAAAATATTTTGAAACTCGAGAAAGGAGGTATAATAAAACACTCACATAAACTTCTATCGAATATCGAAGCATGAATTGGAGCCGCAATTCAGGCCCAGTATAAATAGTAGATCTCTAATAGCTACCCAGGGTATGCGCTTAGTTTGCTAACTTTGCTTAGGGGCATTATGAAATGGTGATACAATCATCGTTGCAGTCTGAGTACAGCGACATCCACATTAACTATCAATAGGTGTCACTTTACTGAGACCATAATTATTAGTAATTAATGTCGCTTAAAAATTCCTAATAACGGGTTTAGGTGAATATTAGCATTAAAAACACAATAGCAGATCCGTAAACACGACAATTCCATTAGTTAAAAAATCTCTTAGTCATCCGCTTGCCGTTGGTTATTGTTTTCGTAGATATCCACCGAGGCAGGAAATACTTGATACATGATTAGTTATGATTATTCTGCGGCAGACACGAAAGGAACGATCCCCAACGCCAAAAGTGAACCATGTTACTACGGTATTACGACTATTGCAAAACGACCCTCGTACGCCGAAGAAACGACGGTGAGTTGCTTCGTTGAAGCGACACTCGGGGTTTCTTCGCTTCCACTGTAGTAACATGGTGGTTGAAACAAACCGTAATGCGACCGTCGTAATTGGCATCGGTAGCGTAGCGTTGTGGTAACTATGGTGGTGCTACGGTAGGGATATACTACGGTTGTTTTACAGTGGTAAGCCTTATTCGTAATTTATTATAGGTAATTACTCGTACAACTTGAAACCAAATCAAATGCCAACACTGCAGTTATATTTGAACTTTAATAATTATTATATCATCTGCAAATCGTTAAATCAACAACAATTTATATACGTAAATTATCTATATTGAAAACAAAATATATATATTTTCATTAACACATTTCCACAAGGCAGTTCAAAGGTGTACAGTAAATCCGCCAGAAAAAAACGGTGTATAACAGAGGCAGCCATAAGTCGGCTGTCCGTGATGATCTCAGCGAGGGAGGGCGGTCAGATGAAGATCCTGTCTGTTGAGGAAATTCCGAAAAATGGCGATGGAGCGGAATCGAACCGCTGGCTACCGAGTGTGATCCACGTAGCACAGCTACTGTGCCATCGCCGTTGTTGGCGAAGATCAAGATATTTGTGCTTGAGCTTGAGCCAACCAGGTAGGCGGCGGATGGGCGGCTGCTGTGTGTACAGAGGATTCTCCTCTTACAGGTGATAGTTTCTGAAGCTCTACAGATATAAAATAATATAAATAATTATAATATAAAAATAATATAAAAACAGGAATGACATTTCTGGACTGCTTAATCTATCTGCATCCACGCGTTCTGGATCCAAGGAAGGATACCTCCTGCTCCAGGAAATCAAACGCATTTCCAACCCAACCAAGCAAATGACGGCAATTCATCTGTTTCTGAGTTGAAAAGTTCTGCAAAAATTTTCACATTAGCATTGCAGGGCGACATGAAGCACAAAACGCTAAGTATGATAATATTATTCTATGCGTTTCTATGTACCACCTGCTTTGCTATAATATCTAAAGCGTTAAATAAGATTATTTCTTTTGCTCCAGTGAAAAGAAATTTACGCGCATATTTGATTGGGTTGAACATTAGAATTCAACCTTCATTCAACATTCATTCATCACATTAGAAATGAAGTTTAAATTATGAGACAATACATAATTATATTAAATTCTTCAAAATTTTAAAATACTTCACAAACTTTTTAAAAATGTTAAACTTAGCCGTTAGTGTCTTTTATCATTAATTTAATGGGCTGATTTATTCTTACCTTTTTGGAATCCTCAGCAGCCACCAGTATACAGCAAACAGCACGCTAAATAGGTATTTCGAACATGCGAACTCAGGTTTCAAACCGTGCTTTTCGAATCGAAAAGGTTGCGATTGCTTACTTGATCCGGATCCCGGTCGAATGAAGGCAAGAGAGAATAGAGGTCAGCGTGTTCCGCTTTTCTCTCTCTCTCTCTCTCTCTCTCTAAGAATTTACTGCGTCTTTGCCGCCAACAAGGATACGCAGGTGACTGCCGACTGGACACTGCTTAGTTTCCCACCCTGTAAGCCAGTGACGGTCGTTCTACCATCGGTTCACACAGCGGTCGCCAAGGCCAGTGTATTATTCAATTGTAATTTACTACCGCCGTTATTAACGAGTGATTTCCTATCCATCGTTCTACCATCGTAAATTTTCCATCGATCGGTTTACCGTTGTATTTTGACCACAGCCGCAGAAACAAGTGTAAAACTTCTACTGTAATATGGTGGACTATTGTATAACGATGGTCATCACCATCGTTTTTCAATTTAAGTTTTGGCGTTGGGGAGCTTTTATTCCTCAAAATGTCCACAAATTCAGCTACTTGCTGGCTCCTTGCTTACAGCAAACTTCTCCACCAGTGTGAGACCTAAGCAGAAGAGGGTACTTGATTTTACTCTTATGTACCGCTTAAACCTTTGGAAGCATGGAGTACAAGATCCCAAAGATGCGGTATACTTGAAGGCTGAAGCCAATGATAGTCGCGATTCTGCGGTATCGAAACGCCACAATAAAATTAATGAATCGCAAGGCAGCTGTCACAAATACGTACTACGTAGCTTCGTTTTCTCTGCTGAAAAACGAAAGATTTTGTACGCAGAGGTACTCCGCTTCATCCAGGCTCCCGTTGTGTTGTTTGTAGTAGACTCTGTACAGCAGTCCGTGTTTAAGTCACTGGCCAGAGGGTCATAACGCTCGTGGAACTGGAGGAGCCAATGGGGTAACGGCGCGGAGCCTTGCCAGTGTCCCAGCTTAGTTTTCGCAAAGCACAGTCGTGGGGATCACAGATTTCACTGCCGGGTATATGTTTCGTTCTTTACTTGCTTGAGTACCTTGACATTTCAACGTTAAGATGCCGATGTTGGCGAAAGAAGTGCTCTCCAGTCTCCACAGTCCGGACATGTAACTGGCTGTGTCATTGGTTGGGATCGTGTAATCGGAGTTGCACTAGTAGAAGAAGATGAGGCGTCAATCTAAATAACTAAATAACTCAACCAGGAAAAACATAGCGATAAAACTATATAGAAGCGGAATTTACGTCAATAGCGGTCATGGGCGCTGGGCACTGCGGGACAACTGCCACGTCAGCTCGGTGGATATCTTTCCAGCTCGTCCCGCAGCCACCTTCCACACTGGATGAAAAGAAATTTACCATCCAGAAAGCTAAAAGTATTCACCAGATAAAAATTTGTACAAGTCAAAACGGTGCAGTAACTAATACTATCATATTGACATGGTTCTATGGTTGCTGGCTGGGCAGGGGATAAAAGGTGGCAGTGGCACCTGCCAGTCTGCCACTGGCAACTGCCACCGGCAGTCGCAGTTGCCACTACGCATTCTGGCAAGCGATAAAACGTGGCAATTGCCAAAAATTCAGAATCAGCTAGAGACGATTCTGCCATTCAACGATAAGTTCTTTAGGGAGAATCTACGTATTTTCACGGTGTGACTCTACTATAGAACTTATCTATGGACACCTCAGCCGGTGTCTTGGGCCTGCGCCTTTCAGTGCAACGATCCTGCAAGCTGTTCAGCATTCCTAACTGTCACAGAATACGGCATCGCGACATTCCGCCGAGGAAAACATTCAAAACAACTACCTGTAAGCGCAGGATAATTGGTCGCAGATTGGCATTTCGCCGCCACGTTATTTCGCCGCGCGACGTGCGAGATGGCCTAATATACCAAGATCAAATTGTTTGTACTCGTACACCGCCGCAGCGCTGACTTTAGGCCAGCGCTGCGACGCTGTGCCAGTACAAAAGCTCCCAAGTTTCGCACACGTTCACTGGACTACGGCCGAGAACAGAACCTCAAACCGAAGAATCGTAGCCACGTTTTATCGCTTGCCAGAATGCGTAGTGGCAACTGCCACTGATAGTGGCAGTTGCCAGTGGCTGGTGCCACTGCCACCTTTTATCCCCTGCCTGCTGGCTGGCAGTTTTCGTGAGCATTTTTGTAGTAGAAAGTCTAAGCAATTAATTTTGGCATTTTGAGTTGGGTCTGCTAGAATGAAGTGATGCGGCTGATGCCGCCTATAGTCTGCCGTCTGCGTAACGATAATTCGTGCATGAGAGCTGGTGTCACGTGGCGTAGAACAGAAATAAAGACGCTTCATAAACGGGCGCAGTTCGTGCGTATAGATACGTCAGGTGTCAGATGCTAACTCCAGGCGCGAAATGCAGTGCTGCGACTGTTTTGGTAAGTTGAAACCGAAAGCGTGCAGCATGTTTTATTGGTTGTTACAGTCGGCTGCCATCTTTATCCATACCTGCCTACAGTAAGCATTTGATTGGGCATTGTTCTTGTTAGAATTGGAAATGTGTTACGTGTGCGTAATCAATAACTGATCTATGAGTGTACTATCTTCATAGCTGATCAGTGAGTGTAACGTCCACTCAGTACACCTATCCCTAATGATGATCAGACTTCTGGGTGAAGTGCTGACTAATGTGTGAGAGTTATGTTACCAACTGTGGTATATAAGCGAGTGTTGTACAGAACATCTATGAACATCTTGTGGACATCACTGAATGAACAACTGCGGAAGTATCTGAGTTGGTTCGTTAGTACAGTTAGTACGGTAGTCAGTTATCACCTTCCTACAGACCATTATTTAATGTTCAAGAGTTCTGTTCCGCACCCGATAAATTAGTGGTAAAACAGGAATGCGCTAATTTGTAATCAATTGAGCCATCGCGACACAAGCAGTTTGATGATAAAAAAAGACCGTGAAAGGTACCTGGCTGCGGTACGTAACTAAAATCAAAGTGCGCAACGATCGCAATGGTCGTTGTTTAATGGCTGGCTACCTTGAGAAAAGCGATTTTTGTTGGTATTAACCAACAAGGTCACTGAAGACCTGGCAGGCTAATTAACCTTTGGCACCGCGAAATTTCGCCGCGGACAACTAGTCGCAGGACTTTTGGTCGCAGACATTTAACCGCAAGTCCACCTCGCCGCGCGACGCTTCGTCGCAGGACATTTCGTCGGTAGGACT